CTAAGAGAAAATATAGCTAGAAATTAGTAAATTAAAGTCATAAACAAAGAATTTCAGTTTGAGTAATAATTGTAATTTCCAATTATTATTATGAGCTGTTATGTGGATTTTATTATTTTTTTTAAAACCAACCAGATTGATTTTTATTTTTGCCCACAAAAATCAACTTTCACGCTTATAAAAACCCAATAAATATTTAACAAGAATACCAATCTGTCATTCAAATGTAAATATTTATAAGAATTGCCTTTAAATGCATTTCTTTTAGTGCAAACATTCGTGGGTCTATTTTGCATGTGCTCTATGGCCTGTGTTTGAGCTGCAGCGCTTGCCTAATTGTTCAATTGCATTAGGGGCAATTATGCGGCTGACATACATATGTGTGTGTGTGTATCCAAGCCCAAGTACTTACACATGCGCCTGTCATTAGAGTAATTGCACAGATACAGATAAGCCAAGACAACGGCGGCCGACCGGACAATTGCCTGGCCATATTCAACAGCGGCTTAACTTGCATATTGCGTGGCCAATACCCTTATCGGTCTAATCGCTACAACCACTTCTCCAGATTTTGGGGACTGTCTTTGATGGATAGTTATAGTTGATAAATGATTTTTAGTAGCTTTAGTACATTCTAGAAAGAATTTTATGCTTTGCAAACGTGAAACATCTGCTGTGATTTATAATTTTGGCATTTTAGATGCCAAGCGCATGTTCTGGGAAAGTCTTTTCATAATGAAATTGATATATGCTCAAGTATCCAGCTATCGAAAGTTTTACTAAATACATAAACATCATTAATTGCTAGACTCATTTGCGATTTGGACCACGCTGTTGTTGGCAACAGCTGCCTGGTTCAATAAACGCCAATGGCAGGGCTAGCAAGGTCAAAATTGATGAAGGCAAACGTTTACTGCACGCAGAAAAAAGAATTCGAAAATTATAAATTAATATTGGTCAGAGATCGTGTTTAACTTTAAAAGATTTTCTTTTGATCTGAAGAGAATGATAAATCTTGTTCAAGTTGTATAAATATATCAACACTGATAGCTTAAAGTTTAAAAAAAACTTAAAAACAGTAAATTGCGATAATGAAAATCTCTTATCTTGTGTAAGCGAAATGCCAGTTCAGCATGAGCAACATTTTGTAAAGATATGTTTATAAGAATTAATCTTAAAACAGTAAGTAAAATGATGAAATAACATGGCAACAATTTGGCTAACCATCACTTTCCTTGCTGCCTAATATTTTCTCTCTGTGTACCAAAAGCATTCGCATATCGATCGTAGCAAATAAAGCAGTTGACCGCTTCGAATCTTTGAGATTGAGTTCGATTTTATTACGAGTTTCGATTTCTTTTATAAACTTAATTGCGTTGAAAGTTCAGCTTGAGGCAAAGGTTTCGTTGATTTTGGTTTTGCTTTTCCGCCAAAAAATAAAGAAATTTGTCTATGAAACGCGTATGCGAATGAGACATGATATAAGCAAATGTCATGCAAATGAGTCATCCTAAGACGGCATCAATGGATATACATTTTCGGAGCTTGCATGGGAGAGAGGAATAAGTGAATGGGGTCTGCTTCCAATAATAATAATGCTTTTTTGATACGCATGGGAAGTTCGTAAATAGTGAATAATGACGATTGACTCGTTCGAATGAGATACTTCCGTGGATACTTCTGCCAACTGTTATGTCTGTAAAATAGCGGTAAATCAGAAAACAAAAACAAAAGAAGTCCCAATTACAAATTATATATATATATATATATTTATATGGCACTAATGCCACAGTTATCGTTTGAGCGTGCGATGCCTCGCATTCTACATCACACTCGGCTGATTTTGGAGCAGCTTGAGCCCCGCTCGCAATTCATTATTGATAACATCTTCATCTTTATCGCTATCCCCAGCGGATTTCGTAGAAATGGCAAGAACTCAGCTTATACAAACATCTGTCGGGCTCTGCAATAGTCTAAGCTAACTGTTGGCATTCTTTGGAATTCTCTTTCGAGCCGGGAGTCTGCGTACGTAGTCCGTCATTTGGGTTAAGTTAGATGAGGCTGTGGATTATGCTAGTAGTAAGTCACCCTACGTCTGGCTACTTCCACGAAGCATATTAAATTTAAGAGACTGATCTTCAAGCTGATGATCATCTATTATACTCAAAAAATTCATTAAATTTCTGTTCTGATGATCTTCTTTTTAAACTGCTGAACACTTCTTTAGATACTCTACAATACTAGAACTCTTCTGGTCGACCTACAAAAATCCATTGAATCTTTTCATATACTCTAATGATCCCCTTCCGTTCATTTAATAGTTCCCAGCTTAAACACCATTTGGTTTAAGCGAATTTTTGGCTTATGATTGAGCTAACAACTGAAGCTAACTTGGGAAAATATCTAGCCAGCTTCTCTTTTCTTTAAGCTAACGATCCGATCGCTTAAAGCTTCTGACCATCAATCACCAGAGCAGATTCAAGTCATGTCTACCCAGATGGCTGTCATTATCGCAAGCCACAATAACAACTACAACTCCTGTGATCATTAAGATACCGAGCCAGATCGCCAGCCATTCTCCAACATCAATCGTGATCGCAATGCAAGTGAAATCATAATTGCAAATCGAAATCGAAGCGGCATTATTGGGCCGCAAAAACTGGTTTAGCATTCTCTCGCGATCATCCTCGATCCGATCGTTATCGCTGGATTTTCATTTCGGAGTTACGAGTTGTACATATACATATATAGAGATCCCCAAGTCGAAGAATTCTAAGCCATTCGTTCATCCTCAGTGCGTGCTGCTGAAGCGGAAATGAGTCGACTCCCCAGCCAGCTCGTTTCTCCAATGCTGATTTCTGTTTACATCTCGTACATGCACCTGCTCCTCTTCGGTTCCCGGTGCCCCTCGTTCACGGCCAATGCCATGATGCACTTGATTCCCCGATCGAGTCACGTTTCCAATAGAGATCCGACCCCAGGTAGTAGGTACTTTGCTCTTATTTGGGTTAAGTGGTGGGTTCAAGTTACGGGCTCTATCCTCCTGACAGTCCCTTGCCTGCGGTTATAGTTCACTGTATCAATAGGTGGTTCTATCTTTGGTGGGTTCTTCTCGATTAATACAGCTGAGTAATCAATAAAGTATCTAGAATATTATGTTTTTAAGGCTTGATCATATGTAGTAGCGCTATTGTGCATTTTGTGTGTGGTTTTGATACTAACATTCAAACCAAAAGTGTTGCCTGCTTTTGGGCTGGATATTGTAGATATGATGTAGATAATTTTGAATTGGCATGTTATTATTTACATTAAAAGTGTCGATAGGCTTTGCTTCCATAAATAATAATAATATTGAAGTTAATATATCTTTGTTAAAACTTTAGTAAAATTCCTAGTTGTAAAAATAAAAGAAGAACATGGGCTTCCATTCACCATACTCACCAAACAGAAAAGGAGCTTGGAGGAGCTTTAATACTGAACTAGTGCTGGCCTGTTCTACCTATAATCTTCGTTTTCAAAGCCTATTCTGTAATTTTATCTTGATTTTTAGTCAATATTGCAGTCCCCCGACTAGTGGCTATCTTAATGCCCTTTAACAACCCACCGCCGGCCTCCAGTGCCAACAGCATTACCGATAACTATTTACCTTTGCCGCTGCTCTTCTTTTTATCAGCACCAACGTTGACATTCAAAAATATATAAAAAAAATTACAAAATAGCTTGCTGTGATTTTGTCCCTGTCTGGCTGAGGCAAATCTTATCTGTAAGCCACACATGTGCATAAATATATAAATAAATATTAGTCACCGGGCGCATGGCTAAAAGGCAGCCGCTGAGTGGCAGTGCGAAGCTGTAGGCCTATAATAAAGTGAGGAATTTCAAGTATTTTAACCAGAAAGTAGCACCAGTTAAGGGGCTAACACTCCTATGTTAAAGCACCTTATGAATGGAAGTATATGAGGGGAAGGGTGAGGGTTAGGGTGAGGGTGGCGCCACGCCTGAATATCGCACCATCATAAGGGTAACGTCATTAATATGACGAGGCACCACCACCGAACTGGGGCTTTTAGTGCTAATTGCTGACATGGGGGTAGGCTTAGGCCTCAGGTGACTGAGACTCTTCCACCTTGAGGTGGTGGTTGCATGCACTATTGACATGACATCGCTTGGATCGTCAGATAACAAGCGAGCGATAACCATGGTGAATAAAGTCGGTAAACTCGAACCCTCTCTTTCGATATTTTTGTATATCCCGCTCCATGGTTATTATTGGGTGGCTCTGTTTGCAGTTCAGCTCGAATACTTCAACTCCCAGAGCAACTTTTGATGGGTTCGCCGTGGAGGCCGTGGTTGAATGAACCTTATGCACTTCGTTCCATGACATCGATTGGGCTTATATGAATGGTTCGCAACTCAAAGTTGAAGCTAGAGCTATGTGGGTGTAGGTGGTGGAGATGGTAAACACTTTGATGTGAACTATTTTTGGCCACTCGGTACAATGAACCTGTCAGACTTTCTTGGCATTATTTATTTATGGGAAAATGCCGAAATGAACTTGAGAAACAAAGTGGAAAGAAAAGTGTTGAAAAATATTTATATTTATTAGCATTTTATTTTGTTAGTTTGAAGAAATCTTTATATATTTGTACTTATTGCAGAACTTACTAAATTCATTTCGAGTAATTTCCGTTTCGAGAACTTCCACATTACCAATAATTAAGCTATATTTAATCCATCCAAGCGAGGCACTTGGCCTTGAACTTGGGGACGCAACTCGTTGTATTTAAGGGGAATGCGGAACGTGTCTTAATGACATTAATTACTATTATGGAGAGCTCCACTTATAGAAAGGGAAACTGCTGCTCACTTTCCACGGAATACCTCAACGTACTGCTAGCCAAAAAGGCCGAACCATATTAAGGGGAACTCATACTTCTAGAAATCAAATGACATTTAACACGAATCTCAATCTAACTAATTTGTATTCCCTTTTGTTGCAGGTGCATTTCTCTGATAAAAAATGGAAACGAAAATCCCAGAAACATAAGAAAAGGAATCGTTGGAAATTGCTAAAAAATAAAAATGAAAAAGCAAGCGAAGAAGGAACAACAATAACTCAAGCTTAAAAGTGGAAACAAAAACAAGCGATTTTAAGGCCCAGTCGAACGTGGAATTGACTTGACCCACAGAGGGGCCCCAGCAAAGGAAAGAGAAAGATATATACAGCTGTAGAACGAGAGGGAGCGACATACGATGCGTGTAGTTGGGTGGCTTAGTGGTAGCTTAATGCTCGCCCTGGCCGTAATGTTAACGCAGGCACGTTTCATTGCGAAAAGAGAAACCAACATCGGCTTGGAGCAGGCGCTGACTTCCAATTCCACTGACCCTGACATTGTTGCAGCGGCCAGGGAAAGTGGGAGTGGCAGGGAACCGGAATTAGATATAGCTAGCACCCAAAGTAGTCTTCAAGATCAAAGTGAAATGAAGACTAAGGATCAAACTGAAATTGTAACTGAAAGTCTAAAAGAGAATCCCAAAGCTATGGAAACCACTCCAGGTTTAGTGTCAAATGAGACCACCAGCACCACCGTTAAAACTTTAGTAGAAGAGCAACTTAAACTGAAAGATAGCGAAACCACGGATGCCCAGTTAGAGGATGAAACTCAAAAGGTTAGTGCAACAGAACTGCCGAAAAAGGAAACCATTGCAGAAGATTCCAGCCTTGCCACTGCATCTCATCAGGATCAAATTCCATTAAATCTGACAGAGAAGGCATCAACTGAAGCTCCTGTGAAAGTTACTTTTGGAACAACCACTGAAAAAATGGAACAAAAGGATGTGACAATAAAGGACCCCCATCCAAAAGAAGAACCCCAAGAGATTAAGGGGACAACCACAGAATCTTTGACATTCGATAATTCCAGCACCGAAATGAACCTTCCATTGAAACCTGTAACTCCGGAAGTTGCAAGCACCACAGAGAGAGTGGTTAATACCACCAGCACTACTCGTTCAGCCGATCATGGCCGATCAATGCAATATTCATCAACAACCGAAGGATTGCTTCGATTACCGGCTGCCGTTACGCCAATGAAACTGAGGCCTTTACCTATGACATCTACACCTGTCAGTAGCACTACAACAACAATAACTCCCTCCACAACCACACCCACTTCATTCGCCTCCAATGAGAATGACATCGAGGAGTCAAACTCAAAGTCAGATGTTCATCAATTGCCCGAGAAACGTGCCAAGTTTATAAGTGAAAACTCTACAAATGCCCAGCAACTAACGCTGCCAAATACCGCTGAAGTTTGGAGTCTTGCGGGGATGAAGGCGGTACCCAAAACGCCTCTTACAACAACAACTATCTTGCCTCTTTTGAACCAAACTGATATTGCAAACGATATAGATATACCGCTGAATAAAACAGAGCAGCACAAGGAGAAGAATCTACTGGATTGGATGAACATTGCCATGATGCCAACGACGCCGGAGAATCACACAGAATTTGTGGTTAGAACTACTCTGGACGCCACTGAGAGTGCAACACAGGCCACCACGGAAGCTTTGGCAGAGGAGGGTCATCAAAAAAATGATTTTACCCAAGGATTGGATCAAAATGAAGTCACAACGGCAAGGCCAATGCTTGCAACATCTGAAAGAAGACCCATGGATCATAGCATAACAACTACAACTGTTCGTTCAGATATTTTGGAAGAGCCAATGGTCAAAAAGATGGCCGATGCAGCCAATGTCAAGTTAACTGAGGCGATAACAGAAGCTCAAACGGAAAACGAAGCGGTAACAGAGGCTGCAACATCAATAACATTACTAGAGCAACCTGCAACATCGGCTGTAACAGCGAGGGTGGCTTTAACGAATTCGGAACTGTTGAATGCAACTGAAATGGCATCAGATACAAGTGAAGTATCTAAGGCAAATTCAACAGATACCTTATCAGCAATAACAAGCACAACCACTACAACAGAGAAGCCATTATCTGTAGAACATGTATCCCCTGAAAAAGAGCTAGAAGAAGCAACATCAGAGGCCACAACAGCAGCGATATTAAAGGCAACTACAGAAGCAGCAACAACATCATCAACATCCGCAGCAACTATAGTTGTATCAGAGGCAGCAACCACAAAGGCAGAAGTATCAGCCTCATCTGAAGGTACAACAGCAACATCACCACCAACTACAACATCATCAGCAACATCGACTGCAACAGCTTCGAGTGTGGCAACCACCCCCAGTACAACTGAAATGGCAATGAAAGCCTCTGCAATCAGCAACATCAACAGCAACAACGACGACGACGACGACGACGACGGCGGTGATAATAACAGTAACGACGTCATCGTTGCCACAACCAAAAATCCAGAGAGCGACCAACCAGCAACGGCAATCGTCGAGCCAACAGCAACATCGGTTAGTGTGCGAGTAACTGGCGAGGTGAGCACATCGATTCGTCCAGAAATCATCGTTACAAGTGCGCGGAGCGGTAACAGTACAATCGCGAGTATAAGTACATTGACTACAACAACTGTAGCAACACCCACGCAAACGGAAATTGCGCAAATTAGCAATGAAGTGAATTTGGAGGCAGTGACAGTGAAGACGCGTGACGGTCTAAGCAATGAGAATGTATTAAGAACAGCTGAGAAAACCGATAACGCGGTCAATAACAGTGTGGCCATAACAGAGAGTGAGCTGGGGGCATTGGCAACAGAAGTGAAAACTACCCCAACGACAACCAGCACAACCACCACTACTACCAGCTTTCTCAGTGACCTGAGTAAACTGACCAAAGAACACGAATCCTCACTGGAAACTAACAATATTGGCGAGACATCACCCGAATCGACAACAACGGCATCTGTTGCTGTTGCAACGGATGAGAGCACAGCGGCAACAGGTGGCCAGGAAATCGAGAAGGAGCCGCAACATCATGAGGGGCAACAGGTGGTTGATGAGCAGGACACAGAGCAGCAGTTAGCCAAGACAACGATGGCGGTGACCTCAACAAGTACTACAACTACAACAACCACAACAGAAACGCCCTCAACGACTACAACAATGCAACCGGTAGTGATAAGTCTGCTGGACGACAGCACAACAACAACAACAACAACAACCACCACAACGACGACAACTACAACGACAGCTGCACCACCCACTGAGGAATACATTGAATCCTCAACAGTAAGCAGCATCATCAGCAGCACTATGCTACCACCTGAGAGCACCACATCAACGGAGTCACCACATTTACCACCCACCTTCATGGCCCCCTATCCCAACGAACTGGATCACATGCAGACCAATGCCCAGGGTAATGGAACGGATGTGAATGTGATCATAGCCATCACAGTGAGCGTGATTGGTGTGGTGGCCCTCATCCTGCTGGTGGCATTCCTCTATTTAATGCGCAAGCGCCAGAAGCAGATGTCCTATGGCCAAAGGTGTCGTCCGGTTAGCTTGGATGCCTACTCCCTGGACAATGTCTCGGTGCTGGGCAGTGTAAGGCGAAAGGGTCGCGATGTGAGGGCCTCCAAGCGGACCTACGGTAATGCTGCCTTCGATGATCCCTCACTGCGACACAATCTGCTGACCGCCAGCGAGCTGGCCCGCTTTGTCGAGAGGCGTTCTGACGTCTTCGAGGAGTTCCGCGATGTGCCACAGATCATCGCTAGAGCGGATGAAGTACCCCCTGGGTGTGAGGACAAAAACCGGTGAGTATACTTTTAAAAACTTTTTAGAAAGTGATTCCACACACGCCTATCAATGTGGTGCAGGTGTGTTCAAAACATTAAAGGGCTGGGTCACATTTTTGTAATCTAAAGGTTTTGATAACATGAATGCGTTTTGATTAGATTAGGCCTAGTTCAATAGTAAAATATTAAATTATTTCTTCAACATTTTATGCAAACGTTTATTTACAAAGTTTATATTAGATGTTAAAGAAAAAGTATATTTGGATAGTTCTCAAACGTCTTGTTTTCCTTTAATTCAGCAACCACTAATTGTTAATTAAGATAATTCCTGGGGCTTGTTGTTTCCTCCTAACCGATATCTACTGTAATTAAGGGTTCACTTTCTCGGCACGAGTTCACATCAAATTGTCGAATCAATTACAATACTGATCTCTGGTACATCTCTTCCTGCTTTTTTTTCCCCGAACCAATAACAACACCGCTGACGATGGTGACTCAACGCCTCGACCTCGAACTGGGACTGCGAACCGCAGCTACGCCAACGTGATTCCGCTTCCTGAGACGCGGGTGGTGCTCCAGCGGCAAGGCGACGATGACAAAACGGAATACATTAATGCCAATTATGTGCGGGTAAGTAACCGAGGCAGAGTCTCCCAAGTGGGCGGTGGATCAGCTCATCCAAAGCTAGACAAACAACAAACAATCGACGAACGGCTTTCTCACCGAAAAAATGTAGTGGGTGTGGGTGGGTGAGTATGCGGAGGGTTTGATGGGTGGTTGGTAGGTGGTGGCGCTGCTCAGATGAGGCATCTTGGAGTGGTTAGCATACGTGGCGAGCCTTGCATGACGCCCTGCCCTAACTGGAATCTTCGGGCCCCTCGAGGGCCATTAAACATGGCGCCCGAATAATTACACGCCCGATGAGACTCACCTGCTCCTCTGTTGGCCATGACTGTGAAATAGGCTCATCGTCTTTGTTGCTGGGATCCATGCAAGCAAATAGGCCTCAGCGAAAAGCAGCGAAAAATAAATAATTGCGCTAAGGGAAAGTGTCTACTAAGATCATCGAAGTGTGAATGCCCTTACATCACGATCCACCGACACGCTCTAAGCCCTCTAAGCCGAAATCACTCAGAAAACAATCAAGTACTAAGCATACGTAACTTTTGATATGATATTTTAAAAAATAAGATACGGTTGCTCTCTGGTTCTTAAGAAAGATTCTAAATATAAAGCTTAAAATGATACAATATCATAATTTTGGGTTCGTTGCGCTAATTACAATAATTTGTATGTTCGCTTCAAGAACTTGGCTTCCAGTTTAGTAACGTTTATAATCTTAAATACGTTACGTTAGCTTCTTATAAAAAGTTCATATAGAAAATAAATATTTACATTTTCTGTGTACAGGACCAATGTCCATCATGTTAGATGTTTTAAGTTGTTTACTAAAACGCACTTTTAACGACTGCATTGAGGCGTGACGTGGTGGATGTGGATGCATCGAAGCGGCGCATTGAAGCGAAACATTTCGAACGTTCATCGGCATTGCACCTGGCGATAACCTGAGCATGTCGAGATTTAAGCAGCAGAAGTCTGTTGTGCGATTTTATGGTCGTTTATCTGAGAGACGCGCGCAGCTCAACGCCAGTCGCTTGTGTGGGCAGAGGGAGAGTTAAGCCGCAATAAGTTTTAATTAATGGTTATGTCATTACTCACGCTAGCCCCTCTCTGTATTAAAAAGAGCAAGGCCTTTGATTACCTTAAAATCAAATAGTAATTGTTCATCATTAAATGGAACGATATCATTGAGCCTAAAGACCTTTTGTTGAAATAAAAATAACATTTATTAAATTTTACAAAGATATTCACATAAATATTCCTTTATTCAGGGCCCTCGAGATGCGCCCAACTACTACATAGCCTGCCAAGCGCCGTTGGAGAGCACGACCAGCGATTTCTGGCGTATGATCTGGGAGCAGCAGTCACGCGTCATCATTCAGGCAACAGATCTCAGTGAGAACGGTATTGAGAAGTGTGCCGAGTACCTGCCACCTTCGGCGACTTTGGACAACCACAGCAGCTATGGTGACTACCAGGTGACCCTAAAGCATCGCGAGGTAAAGGATCGTTACGCCATTTCAACATTGGTCCTAAAGCGAGTAGATGGTGAGGAGAGCCGCGAGCTTACCCATTACTGGTACAAATGGCCAGAGGCTGGTGTTCCGGCCGAGGAGGCACCCATCATCGCCATGCTGCTGGAGGCACGCTCTTCGCTGAAGTCATACTGCTTAGAGCAGGCCAACGAGCTGCGCGAGAAGTCAGCGACGCTGGAGACGTCGATGGATTCAGATGGGACCAAAGCCGAGGCGGGTAGCACGTCCAGTCACGAGATTAATGGAAATATTTCAAGCCGTAGCGCTGCGCGAAGCCAACAGGGGTAAGTTAACTTGTGTGATTAAAATAAGTATTTGTGATCTGGATAGCATTTTTAAAAGATTGTGTGTATAATTTAATATATATCAAAGCAGTTGTGTCTTGCATGGCTTTTTAATGTTCTGTGTCTTCCCTTCTCCGTCTCTCCCTCTAGACCGCTAACCGTTCACTGTTCTCCAGGCACGGGACGAACCGGTACCATTATCGCGTCGGACATGGCCATCCGCAGTCTGGAAACCCCAAAGCGGTCTGTGGATATCCCTCAGCTAGTCTACTATGTGCGAAGGGGACGTGCCAGCGCCGTTCAGACCAAGGATCAGTATGAATTTATCTACAAGGTGGCCAGCATGTATGCGGCCAAGATCACAAATCTGTCTAACGACAACTAAAAGGCTGTCCAGGATGGGAGGCTCCAATCGAGTGGAAACCGAATTTTCAATGGAGTTCAATTTTCCAGCACTGATCCGTGGGACCCTCAGTAACAATAATAGCTATGTTTTATACAATATATTAGTGTAATTTAGTATTATGCTTGAATGTTGGCACCTTATTAAGCGTCGTTAAATGTCGGGCTTTAAATATCATTTAAATGTATGTATTCCTTTATTATTGTGATATAATCGTACATTTGTATATCTCCTGATAATCTGTTGCATATTTATAATGTCAATTTTTTGTTTTTGCACTGTCGCGTTTATGTTCCGGGGCCATACAAATCCGGAACAAGTGAGATATATTTGGAGCGCTCTGTATTTAAAGAAAGTCAAATATGTAATCAAACAATGTATGTATCTATTTTAAACGAGCTTTAATGTACGTAAGTTAATTTGTAAGTTTACACCAAGCTGTACTGTACTCATATTATTGTGAATTACAAGAAAGAAATATGTCCAGCGTAGTTATGTGAATTTTTAAATTTGGCGGGCTTTAAAACGTTTTATGACTGGGATGTCTCCACTGAGTTTAAACGCCGTCCCATCTGCAGTAGAAACGCTAATTTTTAATGATTGCCATACGGTCACACTGTGTTTAATATTGTTGAATTGAGATTATAGTTTTGGTCTAAGCTTCCGGCTATCAGTAAGATGAAGTTGACTTATTTTTTCCTTATCTGCGTTTTTGTTGCCGCTTCTGTGGCAAGTGAACCCAAGGTGAAGATAGGGGTCAAAAAGCGCGTGGAGAACTGTACCAGGAAGTCCAAGAATGGAGACTTGGTCCACGTCCACTATAGGGGTGAGGGAATTCAGATAAGAATCCCGGATGATAAACCTAACCCCGAATTTCAAAACATTCTAGGTACGTTGCAGGATGGTTCTGAATTCGACAGCAGCTACTCTCGCGGCACTCCCTTTTCCTTCACACTGGGTGCCCGCCAGGTGATCAAGGGCTGGGATCAGGGAATCCTCGGAATGTGTGAAGGCGAGCAGCGGAAACTAACTATTCCCCCAGAGCTGGGATATGGAGCCGGTGGAGCTGGTGGCGGTAAGATCCCACCCAACGCTGTGCTCCACTTCGACACGGAATTGGTAAAAATCGAATCGCGTTCTGGATCTGAAGAACTATAAAATAAATCAGGCTATGAATAGTCATGCTACATCCAAAGTTGACTTACCTTTAAAGTTATAAACACTTAATGCTCAAATAATTTTTATACATTTTTCAATTATTCAGTGCATTCAATTTAAATTTTAATTTTGTGCTTTGCAAAAGAAAAACTTATTGCAACAAGACTCGTTTGAAAAAAACCTACAATTCTTTGGCCAAAAGTTTAAATCTTATTTTAATTTAATTTTGACGTTCTGAAGCCACGTAACAATGTAATAAAATAAACAATGTCATTCCTTTTTACTAGACCAAGTTATATTTTATTGCAAAAGCCCCTATTTTTGGCGCCTCAACCACGCCTCCACCTCGTCAAAGTGGCGTCGCATCAACCGATGCTTCTCCAACGTGCTGCTCTGGATAAAGCGCTCGCCGCAAGTGCCGCACACAAACGGACATTCACCGGTGTGCTGCTGCAGATGAAGCTTTAAGTCCTTGGCCTGACGGTAACTCTTCTCGCAGTAGGTGCATTTGTGCGGTTTTAGCCCGCTGTGGGTGAGCATATGGCGCTTGAGTTTGTCAGAGCGGGCAAAGTCCTTGCCACAAACAGTGCAGTGGAATGGCTTTTCACCGGTATGCATACGGCGGTGCGAGGCCAGTTCCGAGTGCCGGGGAAAGGCCATCTCACACAGATCACACTTGAAGGGCTTCTCCCCAGTGTGGCGACGCATATGTGTTAAAAGGGCCGCTGCGGATCTAGTTTCCATGCCACACAGGGAGCAGAGGAAGCGCTTGATCGCCTCCTTACGTTTTCGGTCGCCGTTGACGTGCACATCCCGGATGTGGTTGTTCAGGCGCGACTTCATCTGGTATGTGCGATCACAATGCGGACACTGCAACAGCGGCACAACGTCCTCGGTGGCATCCTTATCTAGATCACCTGTACTATCTGTCCGTGCAACGCCAGTGGCTATGCTGGAGGAGGATTTGCTGTGTTGAAGAAGAATGTGCTGTTCCAAATTCTCAGGCCACATGAACTTGTAGGAGCACTTTCCGCAAGGATGCTTCTTTTCAGTACTATTACATTGGCCCTGCCTATGGTGGTCCATGATGCTCTAAAATATTTGTTAAGTTAAGATCGAAAATGAATAAGAACCACAAAACCTACCTTAGACACGCATTTAAAAATGCAGTCATCGCACTCATGTGGCATTTTGTCAAAGCGGTGCATTGTCCGCTGGTGCTGTATCATTTCAAATTTCCGCTTGCACTGCACGCTGCACAGCTCGCATATATAAACGGGACGATTGCCACCACTCGGGTGCATCTCGTCCTCGGTCTCCGAATCCTCAAGCTGCAACTCGAACCCAGACTCGTTTGTTATCGAGTAATTATGCAAGGAGTCGTAGTTCTGGTGAAGTGATAAAGAAAGCTTCAGCTCCAGTTGAATGTGTGCTCGCAGATCCATGATTCGCTCGAAATGCAGATTGCACATTCGGCAGGTGATGCGTTTAGCTCCGTTTGGTCTCGATGTGGCCGCAATCAATGTTTCGGCCAGTGGAATGTCCTGTTCCTTCAGACCGTGCCGCTTTAGGTGCTTTACTAAGTAATCATGTCGGTAAAACTTACGACTGCACCACTGGCAGGGGATCAGTTTCGATTCTTCTGCATGTACACTAAGTAGGTGAACAGTAAGCGATTTTTTTTTGTCAAAGACCCGCTTGCACTCGGGACATTCGAAGGTCTGGTTCTGTATGAGTCATATGGTTTTATTAAAGTTCGATTATATCAAATAGTTTACTTACTGTAATTCTGTGCTCACGGAAGTGCGTTTTTAGATTATGTTTCCAGCGGAAGCGAAGCGGGCATTTGTGGCAGAGAAATCTTTTCTGTGCATTCCTGCACTGCGATTCGTTATGGTGACGCAGTAGTTGCAGGCTTACAAAGCGTCCATCACAACGCCCGCAGACATGAGGTGCCTCTGACCAACTGTGTGTCTGTCGCTGGTGGTCATATAGTTGATATTTTCGCGAGAACTTTTGTTGACACAGTTCGCAACTGTAGCTGGCCTTACGCATTTTCTTTCGTTTATTTTTTAGATCCTCGGGATCTCCATCCAAATCGCTATCCGTCTCCGAGCTGTCCAAGTCCATTTCGTAGCCGCTTTGGTTGGTGATCGAGTAGAAGCGTTGATAAATGCCCGCCGCCAGATCTCTGCGAATTAAGTTAATCAACTGATCTTCATCCAGATCCTTAGAATCTGGATAAAACAGTTCCGCCATTTCGTGTGGTTCAACATTCGGGCGACCACACAGGTTGACTATTTCGGGATGCTCCTCCAAGTGGCGCCGCAGATCGGCAATTTTGTTGTACTGGCTCTGGCAGATCATGCACTCAATTAGCTTGTAGCCGTGCGGCTTGCACAGATTCAAATCCACCGCCTTGGCCTTCTTATGTTCACTTATGTTGGCCGAACGCTTTGAGTTTCGGTGAACTTTAAGGTGCGCTTCGAGAGCTTCGCTGCGGCTAAATTTCCGAATGCATAGGGAGCAGGCGAACGATCTGGCTTCTGGCTTGTGAACGCGGATTTCATGACGTTTTAAAAACTCGATTCGTTTGAAGTTTCTCTGACAGTACTGGCACTTTAATAAAGACTTCCTTTCCGTTTTCCATTTTTGAATTCTCCTTTCCAGGGGCAGGCTATCCAGGGAGCTGTAAAGGTTGACGCATAAGTTAAAGCAGTTAGACGTGTTCTGAATGTCACCAACTCGACGTCTTCAAAGTCCGATGCAGGATCGTTTTCTATTGCCATCTCCATACTTCTCGGTTCCGTTTCCAGTTTCACTGTCTCAATCATTGTCAAAGGATCTACGGATTTTTTGCTCTCCACATCCAATTCGTCCGGTTCCGGTAGCTCGGAGCAAGTAATGCTAACATCATTGTCACCATAGTCCTCGTCCTCTGTCTCCAGCTTGACCTCCACATGCTGCTCGGCGCACAGTTCCATCGGCGCCTCCTGCAGGCAGTCGGTAGTGGGTTGACCGGATCCGTTTTTCAGATGCCTCATTAGCATTTCATTGGCGGCCAGCGCCTGTTTCACATAGCAATAGGCTCCCAGCAATTTCTTGGTGCAGCCACTACACAAACATTGCGGCAGTTTCTGACTTCCAATCGCATCCAGCTGTATGAAAATTAACATTTTAATTTATCTTTTTTATCGGTTTTACTTATTTTTTAAGAACTTTGTTTACATTGATTTCGGTAAGCTCGCATAGAATTTCCGAAAGCAGCTTGTCCGGATACTTTTTTGAGGGTGTGGCCAGTTTCAAAAGGTTGTCGGTGTCCGTTGAGTCGCAGGTGCGACAAATTACCGGTAGCTTCATGGCAAGCACCTTATTCAAGGCAAATTAAAAGCCTTTTCTAAGAATATTCCAAATCAACAATCAGAAAAACATTATTAATGGTGTGACCTTGAGGCGAGAGATGGAAAAAGCTGATTGCTTTCAAGAAAAATACCAAGCTTTTGAAATATACTGAGTGCGTTCAGCAGAAGTAATGGATGTCTTCCTACGGAATTTTAGTGTACAGTCCTATAAATAACACATTATCTAAAAAAATTATATTGGATTTTATTTATTTTTTAAATAATTTGGAAAGCATTATGTATAATGATATAAAATTGAAACAGAGGATCACTTGAAGTATGGTATATATTTGAGCCCTTCTTTATTTATATGTACTCGTGATTTATTGGAGATCACGGTTTTACATTTTCTGCTGACAGAGCCCAATTGTAAAATCAAATATGCACTTTTATTACTTTACATCTACGATAGAACGGGGTAAATTTGTTCTTTAGTCTACATTGAAGCTTAAAATAGTTTGTGGCATGTGCACGGGTGGCATACGCGAATTCAAGCCAACCGTCACCAAGCCTCGATCCGATTCTCTATACTGCGATCTTCTAGTACTTTTTGATAGTTTTTCGGATGAGGGCCAGGCGCTGTTTGTGGGCCTCCGTGACAGCGGCCCGCTTGTAGGGACGCAACTCATCCGTTCCGAAACCAGGTATCCACATATTGTACTTCCGCTCGAAGTGCAGCTGAACGTCGCGCACCTCGATCTTGTTTGACTTCCGATGCTTGGCGAAGGCACTGGTTGACTTTACGGTGTCTTCGACAAAGTCGTCGATTATCTGCAGCAGCAGCTCCTCGACATCCTCGTCCAGCTGCGTGGTGGTGTCCACCTCTCGGACAAGCTCCGTGAGACGCGGCTTGGTGAGCATCTAAAGCAGAAGAAACATTTTATCTAGAAATTAGGCCTATTCTGGGTGTACTCCATAAAGCACGCGGCTTACGGGGGTATTTTCGGAGCCGGCGGCGGATGCTGTGTGATTGGATGACTTGCTAACACCGGATGGGGTGCCCGTACCCGTGCCCAAACCGGAAACCGGACCGCCGTTCTGCGAGGATGAGTTGCTGTTGTTGGTCATCGGACTGTGCTGGGAGGGCGAGGCCATGGGTGGGTCGTGGTAGTGCCCGCTGCCGGACGATGTGGAGTTGTGGTTGTGGTGCAGGTGGTGCTCGGCGTCGCCGTTGCTATCAAAAGTGGTAAAGAGATCCGACATTGCTTTTGGGTTTCTTCAGAAACAAATCAAGTGCGTTTGTAATTTAGGGCAGGTGGATGGGGGTCGGGGTAAGTAAAGAAAGGCTTATGGGAGGTTTTGGGAAGTGGGTAAAAGTGCAGAACCAAAGCCAAAAGCGTTATTGTAATTGTACTTGTTGTTTTTGTGGAGTGTCGGCCTGCTTTCTCAACTGCAGTCGGTGTTTGTGTGGGTGTTTTTGATTGCAAGCGTAATGAAAGTAAAAGAATAGTAGTTGTCAATTTCATGTGTGGGCCTAAATATAAGTTATTTTGTTTGGTAACTTAAGTTTAGGGTCTACTGAACAGTTGCCTTTAACTCAGGCCACACTTACAATTATTCTAGTTTAGACACTGTTTTCTTATACTTATGTTTTTCCTAAATTACTAAACAAAATAAAAATAAGCAGCTCAACTACAGCCAAATCAACAGTAGGACCTGTTGTTGGAAGGAGGGAAATACCAGCCTGTAAGTCATTGGTATATTTATGTGGTGTTTTAGTATATTTTTGTAAAGCGGTCTCACTGAGCCGGAGTTCAAAACAAAACAAAGACGGCATATTTTGCAAATATCACGTAGATAAGGAACAATTTTTACTTATTAATTTGAAAAGTAGCTGCGCAAAAGAAGCATGTCAGCGACCGAGGAACCAACCGTAAACAGTCAGGTCCCAGAGAATGTGGAGGATGTGGAATTTGTGGATATGGCATTCACAAAGGAGTTGCGTAAAGCGACTAAAGATGTGCACAATCTGACTGATGTGCTGGTGAATGCAAAGTTCGCACTTGGTGAGTTCCAAATTCCCAAATAACTTACGTTTATTTACATTTTATCTCTTTTCCTTAGCGCTTTCTGATGATGAGGTCTGGTATGATGGACTTCTGGCATTCTACGAACTGTACAAATTCTTCGAGACTCATTTACCGGAGCGTTTGCTGCCCAAGGAATTTTACAGGACAGCTGCATTCGAGAGGGATTTCGATTACTTCTACGGGTCTGGTTGGAGGGAGACATATGAACCGCGCCCTGCGGTCAAGAAGTATTTAGAGCATCTGGAGAAGATTGCCGCCCAGAACGAATTGCTGTTGTTTGCCTACTCCTATCAAATGTACATGGCTTTGATGTCTGGAGGTCAAATGCTACAGAAGAAGCGTATGATTGCTCGAAAACTTTGGAAATTTTCAAGGGGCGACGATGAGGAGCAACAAAAGCAGGCCGATAAAGAGGCCGAGGTGGCAACGGCCAGGGCCGCGGATCCTTCTTTGAACAAAGATGACTTGCAGGCCAGGCCAATGCCCGCCCAAGTCACCATTTGTCCCCCTGGTTGTGAGGCAACATATTTTCCTGAAAAGGTAAATACATTATAATTTTCATATATATTTAAAATTAGGTGAGCGGTTAATCATTGGTATTGAAATTTTGTACATTCTTTTGTCTGATAACAATTTATGATTCTATATATTAGATTTCCGTTCTGAAGACGAAGCTCAGGCGTGTTTTCAACAATCATTATGGAGCTTTTGACGATGAATTGCGTGCCGCTTTTATCGAGGAGAGTCGTAACGTGTTCCGCTTTAATATAGAAGTAGTGAAGACAATTAAAGGAGTGAATCGTGCCAATCTTAGGAAGCTAGCCCTAGCTGTGATGTTCATTTCTAGTATTGTATTGGCCGTAAAGTTCGCCTTTAAGTAAAACAAGTAGGGAGTAACTATTTCAGCTCTCTCAAGGATGTTAAAATTGTGATCACACATTTGTCGTTTGTTAAAATAGTAAATATTCTAATATACTGCTGATATTCAAAAATATTTGTATTGTTTCAGTCAGTTTAAATTTATTGACTTTTTTCAGCAAAAGCATCAAGCAGTCCTCGTCTATTTAACCAAGGCATAACGCGCTCAATGTTGGCCCTGTAGCGCTCGTTGCTGAAAAGTGCCGATCTCAGGGATTCGGCCTCCTTATTCTCTCCTAAAAAGCTATCGGTCGAGAAATTTTCATCTGCCTTGTTTAGGCAAATCGTCAGGGTGGTCAAGATAGTTTCAGCCGCTTAAAGAAAAAAACAATTAGATTTTTTATCGGGAACTACAATTTTTTGTTACTTACCGAAAATGGGATGCTTTAGCAAAATGGCTTGCAGTTCCTTTAGAGAGGGTATAAAACCATTGTACTTTAACAATTTGGCATGCTCATTTAAGTTTTGATGATACCACCGGATGAGATAGTCAAACTGATCAACTTTAATATCAAGATGAGTGGAGCTCATTATGAAGTAGTACAAGTCCTGGGCAGGACTTCCATATTTCGTGACTTGGTGATCCAGTAGGAAGGTTTCCTTGACATGACCCTCTGAGTCGTATTGGAACATGATGTTGTTAATCCAGGCATCACCATGATTAAGCACATTGAACTCCTGCTCATTGATTTTCGCTTCTTCAATGATTTTGTCCACATGATTATCTAAAACCGTCGGCTACAAAAACATTTTTGGTTATTAATTCATCAATATGTCGTTAAAGGAGATTTACCAATTTTTGCAGGTACTCATTGACGCCATCAAACTTGGACACTTCTTCTAAAAATGATTTCTTTGTTTGAGCAAATATACCCTTGAAAACTGCAGCAGTCTGCTCTGTGAAAATGCCATTGTTGTATTTTGGCGGGTAAGGTCCATTGAGTTCCTTATATTTCAGAGAGGCTGCATGCCACTGGGCTAGTTTTTTTAGGGAGCACTTGGTGTGCTCCATGTCCATTCCCTTCATGCGATCACACATCTTAAAGCCAGCCGGTTGTAGGTTCTCCAAAATAATGTATTCTTCGCTGACATCCTTCGTAATGCGGAAGGACTTGGCACTAAATGTCACCGGCAATCCGACTTCCTTATAGAGCTGCTCAAAAGCAGGTACATATTTGGCGTACATCTCGATCTCCTTAGGAAACAGGTTGAAGTCGGAGAAGTTAATCGTGTCAGTGGCTGTTTGCAGTTTCAGGATGTACGAAAAGGACTTGACGCTATTGTCTGCAAAGGTTTGGTTTAGTTTAGTATTTTTTTTAATCTCCTATTTAATTTATTCACCTTTTAACTGCGCCTTGATATCAACCTTTAAAAGCTTAGAAGCAAAATTGTCTCCAGGTTTCGTGGCTAAGCTCCAAGAACCGTTTATAATCTTATCAAAATTGGGTTCGGTGGATGAAACTATCTCCTTAAAGTCGTTAACATTTAGCCAGTCCAAAATCTGATCAGGACTCTCATCTTGGGACTGTTTAAGAGGCTCCGGTGCTGGCGGTTGATCTGGGATTGGCTCAGTGCTAAGGAGGTACTATTTATCTTGAAACTGAAAAAATATTTAGAAATTTTTACCTGACTTCCAAAAAACCACGATTTTCCAACCAAGGTAGAATTCTTTCGATGTATCCATGATATCTCTTGTTAGAGTACAAATCGTTTCTGAAATTAACGCCTTCTTCGGACTCTCCCATGAAATTATCCATTGTGGCCGACTCTTTGGGGTCCAAAAGAACCACTGGCAGTACAGCGATAGTTGGGAATAGTACCCATCCGCCGTACTTAATCAACTTAGTGTGTAATTCCTTCAACGAAGGCTGTCGGCCAGTATATCCTAAGATATCTAAGTTCTTGGTCAGCTGTTCGTGGTAATGCCTGATGAAGAAGTCAAAGTAATCAAGCTTATAGTCAATTTGCACCGAGGTCATGATGAAGTAGAGTAGGTCCATGGTGGGAGTGCCGTATTTGGGGTTCTGGAAATCTACAAATACCATATCCTCCAAATTGCCCTTGGAGTCGACTTTGAATAGGAGATTATTCATCCAACAATCACCATGGCTGAGTACATTGAATTCAAGTGGGTCTATGACACCGATTTTCATGAACTCTGTAGTGAGATTTGCAAGAACTTTTTCCTGATCGAAATGAAGTTGGAACATTATAAATTAATAAAGGAAACTTAAACTCAAGACTTACAAGTTTCTCCCTAAAGGCCTCTCCGTTCTTAAACTTATTCAGATTAGACAAAAATGCTGTTCGAAAGGATCCCAACATTCCATCCATAAACGCCTTTATAGCATCCTTGTTATTTCCCATCATACCGTACAAGAATAAATCAGGATAAGGTCCATGCACCTGAACCATCATGGCACCAGCTGCATGGAACTGTGCCAATTTTGTAAGGGCGAACTTAGTTTGTTCTAAGTTAAGACATTCCAAACGATTAAGGTTTTTGTACCCATCCTGGCCGAGGTCGTGCATTAGAACCGTATTGGCTAGCTTAGGCTCCTTGGTTGAGTCCAGTTTAAAAGCTCTTGGAGCGAATGTTATGTCTACGCCCTTGGCCTTGTAGAGCTCCTCCAGCTTTGGTAGAATGTCAATATATGCCGCATTCTCGCTGGTAAAGAAGTTGGCAATGGACATCATTTGCTCCATTTGCGGCGTATCATGGGGTACCTTCATCATAAAGGATACCAGCTTCTTGCTCTTGTCTGGAAATGTAATTGATTAGTTGAAGTTGCTGATATTGCATTATTTATTGCCTAAAATAGTAAACATATTAGCATTGTCATTGTGAAAAGCCAAACAATCATCAAACATTTATTGCTAACTGACTATAAATGAATCGTACTAGGTGATTACTTATCGCCGACCTACACGAAGAACCTCACCTACTTGGCGACGTTATTTCGGGTTGGACTAGATTGTGGCAAATTAGTGCTATAAATAGTTTGGCAGCACGCCATTTGTGTAGTTAACTAGCTAACTCACCAATGAGCTCCACATCTATGCTGATCCTCAGCATTAAAGTGGCATAGTTTTCTCCGGGGGACATGGCGGGCTTCACCCGGAAGTCCACTATTTTTGAGAACTGATCCACATTGGCGGTAAGTAATTCCACAAATTGGGTTTCATGTAGCCACTTGGGAACCAAATTGCTCCGTTCAATCTTGGTGGGTGGAACAGTAGTTTCAGCGTTCTCCTGCTGAACTTTCTTTGCTACTGACTGCTTTTGGTGTTCCGAGTTTGTCACTGCGTAGCTCTGCTTTGCTTTGGAACTCCGTAGACCCATCCTCTAATATTAATTTAATTTTAGTATTTAGAAAAAAAGCAACTTGCAATTCGCGTCCGTTCAACTTGCCGATCGACGGTGTACTGATATTCAGCTCACGACCAACCACTCTAGTTATGCATTTCTAATCGCTGGTTTAATTGATAGCGTCTGATAGCAGCTGCCATTAACAAGTTTTTCGTTATTTCATCAGTTTTTTAAAGTTTACGCCTTTGTATCGCTAATCAGAATGTGCGATATGCCTGAACTTAAACTCTTCTTAATAACTGGAGTGATTAGATTGATAGCTTTAACTATCAGGTTAAAGGCTTGGCTTTATCAGTTCTTATGCTTTTGATAAGAATTTTTTATTAATACTATCGGTTTGAATAGTATTTTGCCGTTCTATAAAAAATTAGGGCAGGCTCATAGAGGGGGCATTATTTGGGCATTAAATATAAAAGTTATTATATGATTTTAAAGTTTTTATTTCATTTTAAAGTTTTAAAACAATGTTTAACCAAATTATATATAATTTCTTTGTATAATAATAACTTTTTTTGTTTAATTAAAAACTCTTACATTTCGTTGAAATCCAGCAGAAACAAGCTAGATATATCACATTTTTAATAGCCCTTTTAAGGGTCAAGTAGTCCCCTTCTGTTTAGCCATGGCATAATCTTCTCAATATGGGCTTTGTATCGCTCGTTGCCGAGAAGCTGCAACCTGAAGGCTTCTGATTCTGGGGTCTCAATGAAGAACATTTCAGGGTTGAAACCCTCATCGGCTTGGTTAAGGCAAACGGTTAAGGTACTGATGACGGTGCCAACAGCTGTAAAAGTAAAAGCCTTTTTTTTAGGCGTTCTTATAATATTTTAAGAAACAACGTACCAAAAGCTGGATGGTCTATCAAAATAGAATGTAGTTCATTTAGAGACGGAACAAATCCATTGTATTTCAAAAGTTTTGTATGCTCTACCAAATTTTCGTGGTACCATCTTATCAGATAATCAAACTGATCCACCTTGATGTCCAGCTCTGCAGAACTCATCAAGAAGTAGTAAAGATCTTGAGCTGGATTGCCGTATTTAGCATTCTGGTGATCCAGCAAGAAGGTTTCCTTGAGATGGCCCTCTGAGTCGTATTGGAACATGATGTTGTTAATCCAGGCATCGCCATGGTTAAGCACATTGAATTCTTTTTCATTGATCTCGGCATCTTCAATGATCTGGTCTACATGGTTGTCCAAAATCCAAGGCTTTACAAGAAAAATAAGAATTAGTTTAAGAACTTAAAATTTCCTAAAATAATGCTTTACCAGCTTCGGCACGTATTCCTCAGCACCTTCAAACTTTCCAAATATTTGAATATAAGAGTGCTTAGCAGTTGTAAACATATTATGGAACATGTCTCTCGTCTGTTCAATATAAATTCCATCCTTATACAATAGGGAATAAGGTCCATTTAGCTCCTTGTACTTAATGGAAGCCGCATGCCATTGGGCAAGTTTCTTGAGAGAACTCTTGGTGTGCTCCATATCCAACCCCTTCATGCGATCGGCCATTTTGAAGCCTTTTGTCTGAAGATTTTCCATTAGGAGATATTCTTCAGTAACTGGTTTATTGAAGACGAAGGACTTGGCACTAAACGTGATCGGTAATCCTGCGTCTTTATAGAGTTTTTCAAATGCAGGTACATATACGCGGTACATCTCCATTTCTTTGGGGAACATATTTACATCAGTAAAGTTGTCCGTGGTTGACTTTGGTTGCACTTTCAGTATGTAGGAGAATGTCTTGGCACTGTTATCTGTGGTGATTATCATGGTTAGCCTATTTTCCTATCACATTTTCAGATAATATATATATATTTGGCTTACCAACCTTTCAGTTGTGCCTGTATATCAACTTTTAACAGCTTTGATGCGAAGTTGTCTCCAGGCTTTGTCGCCGAAGTCCAGGAACCACCAAGAATCTTCTCAAACTCGGGATTGGAGGAGGAAATTACATCTTCAAAGTCATTGATATTAAGCCAGCTTAAAATTTGGTTAGGATTCTCGGGAAGCTCAGAAGAAGGAGTTTCCGGTGGGATCAAATGATTGCTGAAAGTTAGAATTGATTAACCCCAAGCAAAACTGTTTTAGTTTCCATGAACTTACTAAGCTTCCAGGAATCCCTTGTTGTCCAGCCATGGGAGAATCCTTTCAATGTATCCATGGTACCTTTTGTTGGTGAACAGAAGGTTCTTAAACTTTGCGCCAGCTTCACTGTCTCCCAGGAAATTGTCAAAAGTGGCAGTCTCATCTGGATCCAGCAGGACAACTGGCAGCACGCTGATCGAGGGGAACAGGGCCCAACTGCCATGCTTGTACATCAGGATATGGAGTTCCCTGAGAGTAAGTTGCTTACCGGAGAAGCCTAGAAGATTCAGGTGCTTGGTCAACTGTTCATGATAATGCCTGATGAATAAGTCAAAGTAATCCAGCTTGTAGTCGATGTGTACAGAGGTAATGATCATGTAGAACAAGTCCTGAGTTGGGGGACCATATTTGGGATTTTGGAAATCTACGAAAACCATATCTTCCACATCCCCCTTAGAGTCAACCTTGAAAAGCATATTATTCATCCAGCAATCGCCATGGTTCAGCACGTTGAAGTCATTCGGTTCGACCTTCATTAGGTGTTCAAAGTCCAAAAAGATCTGTTTGAATGCCGTGTCCTGGAATTATTAGTTTAGTTGTTAAATCATATGTCCTTCAGCAGTTAATGCAAGGTCCTACCAGTTTTTCCCGAAAGTCTTCGCCATTCTTAAAACTCTTCAGATTTGCCATGAAAGCCGTTCGGAAGGAGGAAATCATTCCTTCGTAGAATGCCATTAGAACCTCCTTATTTCCACCGAAAGCCCCATTTACGAATAAATCTGAGTAGGGTCCATTCACCTGTACATTCATAGCAGATGCCGCGTGAAACTGGGCTAGTTTCGTCAGTGCGAACTTGGTTTGCTCCAGATTAAGGCACTCCAGGCGATTCAGGTTCTTAAACCCATCTTGGCCCAGATCATTCATCAGTACTGTGTTGGCCAAATTGGGTTCCTTCTTGGAGTCCAGTTTAAAAGCTTTGGGAGCAAAGATTATGTCTAATCCTTTGGCCTTGTAAAGTTCTTCCAATTTTGGAAGTATTTCTGTGTAGGCTGCATTCTCGCTGTTAAAGAAGTTCGCCATGGCCAGCATTTGTTCCATTTGGGGAGTTTTGTGGGGAACCTTCATCATAAAGGAGACCAGTTTGGTGCTCTTGTCTGGCGGTGAGATCGGAATTAAAAACTTGTTATTCAAAGTTTTTGTTATGTTTGGCATTAAAAGATAATTAGTATTCGACATGCACTTGGTATTGTCGGGAAATGATTCAAACAACAAACATTTATTGTCCAGGTAGGTACTGGCTATAAATAAATTGAAGATACTACTTATCGCCAGTCTACACGAATAAAAGCCTTTTTATTGCGTTTTCTAGGCACAAAGATTAGACATTTTATCAAGTTTATAGAGCATATTTGTCAATGCATAAGACGACTCACCAGTCAGTTCCACATCTATGCTGATCCTCAGCATTAAAGTGGCATAGTTTTCTCCGGGTGCCATAGCGGGCTTCACCCGGAAACCCACTATCTTTGAGAACTGAGCGACATTCGCGGCGAGTAATTCCTCAAATTGCGTTTCATTCAACCACTCTGGCCCCAAATTGCTCTCCTCAATTACAGGTTTGGGGTTCAGCGGTTCAGCATGAGTGGATGACCCCTCAATTTTCGCATCAGTTGACCGAGAACTTTTTATAGAGGCCTTTTTCTGATTCTGGCTACCGGTTGTAGCTACTTCATAGCTCTTTTTTGACTTGGAATTACGTAGTCCCATAGTGAAACCGGAGTGGTTTGACTAGAACTCGCGAATTTTGCACGTCCGTTCAACTGCGGGATCGGCCGTCGACTGATGTTTGGCAGCCAAAGTTCTGCTATAGTTATGCCGTTCAGATCGACGTTGATATAGTTTAATTATTTCATCATCGTCGACTGTTTTACGCTGTACCGTATAGAAATGTTTGAGTGAATTTAAACTATTCGTTGAGTGGGTGCAACCCTCTCGAATTTAAAAACAACTCAGTGATAACAGCCATGAAACTGATAATCTAAAAGCTCAAACGGCAAACACAATTCAGTGATACAGGTTTATGAACTGATAATGAAATTGTTTAAGAGTTCTTTTTATTTACTTAAAAAAAGTATATCAACAGTTTCTACATTTAATTGGTGACTTCAAATGCCCCTCGACGATGGGCCCAGGGAAGAATCACTTTTTGGTGTTTAATCATGCGGGGATTCTTTAACAGGTTGTTCCGGAACTTATCTCCAGCTCCTTCGCTGTCCATCAAACTGTCCATATTGGCATCATCACTGCCATCGACCAAGACAATTGGCAACAGAAGGGATACGATTGGCAAAACTGTTTTTGAGATTCAAAATTAGGTTTTGATGGAAAAAAACTTTCTGATAGACTTACTCCAATCTGCATGGTCAAAGAACGACTGATGCAAGCCCCTAAGCGAAGGCAGTGATTTTGGATACTTAAGTAGCTTCAGGTTCTCCGTGAGTTTTTCATGATAGTACTTCACCAAGTAATCGAATTTGGATATCTTGATGTCTAATTGGGTGGAGGAGAGTATCAGGTAGTATAGATCCTGTGCGGGTGATGAGAATCGACTCATCTGGAGATCCACAAAGTAGGTTTCAAGCAGCTTTCCCGCCTTATCATATTGGTACATAAAGTTGTTGCACCAGGCATCTCCATGATTTAGCACACGGAACTCCCCTTCGATCTTGGGAGCATAGGCCTGGAACATGTCCTGGGAATGGTGACCATACGATTCCTATACAATGGCAATAATCAATATTAGCTTCATCTAGTATGTAAAAGTGTGTATTAAAAATCCCTACCACATCCTTTGCCAAGTGTGAGGCATCGTAGAGCGGAAACGCTTCAACGAACGCCTTCGTTTGGGCTTCCCGGAAGACCTTAAAAGTATCCTCTTGGCTGCACAGGTTACGATTGTATTCAGCGGGATAGGCTCCCTTGAGCTCAAAACGAACAGCGGAAGCGGCATGAAACTGAGCCAACTTCTCCAGAGTGGCTTCGGTGTGCAGCATATCCAAGCCATTTTGGCGGTTTACATTTTTGAATCCCCGCTTGCCCAGATCTTCCAAGACGATCAGTTCCTCATCCAACTGATCCTTCGACTCATAGTAGCGCGGTCCAAAGGTAATATCCCTCCCGGCGTCTTTGTACATCTGCTCGAATTCCGGAATATATTGTCCGTAAGTCATGCGCTCCTTATCAAATACTTTCCAGCTGGCAACGTTATCCCTGTTTCCCGAATTGGGCAAGATCTTAGCCATATACGAGATACTCTTCTCAGAACCATCTAAAAGTTATAGGAATTTAGATCTATTGAAAAGTGTATTATATTTTTCTAGCTTACCATTCAATTCCAATTGGAAATTCGCCCGTAGTAGCAAAGTTGTGTAGTTTTCGCCCTTTCCACCTGTTGGTTCCAGTTCAAATGATTTAATTTCCTTAAGATCCGGAAAATCGCTTTTAATAAACTCCACGAATTTTTCTTGATCCAGCCATGCTGGAAGTTGTTCCGTGGTGCTGTCGTCTTTTCCCTGAACCATTCCGTTTACCTGTTGGAGCCGTAATTTGCACCATTTCGCGAGGGGCCGGTTTATATTGGGTTCATTATTAAAGCTTTTCGCTTAAAAGCTTCTGCTCAATTTCGTTGTTTGATTAAAGGCAGTCGCGTGCGAATGCTTTCGATCGGGGTGGACCAGTTTGTTCAGATCGGCGATAGGTTATGATGCAAAAACCACATTCATGCTTGACTGGCAAGAAATTAGTGCCCAATTAGTCATTCTAGCCCTAGTCTAGCAAGTGATCTTGCTGCTTGAACTCTGCTGATCAGGTTTGAGCTATCTTTGTGCCGGTTCATTGTTACGAGAACTTTTTTGCACTGATGACTGGCGAAAAACGACTTTATCTCTACGAAAGTTTTCTAAAATTGTTTAACTCTACAAACAAACAAATTGATGAGCCTCCAAAAGCTTTATATTTAGACGTTTGCTTTCATTTATTAGTTTTTTGATACTGTTTAGTATTATCGCTACAACCATCGTTTATCTTTCTTTGTAATTAGTCTTCTTCAAAGTATCCCCGATTCTCCAGCCAGGGCAGTAGCTCTCTAATTTGCACTCCAAAAATGGGATTCTTGAAGAGCTCATCAATGTCGTTGCTTCCAAAATCCGAGAGCATGATTGGCAGGATTTCCGTGGCAAACTCGAAAGCTATTAGCGGACAAATTAGTTTTCAATAAAGAGATAATATATTTTCCCAACCTACCCCAATGACCGTATTTCAAGAAATCCAATTGAAGATCCGTAAGGCTGGGCTTACTTCCTTGGAATTTCAAAAGGATTAGATTTTCGATCAACTGGTCGTGGTAGTACTTCACGTAGCTATCGAATCGGCTAGATTTTTCAGCTGGAGCCGTAAGGAGTAAGCTGAAAAGATCGTACGCAGCTGGACCGTATGTGGCGGTGTGAAAGTCGCTAAAGAGTGCATCCTTTACATTTCCGAAGGCGTCGACTTGGATGAGGAAATTATTTGGCCAGCAGGATCCGTTTAGAATAACATTAAAAGAAGCTTTAGAATCCAGAACCTTGCTATTTGATTTCACATACTTTTGGAATGATTTCTAAAAGTTTTGGGAATTCTCATAAGGGTATCTAAACATTTACTTTCAATAGTACTTACCACCTTATCTTCGTACTCTCTTACGTCGTTTGCTCGAAGACTCTCGTGAAATCGCATTTGGTATAAGCTCTTGAGCTTGGCAGCCTCTTCACCCAGTTTTAAGTGCTCACCGAGCTTTGGAAGCTCTCTAATCTTTCCGGAATTCTTCTCTATATAGCAAGCTGTGCCGGCGTGATAGGCAGCCAGTTTCGAAAGTATTCCTTGGGTGGCGGTTACAGACAAACCTTTGAGGCTATTCGCCACAGAATAACCTTTATTCAAAATGTAATCCAAATAGATGGATTTTTGTTTTGACTTGATGATGGGCGAGCTAAAGTGAATGATCTTCTCCGCATTTGCATACAACTCTTCTAGTGCAGGTAGTACGGTCTCATGCATGTATTGCTCCACCGAAAAATCTCCTTTTATGGGTACTTTTAAACCAATTGACACCGATTCTGGCGACTTGATTAGGTAACTCACTTGGCGTTTCTTGTTTCCTGCAATTAGTTCATTGTTAATGTGTAAGGACTACAGATTTTGTTATATCTTACCTGCCAAACTTACTTGAAGATGAGCGCAGAGTGAAGGCTGGGCCAGTTGAACCTCCCATTTGCAACGAACGCTCTCAATTTTTCTAAACTCGGGAATCTCTTGTCTCAGCAAACTTTCCAGATCCTGCTGATCCAGCCAAGTCGGGCAAAGGAGCATCTTGGGATAGCTGTGTTACCAGAATTGGGTTCGACATTCTCCTCCGTTCCCGATTGCAAACTGAACGACACCTTAGAAAACCCAGCAAGCTATTTTCATATATGTGTACACAAGAATCGATAAGTGCGTTGATAGGGAATGTGGGTTATATGATTGAAATTTATGAAGTCAGACAAACATGATTGTCGATTTTCAAGTTATCTAAGATAAGTCAGTTAGAACACAATAGTAATTCGCACAAAATGAGATTGATAAGTTTGGTTCCGACTACTCAAAGTAGTTGACTAGTAAGCAGCTTTGAAAAACCATCTGCTACATTTTCTGTTAAATCCCATCTATCATGACTTAATATATATTGGATTCTACCCTAATTGGGTCCTGAAAAAGTGTCGAAAATTGCGAAAAATGTCCAAAATTGTAACAAAAGTCAATTAATTTGTCATAGCGATTTGACAAACCTAGAGCAAGGGGAGGGATCGCATAGCCAATCTCAGTCGATGGATGAACATGGTTATATTCTATGAGAAGCAGTTAATACGAGGCACGTGGCAAGGTCTAAGTTAAACATTTTAATGAACTGAGGACGTTTCTCACACCACAGGTGACGGAAAGATCAACTCTAAGTCTTAAGATCAAGGAATATATAGATAGCAAAGAGTTTAGTGATGCGCTAATCGCTGGCACGTGAGTCCACTTTATGGAGAAAGGGATGTGGAATGCAACCCCGGAAAGCTATTTGTGCATCTGGATGGCGATCTAATGCGGCATGAAGTGTCACAAATTCATCAAAACATATTGTGGACCAAACTACCAAAACAACAGCAACAAGGGGAAAAGTCAACCCTCAGGTAGTAGCCCACTTTCCGACTTCCGTACCCTAATTCCGTGCAATATCCGTTCCGAATTAATTTAGTGCCCAAACGAGGGGCGCTAATCTGTTGGAAATGGGCGTTGAACGCAAAAATTCCTTGGTATTTAGCCAGGAACAGGGAATCCCTCAAGTGTTACACTTGTTCCTGGGTTGTCCTTGGTTAGGGGTTGCTACAATTGACTTTGAATTGCTGCCCTCCCTTTTTTTCGTTTCTCCCTTCCCAGCACATCAATTTATTAATAATAATTTCACGCTTTGTTTGCCTTGTCAAATTTTGTATAATAGTTTTCTTTCTTTTTTCAGGTTCCGCTTAGGAAACCTTCCCGCTCTTTACGCAATGTGACTTCATCGAGACCACCAAAAGGTCCATGGCATGTGTTCCCTTCCAGCAGCTGCATTAATTCGCACGCAAATCACGACATGGTCCGCTTTGGTTTGGTCTAAAATTCTTTAGTAACAAGTGCGGGTAATGTTTAGGGGGATTATCAGGTGTATGTTGGTGGTACTTTTTGTTGGTTCTTTAAAGTCACCACCAAGCTTAGACAACTAATTTGTTTACTGTTTGCCAAATTAGATTATCTCTAAGCCAACAAAACCAAAAGTTTGTTTGGGTAATTAAAAAAAATAGGAATGGATTGTATTATATATTGTTAGAGCCGACTAACCCTTCCTAGAAGGGCTCCCTCCCCAAATCATACTACATATTTATCACTTAATGTTATTATTTATTATTGTTTTTTAAACAAACTTTAAAATGCTAGGGATAACATTTTTCATTAACTGCTATCTACAAGTATTAAACCAAAGCTCATATGTCTAGATACACCGAAATATATTTCCAAAAATATTGCTAGCTAATATTTCGGTTTAGTTTTATGTCATAAATTTTAAAGAACTTCAAAGAACTTTTACATGTTTAACTGTGGTTGTAGGGTGAGCCAAAGTCGCGTTGATAGGCAGCCGCTGGATGCAAATGATGTGGATGGATAGCCGGTGGTGCAGACTGATGGTGTCCATTCATGCCGCCATAAACTTCGGAGCGAGACTTGTGAGAATTCGATGGTGTCCCACTGAGCAACTCGGCCATGAATCCAATGTAGGTGATTGCCAGACGCAGGGTTTCAATGCGGGAGAGCCTTTTCTCATAGGCGAAAGTAGGCACCTTACGCCTCAACTTGTCAAAGGCTTCGTTCAGGTTGAACATCCGACGGCGTTCACGGATATTTGCAGCTCTCCTTTGGGCAATTGAAGCCACTCGGCGTCGGGTCTTCTTTGACGAGCTCGAGGATCCGTTAGCCCTTCCATTTGTCGACGATCGCTGGGGAACCAAGGGAGTAACCTGCGAGCGCTGCCACAAAGCTGTGGGGTTTGAGATTTTTATTTAATACTTTTTTCACAACATTTTCCTTTAAGGTACTCACACAAATCAGTGCAGGGAAAGCCTGCTATGAGCTCCTGATAAGGCACTATGGGCGGCGGAGGAGCTTCCTGACCCCAAAGTGGCTGAAATGGAACCTCCGGCATATAGGTGGGCTGGTCACTGGGATGTGGATGTTGCATGTCTGACTGTCGAATTGGAAAGGTACTACAATTGGAAGACCTTTGGTCTGTTCTGCTTGGAAGACTGTGTTGCAATAAATTCTTATTGTCCTCACGGGCTGCGAAGTCAGCTCGGTCCTGTTCTGATTTTTGCTTATTGGATTTTCCTCCCTGCCGGATGGCAGCATCTGCCAAGTGGAGGCCATTTTGGATTGGCAACAGTTTGGTGAATTTCGATTGGTCGTTCTTGGTCGAGGGTTGATGAGGTGGCGTCTGATGTTCCGACTTTCAGATCTGCTTTGAACAGTATCTTCCAATTGAATTGGAGAATTATTACTACCATCTAAATAGGAGAGCATTATGAAGCTCAAATAGTAATTTAAATTAACTTTATTTAAGTTAGATTGAAAATTTAATTATGCATCTTATATTGTTTATTGTAATGTCATTTCCTAATAAAATTAATGATGGGGCATTATTTTATATTTTTTGACCAAATATACATTTGATTATTTAAAAAAATTTTATTTAACTATTTTAGAATATATATACAAAACTGATTGTCTATAAATTGCAAAGAGAAGCTTGATCTAAATCAGAAGTCTTATCCTCTTTTAAAACCCACGAAACGGTTATAAATTGCGGTGGTTGTGTTCGCTAGGATTAATCAGAGACACAAACCCTTAATAGAAACAAACCGGTTAACTATTAATTACTGTTCAAACAGGTCCTTAATGAAACTTAAAATGATGGGTAATTAAAAAAACTAAAAACAAAATTGAAAAATTAACAAATAGGTATTAGCATTTAAGCAGTGGAAAAGACTTCGGTACTGCTTGAACTCCAATTTCAGATGTGAACTGTGTTCCAAGTTCCTATCTGTTGCATGCATTTGTTTTTGTTTATAGTTGACTCTCTGAGAATTCTGGTCCGCATTCAGCTCTCCTGCTGAATGAGAATCTAGTGCAACTGCGCGGATAATTTTGCCGGCTTCCCGTTTCCAATCCTACAGTTATTGTGATGCTATGGAGATGAAAAGCATTCCCCCAATCGTGCCAAGTATTTAGCCGCGTGGCAACAGGACAGCGTCCGAGGCTTAGATTGGAATGCGCTGACAGACTGAGGTAAGCCTTTGATGGGCATTTGGAGGTCTGATTCCTAAGGGGGTTGTATCCAGCATTCGGAGGATTTCATTGTCGCTAAACTTTACAATGGGACTGATTGGAAAAGGGGAGAACATGTCTTCAACTTTTGATTTGCATTTGAAAGTTGGGTTTTATGGCTCCAAATGAGGTTTCCAGTTTATTTATTTAGTTCGTTTAATGTTCATCTCTGCCAGAGGAGTCCTACTCAAGGGTGCTCCATTGTGTCAATAACTTGAAATTGGATATGAAGTGTCTCGGATACTGTCAAGCAAAGACAGACTTTGATGACTAAATCTAGTCACAAGACATTTGAATCTCAAAGGCATCAAACTAAAAAAAAAAATAGTTCTGAAATTTGCATTCATTTCGTTTCCATCCATTAGACGGGGTCCGTTGACGCGGTTTTAAAGAACAAACAAACTCCATCGTAATCTTTCGATTTGCTTTAGCAAAAGGGAGTTCAAGTAACCAGTAATGTCTGAGGCGATTTGTTTGTGTCTGCGTCTGAGCACTTGCCAAGATTTATGCCCTCTGTGATGGTAAGCACAGTCTCAGCTTACATTATGAAAATGTAAAAATAAGAAAATGTGGAAATTTGAATTTCGTTCTCCTACCCCCAACAGACGTAGAGCTTTCTGCCATTTCCTAATTTTCCACACAAATGAATTTTATTTATTACACAATTTGGGGATTTGTACTTGGAGTCGCATCTGTAAACGACATGAAAGTGCTTAGACTCCCGAGCGTTAAACGAGGCATTAGCCCCACTGGATTACGGCTAATACCATTGTGTCCGGGGACGAGAGGCTAAACGGGGCATATACGGAGCAATCCCAGGTACAACTCTGGCTAAAAATTATTATTTTAAAATTATGAATACATTCTAGTAACATAAATATATTCGGCATGTAGGTTTATCGCTTTGCTGTATTTTATAGAGCTTGATTAATCAGCAGAGCTTAATTGTTTAAGAGCAGAGCTTAATTTTGGAATACATAAACTGCGAACGTTTATTCTGGTGGACTATTTAGTTTTCCAGTTGCGATCATGAGAGACCGTCTTCTTTTTTGGATTAGCAGCCTCCTGATGTTTAGCGTGGTTATACACGCTGAAAATTACCCAGACACCAAGGCCGACCGCAATGTGGCAATTCTCAATAAAATGACTAGTTATATGGATGAAGAAGTGGAATCCTGCCAGAATTTCCGAAACTATTCAGTTAAGTACGTTGAACGTGTGGATCTGCCATTATTAACGAGCGAGTTCATTGCCCTCTTGGAAGATCTCAAGAATCAGACTTTTAAGAACGGTAGCGTGGAAGAAAAGATGCTGCAATTTTATGATATCTGTTTGAAGACTGAGCCAAGAACAAATTATGATGGTATAAAAAAAGAATATACTCTTAAGAAATTGGAAAGGAAATTTCGCACGTCAAATCTTATCAATTTTGTCAACTATTACTACCGCCGTTTTATCAAATCCGACTCTAAAGCTAAAATTATCGACTGGAGATCATTTGCTGAGTTTCTAGAGTTATTAAAAACCTTCAATGCCGGCGATTGGACCGATAAGAGTGAAATTGAGAGTGCATTTATAAACTCTATGTATTTTCCCAAAGCTAAAATAGTTCAAGATTGTATATACGATGTGAACTTTTTCTTTGGGATAGCCATAAACTTGCTGTACGAAGAGAATGTTCTGGGACCTCTAAAACAGAGCCAGTATCAGTTTCAGGTGATGAAGATTTTCGATGCAATACGCCAGCAAGTTAACGCCAGCCTTCAGAGTAACCCATTAAACTGGACAATGTCAGAGATTGACGCTCTTCGACAAAATATAAATAGTTTGACCCTAAGTATTGGAAGCATTCCCGAGAATGTCAATCGCCGTGAGTTCGTCACAGATTACTATAAAAATCTACAGTTTTCAGCTGAAGACAGCTACCGAGATGCGTTATCAAAGCTTGGTGGATTTCGATATTGGAAAGGAGAAAATTTTATACGTCCGAGACATACTACAGTTTTCAGAAGTAGAAAATCCATTGTGGTATCTTACCACCTCCTTGCCAACTCCACCTTTGAATTAGAAACACATGACCTATTCAAAATGACCCCGCTTGGAATTCAATTGGCTTTTCATATGTTAAATAGCTATAGACCAGAAAATTGCTATGACTACAACGACACTGGACCCCGCATTTTCGGCGATTATCAAGTTAATGAATTAAACAACTTCTGCTGGAAGCTTTATGCTAACGATAAATCCTTGGCTAAGCAACACACGATCCTGCTGCTCCTGAAGCTCGTACATGAATCATATTTTGCACCCGATTCAAAATTTAACCAGACACAACCCAGCTTCACCGCAAAAACCCTAAGCCAGCTCTCATTCTTGAGGTTGGCCCAAAGCAGTACACAATTATTTGGGATTCAAGAGGAGCTACTAAACAATCTTTTGCCAAAGCTGCCATCATTTGCACAGGCTTTCAACTGTCCTAATTCAGAATAGGATGAGTAATACTAGAAGGCATACATTATACTGATGTATTCTTAAACATTTTGACTTTCTTATCAAGAGATGCGTATTGTTTTGGACCTATTGCGTAGGATTGATAACAAAGTAATTCGAATATATTTGCAGATTAAAGCTCCCAATAAAGAACATAATTACGAAAACAAGTGTATTTCTTGGATTTATTCTAGTTTTAAGTCTTTATACTGGAGTCATATTAGAGTAAACTTTGAAATCAAAGCAAATGTCTTAATTTTGAAGTTTTAAAAGAAAATAAGAAAAAATCTTTAATTCTAAGGTAGTTCCCCGCAGAAGTGAAAGGTCTTCGAAATTTTTGGTAATCATGGCAAGACAGAGAATTCTCGGCTCCATCTTTCCCAGAATTCAAGCGCTGCGCAATTACCATTCGACATTCGTGCAGGCTACCCGCTTAGAGTACGTTTCCTATAGTACACCGCGCAACCAAATAGAGGCACCTCCAATCGTGGTGATGCACGACCTTAATCTTTCGCTGGAGTCATGGCGCCACGTGGCAACTAATCTAAGCCAGCAAGGTCTGCGCCAGGTGATCACAGTGGATGCTCGGAACCATGGCCTTAGCCCCTATATATCTGGTCACTCGCCTATGCATCTGGCCGCTGATGTGGAGGCCCTGATGGGTCACCAAAGCCTGACTAAGATCGTGGCTCTTGGGCACGGAATGGGTGGCCGGGCGATGATGACACTGGCACTAACGCAGCCTCAGCTCGTTGAGAGGGTCATCTTGGTGGACAGGTATTCGAGATGATGATTCAGGTGGTTCCTACCATTCCCTCGAATCTCCCTCTCCGAGGGACGTGCGTTCATACTGCCACTATTCCAGGACGTTGTGCAAGATGTATCTGAACTACGTCGAGTTGTCTTCAATCTACGCAAGATGGAAGATAATACTTTTGGCTGGGCAGTGAATCCACAGGCAGTGCTTAGCTCATGGGCGGATCTGATGATCGACTACGAGGCAACGTTGGGCGGACTTAGTCCATACATGGGCGAAGTCCTGCTCATTGCCGGTTCTCAGTCAGAGTTCGTGACCCAATCCAGTATTTCCGTGATGCAGAGATATTTTCCGAACACAGTAGTGCAGATTCTGGACGCAGGACATTGCGTTTATGAGGATCAACCGGAACAGTTTGTCGAATTAGTCGTTGAGTTTACGCAAACGTGTTTGGTATGTTGAAAACTTCGAACATATTTGAAATCAATTTTCAAATGGGGTTACCCATTTGAATCGGATTTGGAACATTACCTTTTGGTGAGTGAGTGCTAAAATTTCAGCATTCAATAAACTCAACCGATAATTGCGCTGTCAGCAGAATGGAAACCGCAGAAAAGAAAGGGCTGAATGGCATGTCGATTTGTAGTGCACCAGCCAGAATCGATGGGAAATCAACGTGGCAGGCAATCGAACCGATACACCCGATACTCGACTCAGGTGCTTGAAGGAACCAGGAAGATTGGCACACAAAGGCCAATCCCTCAACCCGACAATTTGCCAATAAAGCAGCAGAAGGTGAGGCGAAATGCGCCACAATGCGATACAATTTAGATTTATATGCTTTGTCTGATTTATTTGTATTGGACGTGTGGGCGATGGAGACGTCTGACTGGCTTTTGTGTCTGTTCCTGTGCCTGTGCTTCAAAAGTCGATAATCTGTGTACTGAAAAGGGAGTCTACTGTTACTTCTCAACCTTCTCCTGCGAGCACCTCTCTATATATGCTGTGTACTTTTGCTGAAATTGAGTCATGACTGAGATTTGAATGTGCAAATGTACACAAGAACGCCATGCGCCTTGAAGTTGTTCGCCCGAACTCTATATCCGTGTTGCCTTTGTTCTGGCTTTAATGAGGATTACGTGAAATTTCATTATGCTGCGTAATAAATAAGTAGCAAGTCAAATAAACAGGGACTAGCAAACAGCCATCCACACATTCCACAAATGCAGGGGAATGTCTACATGAACATTTCAACTGGATGTACGAACTGAAACCATATTAAAATTTAGACACGTACACATTTTATTGCTTGTTATTTTGTGTGTCTGTGCGGCAGCTGCATAAACCTCCCACACCAACATAAAGCTCCTCACTTTCCTGGGTTTTCCGCCTCCATGCACAAATGGATCGAGAGTAGTGAGCAGTGTTATTCTGCCCGGGGTCATAGCCTCAACTTTTCTGACCAAGATATATCCAATGCCATCGGGCATTATATCGCAGAAGATAAGAAATTTGTAGTTGAGGACTATAATTAGGTTATAAACCTTCCCTAAAGGTTTAACTATATCATTTACAACTTTAAGAAACTAATAGTGAAAGCTTGAAAAAATCTGTAGATAAATACCATATAGCACAGAGTAACTTGAACCCTACGAGACATTGAAACCCCCAGTTGCACCCAAACCCCTTGCAGCCTACAATGAATGCATGTAATCTATCTCAATTAAATGTGTATTACATTTTATGAATATTGATTTCACAGCCAGTCGTGCGTCTCCGTTAATTGGACTTTGGACTGAATACTCCTTCAATAAGGTGAATACGATAGGAGGGTGGTTCTCGATATCCAATGCACCTTTCGATTCGTGTCAGTTTATTCAGGTAGATTGCTGAGCTGTGCTGCGTGTTTGCTTTGCTTCGGCAGGCAGCCAATTCATTAGGTGTTCCTCCACTCCAAACGGAGCGAAAGACAACATGAAAGCTGCAAAGTGTACCTGCGTGTGCTCACTGAGAGATGCTGATGAAGAGTCCCAATCCCATGGAACTGAAAATCCCTAAGCGCGACCTAGCCCATATCCCACTTGCAGCTTATATTCCGGGCCAATTCCTCCGCTGCGCTTTTGTCTTTTCAATTACGGACGAGCTTCAAAGTCAAACTTTTGTGCAATTATCCTGCAAGACAATTTACCCTGTCTCGATTTTTATGAGCGCACAAAGTTTTCAACGGAATAGGAACTTTTCCAGCAGCAACAGTTTTCATTTCGCTGCGGCCCTTGTTGTTTTCCCTTCAAGACAGTTGATTTTTAATTTCGTGTCGGCGGTTCCCAGCCACGTTGCTGTATTTCTCTGGGAAATTTTTGACGGGTTAAAGTAAAAGTTAGTTGGCAGCCAGTAAAGCTGTGGTGGAGATGAAGACGCTGACCTAATGAGCGTTGTATGCCCCCATCTCAGAAGAAATTGACACCCCGGCGAGAGCTGCTAATGAAGCCGGGGCATCCGTCCAGCACACCGGACACCGGAACCCGGAATCGGGCGATAAGGTCAGCGGACTTGGTCGTAAAAAGGCGAGCCATAAAAGCGAATTGTGGGTGAAAATGTTGTGTGAGCTGGCGACAAACGGGAAAGTTCCGCTTATCAAAGACGGCCGGTCTTGAGCTCGAAGGAAGGAGTCCTGCTCCGGGATATTAATAAACATGTCTTCAGTGCCCATGGTTCGTTGGCAGGGCATTATTCTTGCCTCCGCCAGTTTGGGGCATTTCTGGGGTTAATGTGGTGGTCATTAGTGGAGTAATTGGCTCCTAATTGGCTTGATGAGTGCCAGCCAACTTGATTGGCGTCGTTTTGTCATTAATCGTCAAAAAAGGCACCTACAAAAAATGTGACCTAAAGTAATCCGAAACGGTTTGGAACCTGGAAGGTCATATCTCTTTGAGCTTGTATTTTTATTTGCAGTCGAATGGCATTAAAGCTAAAAATTTTTTCTTCCGATTTTACCCCCCAAAATATCAGTATTTTGCCCGCAAAATATCAGACTTATTACATTTGCTTTCTAATCTGAAAAAGTACATTTTGGAGCCTTTCTCTTCAAAATTATTATTAATACCTCCTTGATCTTGTTTTGTAATTCTTAGTAAATCTACATTCATTGTTAAGAATATGCAAAATTTGGTTATCTCAGATTGTCTCCTCAAAGTCAAAGTCTTCTGTTCATAACTAAGCCAATGGAGATCCGAAAATAAAATGGCATATCTCGTTGAGCTTGTTTTCTAATTCATAGTCGAACTGCAATTACAGTTTGAATTGTCAAGTTTTGATCATTTTTTGAAAAAAAAGATTATGTTACATCTTATTGAAAATTTCAAAAATTGGTTATCTCAGATTTTCTCCTCAAAGGCTCAGTAGTATGCCCACAACTTAGCCAATAATGGTCCGAATATGGAATGCCATAACTTGTTGGGCTTGTTTCCTAATTCCTAGTCGAGCTCCATTCACAGTTTGAAATGTGAAATGTGGCCCATTTTTTTGCAAAAAAAGGTGATGGTACCCCTTATCAAAAATGAGAAATTTGGTTATTCCTTAACCCTTTACCCTTTATCGAAAATGCAAAAAGTGGTTATCTCAGATTTTCAGCTCAATGTCCCAGTATTATGTCCATAGGTAAGTCAATAATGGTCCAAATATGGAATGTTATAACTCGTTTGTTTTTAATGTCTAACAGATCTGCATTAAGCTCCGGATAAGTGGATTTTTTTAATTTTTCGCCAAAAATGTACGATTATTTAAGATTATTTCCAAAAAGTTTAATTTTCTTAACCAAGATTACCCCTTTGAGCATGTTTTGTGGTTTCTATTCCACTTGCACTTAAGTTTACTCACTTTTTTCTTTTCTTTTAAGATGTCCATCTTATAATGAATTAATCTCTTAAATCGATTTCAGGTGCTTTTCCTTACTAGCAGTGAATTGTAATCAAACTTTGCTGATTAAAGTGAAAATGCGCAAAAATTATGAATCAATTTTCCTGTAGAGGGCAAGCGAAGTGCAAAGTCATCAGTGAACTGAAAAAGTGGCTGGGTCTGAAGCGCTGCTTCGTCCAGTATTAGCCGCCAATCACGTAAATTTGCATAGTTCCCTGGCACTTTTCTCTACGGGTTGGTTGTCTATAGGTGGAAAAACTAGGTCAAATCCATAAAAAGGTGAGAGATGTAAAAGAACGAAGCATTTGTATATCAACATTGGCATTTTTACTTCGGTTATTAATACATTTTCACTCAATAAATTCCATGTAATTGAATTAAATTTACGAAGGGTGTCTTTTTTTGTTATTTTTATTGCCACAATACGGTTTTTATTTTGGTTTTCATTTGTTATTTTGGATTAATCCCTCGTGTGTATTATATAATTGGGAAAATTAATGTTATTGTTAAATTCGACACATTACAATCTTTGAATAAAAAGTAAAATAAATAAGTTTTTAATTTGTTTGAATATTTTATTTAATATTGTTTCTGTTGTGAGTTGAGTTGTGCTAAAAAAATGAAGTCTTAGTAGGCTAGTGGACAAGCTTTCAAAGAATCGAAGATCTGGAACTCAGTTCATTTTTTTATTCGTAGTCTCTTGGATGTTATCAAAGATTTCAGTAGTTTTTAATATTGTAAAGGAATCGGTTCGTGTTTGATCAGCAGTAAAGGCCCCGCAACCAGGAGTTTTACAAATACTTTTTTTTACCTGCAATGGAAACTACGGCAGCCAGCGTGGTTTACGCCAATCCGTTTTACGCTCAAAATTACTCTAGCAACCAGGCACAGTCACAGCTCCAGAATCCGCACCAAATTTTCCATTCTAATTATATGATCAGTTCTGAACCTAATTCAGGATTAGAACTGGGGCTTGGATCTAGTCTTAATCCGGAAACGAGTCCACAAAGCGTTTTCAATGACATCTACCGCTTTGAGAACGGTGGCGGCGATGCCAGCGGATCATTGATGCTTGGCCAGGAAGATGACCATTTCTGTGGTGAAGAGACGCCTCAGTCGACATCAATATCGCCCTCTTCATCTATGGTGGCTAGCACCTCATGCTCATGCCCAACAACATCGGGAGAGTCGCTAAACCTGGGCACTGATCAGGAAAGAGATGTGCAGCTAAACCAGTGTGATATGGTGGAACGGGGAGAGATGACGACAATGGATGATAATCGGGAGCAGGATGGGGATCAAAGGATTCCATTCTTACCCTGCATGGGTGGCAATACGTCTTATATGGTGTTTCCACGCACGGCAGCGGACTATATGCCTCGACTAGCACTACCGCGACATCCTACCTATTTAAACATTGGTCAGGAACAGTACATCATTCAGCCAGAAACGATATTTGTTCTGGGAATGCGCCTTAATGTGACGAAGAACGATATAATCTTATTCTTTGGAAAATTGGGCCTTATCAGGATGGACGAGGCCAATAACAAACCCAAGATTTTCGTCTACAAAAACAAGATGACGGGTCGCTCCAAGGGCGAAGCAACTATTACCTACGTAAGTTCTTTCTCAGCACAGGCGGCGATCAGTTGTTTAAGTGGGGCGAAGTTCATGGGTCAAACACTCACTGTCCTTCCTGCCTACCTGTCCACCCGGAGAGGAAGTGTCCGCTACAGTTATCCTCGGGAAATGAACACTCCAGAGAATCAGCGACGCCAGCGTGCCCTGAGATGGAAGCCGGCCAGCGACAATTGGGTGTGCATGCTCTGCAGAAACAGTAACTTTGTGTGGCGCTCCTGCTGCAACAGATGCCGGGCTGACAAGCTAACTGCTAGCCAAGATCAGGGAGCAGGTACATCGACCGGAGCCAGTAATGCTCGCCGCTGGCGGCCTCAGAAGAGCGATTGGCCCTGTGGTTTTTGCTTCAATCTGAACTTTTGGTACCGGGTGAAGTGCAACCGCTGTCATGCTGCTCGTTCCGATGGTCCGCCCAGCTCCGAAACGGAGGAGAATGATACTTGGGAACTGTTACTCAACCAACCCAATCCAGAGTAGAAGGAGCATTTCCCTCTATCTACAGAGATATCTGCGTCCGCGTTTGTATCTGTATCTGTTTGTATATACTCATCTGTTTGTACGTGTCTGTTGTCGAACGACAGTTCTACTTTCCTATCCTGCTCCTTCAAAATTTCAAGTGATTGAAACACGCATTGGAACGTGGGACTCATAAGCAAACTCATCTTCTATATATATATTCAACAAAAACCTCAAAATTCCAGTTAATGTCTCTCATAAAAAGCAGTTCAATACAATCATATATCCCCGCCGAGCCAGTCTTAGCCGAAGAGCCCCCGAGATTGTGGGACAATGCAACCTGCTGAATGGTAATCCACTTAATCCGGGTAACTGAATATTTTACCCAGGCACAAAAGGCAGCCGGACCCGGACCCGGACTCGGACCCACCTGGCTAGCTCTAAACGTTTAATGAATTTATTTACTTTCCCGACGCCTGCAGTCAGTGGCTCATTGGCTCTGTGGAACTGCACTGAAAATATCCGAAATATCCATTTATATGTAGTCTAAATTGTTTAATAAAGTTTGTCTTCTTTTCAAATATTTTATTAAATTTATATTTATTTTATATTTTTTATACTTTAACAAGTTATTTTGAACATGAATAACATTTGAAACTTTATCAACGAACTTAGAAAACATATTTAAAAAATATTTTCAAATTTAACTAGACATATTTTGCTCTGATTAACCTTTCTCCAGGTGCACTGGTATCAAGCCACTTGAAGCCATGTCCCACAAACCCTTGGCTATACCCTCCTCTACCTTCCTTTCTTGTCATGTGATTTAATCAAACTTTGCGTCAGCCAAATCTGTACCACAACAGCTTGGGTGGCTGTGGCGGCAGGTTGCAGTTGCTCTTTTGGCTGCATCCGCAGTTGTGGCTGCCTTCGTCCTTCATCCTGCCTCCTGCCACCAGCCACGCCTCCTGGCTGTTCCACCTGTTCAACAGAGGCGGCGCCAGGTAGACTTTGTGTTGTGAATTTACTTTGCACTTTCTTCCACACGAGCGGAGAAGGCATCTGGTTGGAGCTGTGGGCCCGAAGTCTATAGTCCATCGTCCACATCGTCCGTTGTGCTGGTCTGCCGCCTGCGGGGTATTTGCGTAGCTGCAGGTGTTGTTCCTCCCTCCTTTTACCTATATACCCAAGACCAGGCCCCATACCCACCACCTGGTAAACCACCAAGCCCGCCCACAGTGTCGCCGATTTAAGTGGCAGCCGGGGAGTAAATGCAATAAACACCATTAGCTGCAACGACTCCGTTGGTCGTTGGTTTGCCTGGTTTTCGCCCAGTTTTCCTATGGCCAGGATAAGTTCACTTCAAACGGGGCCATCAAGGTACGAGTTAGTTTGAAAATGGTTTGGGGGCAAAAGGGAGAAATGTTGCCGCATCAAAATGCAAACGCGAAAGGCGAAAAGAGTCTTAAGTGAATTGAATGGAAAACTTTCAAACTGCGGGCGCCATCAAGTTTTGGTGCAAGCGGGTGGCAGAAAGTTTCTGAAGTCTGATTTGTTTATAGTTTTCAAGATTGTCGACTTTTTGTGACCCATTTTAGCCTTTACTTCAACATAATTAGACTAACTTCGTTTTGACTTGGCTATTGGGTCAGCCATTAGTCATTTATTATCTACAAAATTTTATTTTCATTTATTTTTAGGTCAAAGCGGATTTGAATATTGAAAGTTTTAGTGAATTGAATTGATTGGCATTGCTGATGATAATCCTGATCTTCATGTTTTTCATTTTTTTTAGCTTTCAATCAATAGATTCTGCGCTGATTGGCAAAAATGCAGTTTTATTTTTGCATGTCTATGCTGATTGATATTTTTCTTTGATAAGGATAACAAAAATAAAATGTTGATTGATTGAAGTTGATTAGAGGTAAGGATAGCATATTCAAATTATATGTGCAAGTAGGCCTATGAAAAAACTTAACTTCATTTAATCAGACAAAACGTATACAAGCTACAAGCAACAACCATAAACAAATAACAAGCAAAAACACTGGAACTATAAATGAATATATACCAAACACACGATGAAGAAGGAATATGAGAATTTCACAGAAAGTGAAGTTGCGCAGGAAAGGAAAACCCTAAGTTTCACAGGAAAAAAAGTTTTGACCAAGGAGAAAGCGAAGTCTAAGAGCGTATTCCACTTTAAAATTGGCTTCGAGAAGCATAGTGTTCAACAGGATGAAAGGCTGTTAGCTAATCGCGAATATGGCTTGCAAGCTGTCAAAGGTACGAATACTCCATATCCGAAGAGGTCTAAGGGGATTGATTCAGAGGTACTGAAGGCAAGACTCGAAGCAACAACCAGCTCATCCGTAAACGTTTTCGATCCAGTGCGACATGAACCATCACATTCGACCCAAACTTTCCATATGAAACGGAAGCTTTTTGACAAGGGGGAGTTCACCATCTGCAAAGGTCGAAAAATGAGCGATGTTTACCATCCCGCAAAGCGATCTCAGGAAACTGTTTCTGGTCCGGGCCACCGAGGAACAGCCAGAGAGAGCAATTTCAATGAAGTAAGGATCTTCTGCGCTGAAAACAACATAAAATTAGTTAGTTAGTGATTCGTTAAGAAGCAACTCTGCTCCACTGCATTTTCTTTTGTTGTCATCGAATTAAGTGGAGGAATTAAATTCAGGAGTCGGGACTTCCATCTTCGCATCTCCACTAGCTGTCTCTCTTTTTGTGGTGTCACTCACCGGCGATAAATGATGCCAAGTGCAGCGGAAAAACCGGAATGCCAGTGAGAGTGCTGATGTGAAGTGTTCTGACTAGAAGATACCCGCTACTCATATTACTACTTTACTCACTCTTCCTACTTCAAAGCGTTTGACAGAGAATTAAACTTATTTTGCAGAGAACTTTGGAGTTTTAATATAATTTACCAGATTTTTAGAATGTATGGGGTTATACTTTATTTTTCTTTTTTAATTTTCTACATTATTTATTATTTCATTTCATTTCATTTTTTAATCATGTATGAAACATTTTATTTTTTAAAGGAAGCTTTAAAAATGTTCCTGATAAATTTCTAAGTTTCTTCTTTATAACGAGTACCTTTTCGCTTTTCCCGCAGACGTTTCTTTCGCAAAAATCCACTCAACTTCACCCACATCCTGGCATCCTGGCATCGCAGACACCAAAACTACTCCTTTCGCCTTTCAGCTTCTGCGGTTCATTGTACTTTACGAGCATTTTCAGCGTGCTAAGCTCGCGACTTCCGCGTGTTTTTGCTCTATTCCGGCTGCCATTTTGTTGCGTTTTTCCATGGGTTTTTCCCGTTATCCAGCTTTTCATCCATTGTGCGACCGGGCACGTGCATCGAACAATAGCTGAAGAACGGTGTGAGCTACGGCGCTGAAATGTTTGGCTATGAATTATGGCAACATAGATCGACACACCGTTCCTAAGCCCAGATTGGCGTTGGTTGTGACAGTCTCCAAAAGGTTCGCTGCACTCGCGTATCGCGTATACGCAACGTTTTAGTATTTGGTTTCGGTTTCTAGCTGTCATATTGCCAACGACACGCCAGGGAATCCCCCGAATTCTCCTCGACTAGCTCAACCGACTGTCTTTTTCGGTCTGCGGTTGCCCTTTCCTGCACCTCCCCCTCTCCTCCCCTTTCAGCGAAAAGTTGGCCGGACACAAAGTCACACAGAGCCACCGACCAACACAAAAACGGATACCCTGACAGCTGTTCGTGTTTTTCGGTTCTGGCCAAAAACTGCAGAGAGCAAACAGCAAATTGGCAAAGGCCGTCACATTAGCGCCATTTTCCACTCTGCGGTCATAATTCACTGAAATTAATTGTCGCATTCGAGTTTTGTGTGCGCGGTCGCGCTGTGAACTTTGGCGGCTATTTTTCTGGTTTTCTATTCTGGGCTCCGATTTCCAAAGTCCCTGGGGTGCTGTAAATATCCTTCGGCTGGCTTCTGTTTAAGGTTTTTGCTGCTCAAGGAGTTCTATATTTGTTAAAGAGCTAAAAATTTGCGCGAACATTAAACGATTTCTTAAATCAAAGCCTTCCACTTGAGGAACTACGGTGGCTTGCCAAAAAGTATTTGGCCAGATCTTAACAGCCAGGCTAAATGCCAAGGGTTTTTCGTTGATGTTTTTGGCCAGTAGTGTCCGCCAATGCATACCCCACCTAATTTCTAGCCAGCCAACAAAAATAAAAAAGAAAGAAAGAGGAAAATTATGCAAAACATAATAATAAAATTTAATAAAAAATACCGGAGCACGCGTAAGTGGGTCGGGGGAATCCCTTGATTGTCCCAATGTGTAACGGGTCCTGCTAATGCTGCAACATTTTATGCAAATACTTTTTGGAGTGGCCCCGGTCCAGAGAGGACCGGAGATTTTTGTACCCGGCCCTCAAGCATTCAGGCTCAACAAAGCGCTTCCCGGTTTCGCCGCTGCCACCGCCAGCTATCTTTATCAGGTATTTGTTTATGCAGCTGCCAAGTCGAGGCTTATTTTATTACATTTCTTTGGGGGACTTCGTCGGCCGGGTACCCGAACCGTTGCCATTTATACAAATGGCTTTTGAAATAGGCAAATAAGTACTTGGTAAGTAAATTTTGGGCACCACCTGCTTACCTTCAGGGGCGTAGCGTCAATCGGCTGGAGATGGCACATAAAAATAAGTCGAGGGACAACGATGTCATTCAAGGACTAAACAAAAAGTTCGAAACTTTGCTTTGTTTTATTCGTTTCGGGTTATAAAATGAAACGAATGTTGGCAAACTTCAGACTTCAGTTTTGAAAGTCGGCAAATACGCGCGCACCATCAGCCACGCCTATTTGGGAAAGGCTGAGCCGTGGGTGGAGTTGGTGGTTTTAACAATGGGTATGAAAAATACCCTTTGCCGATTAACAATCATCTTCAAAATCATCTAACCAATAAAGTGAATAAATTAATTCACTTATTTAAACTTAAATCTTTTTTTTAAATGTTATTGAAAACGAAAAGTCATTCTAATATACCTGTAGTAATTGAAAATTAATCTATATCTATGGCAAGATTGCTATTCAAATCACTACCGATATCCTTGGAATCTTTTTATTGACACTTTAAATCCGCTTGCCATATTTTCTTTCACCAAATCTATGGGCTTAACCCACAGTAAAACCACTGTCGATCTGAACGCCTCCGGAAACAATAAAAATGCCGCGCTCACAATGCGCCCAGAATAAAAAGTGCTTATTACGGCGTATAGTTGACTACGGCCCTTTGTCGGCAACAGCGGAAGCTTCGGCAACAATTGAAATAAATGAATTGGGCGAAAGGATTGCTGGGCAAACATAAAACGGAATTACTGACGGGCCACATGGGAAAGGATTTGGGCCGATTACGGATTAAATTTTGATATTCCAATGCGAAATGCTGAGAAAGCTAAAGGGAGCCACTTTACAGCTCACTCATCATTGTTTATGCCGCCACAAAATTCCTCAGAGGTATTAAATCAAAATTGAAATAAAATCGGTAATAAAAACAAATGCCAACTTAAAGAGTTTTATATAAAATATACATATATATATATATATATATACTGTGTTCCTGTTGTGGTGGGGACACAACTCACAACTAAGCCAATTTTCAGAGCCCACCGACTGGGAGGCCAGAGAAGCTGGCACCTATTTCAAACTCAATTAAACACGAAAAGGCCAGAGAGTCGACATCCTAAACCCCATTTTCCAACCCCATCCAACCATTCCCTCCCCGGTTTTTCATTCGGTGTGTCATGAAATTCTGCACGGTGGACACAGCTGTTCTTTATGTGGGTACCACCGATGGTGGGTGAGTGAGTGAGTGAGTGAGTGGGTGGGTGAATGGTGGGTTTATTGTGAATGCAGTCTGCCTGGGTGGATTAAATATTTGAATACAGTTGTTGCCAGCGTGTCCCGGCTGGATGTTTCATTTTGATCTCATTTAAAGGGCTTCAAGCCACCCATGTTCTTGGGACTCTAACTAAATAAAGAGCTTTGGTCAGTGCCGAAACTTTTAATTTAAGTTTCGGCAGTCTTTAACCTTGTTAGTCAGAAGATTCGAACTCCAGGGGTTTGTTAAATTTACATGAAAATCAATAAGGTAAGGGAATGCAAATACCTTCCTTGGACAAATTTTAAGTTATCCCAAATGGATTTCACAGAGAATTTTAGCTTAGGTTCTAGGTTCTGGGCTTATAATATTTAAAGTACATTTACCCGTATAATAATATATATTAAGGCAAAGGAATATTTATTTTATTCTGTATTTATCACGAAAATGACAAAGTTGCTTAACTTAAAAGACCCCTTTAAGCCTATTTCTGCGGTAAACCATTTTATGGTCCAGGTTACTATCGATTTGGCTATCCTTTGGCAACAGAGTTTAAGTTCCCAAGGCAAAATCAGCAAGATAAGCAGAGACAACTCAACATCAACAAAAAGCACACACACACACACACAAACACAATTGCCGATTAGAATGTTTGCTGTGTTCCGGTCATTTGCATACATTGCCCATATTTGGGGCATGGCAAACAACCATATAGAGATTCGGACACGTGGACACCTTTTTGACCCATCAAGCTTTGCATTTAAATTCGGCAAGTGACCCGCATGGTGACCATGCATAATTAGAGCCAGTTTGGGGCCTTGTTATGTCCCAAATATTTGGCTTGTAAATTGATTTTGGCTCTGAAGTTGTTAAGCATGTGTGAAGTCCGACGTCAAGATCAAGGATATCAGGAAACAAAGAATTTACAAATTCATCAATGTCAATGTCGTGCTCTCCCTCTGTAGAGTTCTCGTCTGTTCTGTTTACCCTTTAAATTTGAGTCATAAATCAGTTGAAAAATCATTTTAAATTTATTGAAATATGATAAGGCTTATATTTAATAGTCTGTTTAGTTGGTTAAAATAAAACAAATTAACAGTTCTTTTGATATTCAAAACACGTTTCCATATTTAAGTATATAAATTTATGAATAAACATATTAAATATTAAACACAATTAGCTGATATTCTAATGGTCGATTTTATATTGTTTTTCCTTTTTTTTAATATTTCCTTTTGTTGCACGACAATCATCAATTCAACCTGATTGCCAAATACACCTGTTCAGTGATGGTTTTTATAGCCTCGAAACACTGAACAATTCAAATGGCTTTGAGTCAACGAACCAGCAATGCCACTCTCACTCTGATTCCCATCCGTTGGCCAATTCCCTTACCATTCCGATTTCTGATTTCCGATCCCAATGCGAAACTGTCCTATTGCTGACCATTGCGCTTTGGAGCGGAAAGCTTGCCAATTATTGTGTGCAAAGTCCATAAATAATATGGCTGGCATTGATGCAAGGAATGGATGTGATGTGGGTGTGGATGTTGGATGTTGAATGTTGAATGTTGGAGATTCACGAAGAGCTCCAAATGATGCCACTTGCATTGAGTGGTGCTGCTTCCTGCCCTGCTACCAATCTCATATACATTTATGTCGCCCGGCCTCCCGGAAGGCAGCTGCTGTTTCGCCTGGCTTCTACTGGCTTCAGGAGCTCTGTGTTTGTCCCCGGCACACATTTCGAGTGTTTTGTTTATGTGGAGCACACATTTCCAGCTCAAGACATGGAGCCGTCGTTTGCATAATAATTTAACTCATTACCCACAGCCATCTCTATCTCTGTCTCCATTTGCTTCTGCTTGTACTCCGGCTCCGGCTGCTGCTCCTTATCCTTTTGGGGACAGAAACTAAATAAGCATAAGTAAGACACATTCATTTACCAGACGAGTTCTCCTCCTCATCTTAGGTTGCCAAAGGATTTGCGGCACCCTGCAGCACTAACGAGGTAATTTCGAGGCTCGACGAGGTCAAGATGTGACGACGACACTTGCTAAATCCACCATCCAGCCACCACCCATTCCAGCTAGTGATGAATGCATTTCTGTTTGGTGCGCTCATTACCCATACGACACGTGCGCCCGTCTCCTAAACGTTCTGCCATTTAAATAGTTTCACAGCCCAGAAGCGCTTACCTCTGCAAATGGTTATTTGGCCTGTCAACATAATTGATTTGGCTTGCCATTCGAATCGATAACAAGTCGCCTTGGGGGGGGGGGGGCTGTATACCAATCGATTGGCAACTTTTACTTGAAATTTGCATATTCGTTAGCCCGAGGTTCAACACTACAGCAGGTAACGATGCACATAAAGTGCTGCAGGTGAAAGTTTCGTGGCCTCCGGTTGCGGTTCTTGCTCTGCCACCAAGTTTCACGTTGCCGCATTGTATTGTCCAACTTTTTATTGCCTTCGCGGTGCTCCAGTTTCGGGAATGGAAATGCTAAAAAAAAACTATGGATAAATTACTTCTCTTAAAGTAGTTTTTTAATCTACTTAAAAGTGGTCTTCAAGAGTGCACTACTTCCTTTTTTATGTTGCCACAAAATTTACGTACATATTTCATTAATGTTTTTGTCCATTAAATAATATTTTGAAAAATATGTTGCCATGAATCCCACAGGTTGAAGGTTATTTAAATAGATAAGAAACCATGTTCTGCCATGTTTGATATCTATGAAGCAAAATCATTTAATCGCCCGTTTAATAAATAGCTCTGAACACAATACATAGTCTAGACAGAAGAGGAATGGAATCAGGAATTCAACTAGTTTTTCCTTTTTATGCGTTTCCTTTTTTTCACTTTTTTTTCCCAGAGTGGGAATATTCTTGTACATTTCGTGCTGATTCTCGCTTTTCTCTAATCTCTCCCTCTATATCGTAGTTTTTTCTCGTTTTTTCTGTCCAGGTCAGTGTCGCCACCCAAGAGGATTCACATCCTGGGTATCTGTTTTGTTTTGTCTTTTTCTTCACTTATTTTTTCGTCTTCATCCCGGGCTACGCCTTTTTCGAGCTCATCCCGCATTTTCCGCTGCTTTTACTCCGCAGTGCCCGATGCAACGGCAATTCACTTAACTTACTCAAGTCGTTGAGGGCATAACTTCCGCTCCGCATTCCGGCAAAAGACCCAATCATCCCGCCACTCCGTTTACTGTCTTAATGCCAATGCTGGCACATTCCTTGGCAATCCTCATACGCATTTCGCAATCCTTTTCCCTTTAGTTCATGCAATTGTGCACTTTACTTACGTTACTTTACTTTACTGTATGTGAGGTTGCTTAAACTAGTTGGATTACTTTCGACTATAAGCAGATTGTAAGTCGAAGTCGTATGAATGGGGTAAATATTTACACTGCCACCGAGAATGCCAGTGTGTTTTATCTGCTATTTAGTATTAAAAACTTTTAAAATATCTTCCAATTGACCCAATTTTAAATCGTATAAATTTATATATAAATTAATTTCAATTTTCTGTATATGTTCTTAGTAGATCTGTGAAATGTTCTTTAGGTTGCACTTTGGCGCCGGTCTGTTTCATGGTCGTTAGTGAAATTGGTTTAACTAGATCAGTGAGTTGCCACCAAAGTGCTAATTGCACTGGATTCGAACCTTAAAAGCATCTTTGGCCAAGGCAAACAAGCCGCCGCCAGAAGAAAGTGAGTGAGTTCGGGTGTGAAAAAGCATGGATCAGTTCTCAAATAATTCTCGAGCTGAACGGAAGCGAAATGAGACTGGAAGCTGTGACGATCTTTCTGGTTTTCTTGTGCCTTACCTGGTTGCATTTGTGCTCCGGCGGGGGTCACCTAAAACGCTTGAGCAGATCGCTGATCTTTCCACCGACAAGTCCAACGCGTGTGCAGTTCATCGGTGGCATTGGTATACCCGTGGAGAACCTTCACTATGAATCAGTAACCGAAGGTTATGTGCTCAAGGCGGAGTACTATCTGCCGACCAACTCTACAGAGATTACTCGGGTCTACCTTAAGCCGCAGGCTATTACTGGAAGGGAGAAGGAGTCGCCGTATGGGGCAGTATACCGCTGGATTATATACCGAGGCATTGAGATGGTCATTGAGAACATTGGTTTGCCAGGAAGAAGTTGTCTTCTGCGACTAATTTGTGAGCACGCTGCACTGCCGCTGAACCATGAAAGTGGATTGTTGGGTGAACTCATGGATATAGTTCTCACGCCCTCGAGTTCTGTGGACGAATTGGGACAAAGTTCGGATCGGGAGTACCACACATCGGAGCACTATGGCAAAAAAGGAGGAGACTGCGAGGCGGCCTATGCAAGTAGATGCAAGAAGTCGCCAATGGAACTAATCAGTCTACTGCTAGAAGTCAATGAATAAATCGTTTATCCGCAAGAACAAAGAACTTTCGTTTCCAATTTGAATGTCAAGATTTGTTTGTTTTGGCCGCAAACCCACAATCACGTGCTGCCGCAATTAGGGTGTGACAATTACAAAGTTGATAAACATTTTAATTAGTTTGGCGCAGTGGCTGCGTGATCTGCCTGGCAATCAGCATCAATTGTAATTAAGGTAAGGACACGCTGGCTGACACGGCGTATGCGTAATGTGTGAAATCAACATGCAAACAGGATCACCAGTGTACTTAACTCGCTTAAATTTAAATGGCAAACACAATTTGCCTGAATTATGTGACGCACCAAAATGCGACTCCGTCCGAAATTTACGGCTTTCTCATTAAGTAATCCAGGACACGTATGTGTAGGACGCCTCCTAATGGGCTTAGTGAATTTTGGACAGTTCGAAATAGTAGATGGGAGCAGGACAGCCCTGAAATAATTACACACATACACACATTCAATGAAACGCGACCGGAATCAAGGGAGGCGGAATCTCCTGTCCGGCGATTGCTTCTGGCATTTCAATGCCAGAATGTGGAAATGAGTTTAATATTAATTAACAGCACGTCAACGCGTTTAGCAGGCGGAAAACGCAACCCAACCATAGGGTTTTGGTCATTAGTTTAACGGTCTTGTGTTTGTTTTTAAACATTTGCCCACTGGCCTTTCATCTGGCACTGAAACTTTGCAAATGCCATAGGGCCGAGTCTCGGCCATAAAAACAACTCTATGAAAATAATATTCTTGAAAAGCAACGGAGTGGGGTCGGTCAGTTTGGGTCCATTTGTCTTCAATTTACAGCTGCCCCGAGGCCAGTATGTGTGGTAAATTATTTAGCAAATGCAAATGCAATTTTTCAGCTCGATGCGGACATTGTTTAGCCCGGAGCTGGGACTCTCTCTCTCTCTGTCTTCTATCAATGGATGTTTTCCTTATATATCTCAGAATAATAACTGAGTGCCAAAGCAAATATGTTGTTTGACCCTAGAAAAAAAAAACAAGGGTAACTAAAGAAAAACTCTTTTTAGCTCGAGCTATTTATTAATATTTCGTTTTAACATCGCCTCAGGGCTGAGTTCACACATCCTAAGGTATTCACTTGAAAATTCCTCTGTCCATAAATTCTTCAACAATTTTCGCCAACAAAGCTGACATATGAGGCGTTTCCTGTCCGGTTCAACTCCACGCTCCTTTAGGTCTGAATATGCTAACTGCAATCCTTTCGCACTAAACATAATTTAAAAGGCCGGAACTAACCGAGGGAGCCACCTCGTATCGAAGGACTGCCGTTTTGTAGTGCTGAATTTATGGGCAAATGTGGAGATAAACTTGCTGTCATTTATCAACGAGCCATTGCCGGATTGGAGTCCAGCTCCTGCTGAGTGAGTGGGCCAAACCGGCCGGGTGCCGTCGCCTTTTGAAAACATTTTGACTTGAAATGATTACGCCAAAAACTCAACAGATAAAACCCGGAGCACGGAAGCGACCATAAATCAGTAAGTAAATGTGACTTCCTCGGCCTGTGAGTTGGACTTGCACTTTGGCGCTGTGTGCACACGATGCCAATGATGAGCCGGGAGTTGAGGGACAGTAATGTGGAAGTCCGGGTTGGGTCTAAGGACCCTCGCTCGAGTGTTGAATGGACGAAGGTAACTCTACCAAATTGCATTGGAACGACGGACGGAGTTCAGCTCCACCGTAGATTGGCAACATTTGATGGCAAAAGTTACGTTCGCATTTATCTTTCGAGCAAGTGTCACTTGTGAGTTTCTTGAACCGCAGCCAAGTCCGGAGAACTGTGTCCGGTCGTAGAGGCAACGGCACCACATCCTGCCAAGCAACAGGAGTCCTGCAGCTTTCGCTTTAAAATGGGTTTCCTGCTGATGGCCAATGAACAGATATTTTCCCCCAGAGTTCCAATAAGCAGCTGTTATATCTCGGGTTTAATTGTTGCAAAATAGCAATAATCTTATTGACTATTCAACAGTATCTGGACTTAAGCATAATGGGGCATTGGAGCAAATAATTCTAGTCTTGGCAAAGGACAATAGCCTTTATCGGATTAACTAGATTATTTAAGAAGTTTATTCAAAAGAACCTTATGCGAGACATGCAATCATAAGCCATAATTTGATTTCATGAATCTTAAACCTTTGAAAAACAAGTTTATCCTGACATATTTTCTCTGCTTTCAGACTGCAGGCAAATAAATAGATATTTAATACTCAAAATTTGCCTTAGCCTAAGCCAATATAAATTTAAAATCCAAATTCGAACAGGTAATTTTCATGGCTCCCTAGCCACCATCAATTTAATTTCTGTTGAATTTCCAAAGCACACGCCAATCTGTATATTTGACAAATAACTTGCTTTACCTCGTTGTTAATGTTGTTCCACCGATTTAGTACCAAAATTCCGCATCGCTAAAGCTCTTCATCACTTGACAAATTAGCTGACTTGGTCGCAGTTGTTGTTATTATTATTGTTATCGTAAATCGTGGGACTTCGCCTTACATCAGTTTGATTTATGTGGCGTTAAGTAATCATAATTTATGTTTAGCTTTAGACAAGAAACCACTCGCAAGTAACGTAAGAACGCTCTAGAATTTCCTTGCTGGCTAATGACTTAGAGTTTTGAGTTTGGAGTTCGTTGGCAGATATTGCAATTTGCATATGCACAGAGTCACAGAGCGCTGATTAGCATAATAAAGTGAGGAGGCATCCGTTGGCCAGGGATGTGCTGACTGTCAGTTGGCGGCAACACGTCGTATGCGCAATATTAATTATTCAGAGCGAGGCAAAGGCGCCTTGAATAAAGGACAAACGCACACACACACACACACTGAGACTCTAGACAAAACATAAAACAATGCGACACTTGTAGTCCTTTGCCCTACCTTCACTCCCTTTTTCTACTGTAAAGAAATTCAAAATAATTCTGAATTCCCTGCTTTGTATTTAAACGGGAATCCAGGGAACAAAACATGCCCCGGCAATAAACGAGCAATTTTTCCAAAATTACAAAAATGTGAGCAAACATTTTATTTGCGCTCTTAACTTGGCTGCCTAGCTAACGAAAGAAGGCCTCCTTACGTAACATTTATATGTACGCACACACACAAACACACACACACACAGACTGACATAAATCCTTGCCAATTCCATGAGATTCCAGTCGAGAAACGAGACTCTTTCTTTTTTCTTTGCCTTTTAGTTTATTTCGTTCATTTCATTCTCTTTGGAGGTCTTCTTTTGACTTTTTTTGTTGTTGTTGTTGTTGTTGCCGTTTTCTCCTTTTGCTGCAATGACAAGAATTTGAATAATTCGCCAAATGTGCCAAGTTGAAATGTTAAAATTCCCAACGACGCGTCGCAGCCTCAACGGAAGTTGGCAAGCGGCCGGGAACTTCCGGTTTGGCAAAAAAAAAACTGAAGTCACGACCCGCCAAATGATTGCAAATGAATGGTGGCTGGGAGATGTTCGAGAAAACGACGCCCACCAGGATGCGCGAATGTGAGAAGACTCCGCAGGATGCGACGCCTTAAGAACTTCTTGCTTAATGCATCATTAAATTTATAGCCCGAAAATTATTTAGCGCAATTTCGCTAATGTGTCACACCATAAAACAAATCACAAATGTTTATCCAACGAAAGTTGGCCTTTGTTAAATGCGCCAGACGTTGTTTATGTTTTATTTGGAAATTATTTTATAACCACATAATTAAAGGCAGAAGTTTGTTGTACAAAGTTTGTTAAAAAGTTCGTGGCAGGTTAAAAGATCATTAACGAAAAATATATATCACGTATAACCTTTTAATATAAAAGATCAAACTTATTGAACTCAAATTAAATTTATTAACATATTGTCACTTTAAAAGGTGAAGAATGAAACCTTATCCTGTTTGCCGAAGCCTTGTCTTGTTTTTAAAATCGTTGAACCTCTGCCATAATTTCCCCTTTTATTTCCACCATCTACATAAGCCGCTTCTTGATGACATGATTTCATGATTTCATGTTTTTCCAACTGTTCTCCGGCTTGAATGGCATGCGACGACAGCGAGTGCAGCCTGCAGGTCCTTCGAGTTGTCGAGAGGGTCCTGTTTTTCTCGCTTCTACTACTGCTGCTGCTGCCGCTGCTGTTGGTGCTGTTTTTTTCCACGGCCGTGTTGTCAGTTCGCCATTCTCGGTGTGATGGCTAAAGAATTTTTCAATAATCGAGCCATGCGCAAAAATGTATGAAGCCGTTGTGCCATTCCCGTTGGCCTCCTCTATTGAGGAAATTAATAACGCCATCGTGCTGGAAAATGTCGAAGCATCTTGCGCGTGGCATCCTTCCGGACAGTAGGCGAGGAGGCATAGCTAAGAATTTCGCCCCCAAGGACCAGGACAATTAATGAGATAAGTACGTCGGGGCATAGTTCAAGGGGTGCCGAATGAACCACAACTAATTTATTTTATTTTCTCCATTAGCAAACCGGGGCTTCATTCATCACATTTCTGCCCTTGTCCACTGCCGTGTACGGTAAGCCTGATAAATTCAACGATTTTGTGAGCCGTCAACGGCTTGTTTCTGCGTTGCATATGACACATTGTTTTCAACGTCAGAGATCCGCACCAGAAAAACCCAGAAAGCAATTAAATAGGCGACTTAACTACACTCAAAAAATGAAAAACTTGACTAACTTTATAACTAAAAGAAAGTGTTTAAAAAAGAAAACAGTACATTTTGTGGAATAGTCAAAAAAGCTAAAAGGTAAAGCTTTCAGTATGGCTTTGCTGATAAACAATCTATTTGGAAATCAAACTCTTTTTAAGTTACTTTCATTTTAATAAAATTTTAAATAAAAAGCCATACATCATATATAATTTATGGCAAAATTATGCAGTTGATAAATGATTACCCAAAATTAAGGCCATAAATTGCCCAGAAATCGTTCCAAACTTTTCCTTTTGATTTGTTGCCATTTTCTTCCATATTTGATTTCAAGTGTATATATATTATACACATTCGCATATGCATACACGTGCCATATCTTTGAGCATACACTCTAATGGGTGTTTCGGGATAATAATTTCCTTGAGCTGACGGCCACGGCAAGCGGGAATCCCCGGGCATTTAAGCGCCGCTCATTTATCACAAATTTCCCATTTACCAGCGACTTGTCCGAGTCGGGTAAAATTAATATGCGAAAATAAATTATCTGGCCAAATGAGCAGCGTTTACCGCAGCCGCCTAAAGGTTACGATGGTGCTCTGGCCAGAGGGGAATCCCATTTTCACACGCGATTTTTTTTGTATTCGACCAGGTCCAGAGGCTTTTCAGCTTCATCAGTCACAAGGAGAGCAAGTGCCTCAAAACGACTGGCAAATAATGGCCCATGGCCATTTGGCCAAGCAAGCAAATAAGTTCGAAACGCATACGATACCCTGGCCAGTCTGCAGGGTAATTGAATATCGGTCAAGTGTGAAGGAAGCGGGCCAGTCCACAAAGTGAGGACTGCTCACCCACATGGAAAGCGATAAAAACCCGACCGTAGTCCCTTTAAGGCGGCTTTAATATTTCACAATGGCTTAAAGTCTTACTACTACATAACGAAAAAAAAAAAACACTTTAATGGACGGGATCCGATTGTCGGAGGCAATCCGCGTTAAGGCTCGCTCACGTGCATTGCCTCAGATAATCTCCCCAACAACGAGCCTAATTTGGAGGCATTCATTTGGAAAATTAAAAATTAAATTGCTTGTCTCGCTGCTCCCGACGTGATATGGGGAATATTGTAACATTGGCCCGCAATAAATCTCATTAGCGAGCACAAAACATCAACGGCATGGGGCAGAACAAAAATTGAGGTCCTTCAAGGAGCTGTCGTCATTTTTGAATTGCTGTTGCTAAGCACTCAGTGATTAACAGTGAGCAGGGACATGAACATGACGAATTGATTGGATAAGTTAGTTAGCTGGGGAAAAACGTATTTCCAAAACCATCTCATATTCGTGTAAGAAGTTATCTATATCTCTTTGACAAAGCCAAAGTATCAATAGCATTGCTCACACAAATTGAACAGTATCGAGTGGCATTTCCTGTTTGAAAGCCAATCCCATATAAGCTTGTGAAAAAATAACAAAATTCCTCGCATAAACACAAAATGTGTATTTAAATCGCAACATTCCGTGGCAGTGAGAGTTAACCAACACAACCTCCTCGCCGGCAATCCATCATAAGCCTGTCAGCCGCAATATGCCAAGTGGTTGCGGTTCAGCAGCCCCAACCTTACACCATAACCCTGTTGCACCATATGCCGTATCACACACATGCCACATGCCAGCCGATGCGTTGATAAGATTATTGTATGAAGATATTCCGCAGAACGCAACACATTTGCATAGTAACACTGGGTGGCAGAAAAAGGCATTCGGTTGGTGTGGAATTCTGAATCGGAATCTATGACATGCCACGGGACTTGCCGCCGGTTGCACGTTTAAATTGTATTTTGTCGACTGCCATCTGCTCTGCGACGAGCTACAAATTTGCCAGTAAACACTCCAGAGAAACCTGGCAGCCGGAAAGCAATTCCTTTGCGCCGTGCGAGCCCCTGAAATATTAGCCTCGTTTTGCCAGAAGTCGAGTGCCCTACTCCACCTGCTCCTGCTGTGTGGGCCCAACTTTATGGCCTCTGATTGCATTTGGCTACCAAGGTAAAAATCACGTGGGGTATTGAACATTTTTCCCTTGAATCGTCTGATAAATATTTAAATATTCCCAAGATTGCACTCGTTTCTCTGAATTCACTTTACTTTCAGAAAGTGTAAATGATATTTGGACTCCAGATTTGGAGAGTGTTGCCTCGACTAGAGTCATGTTTTGTAACTGAGTTTGGGTTGTAGAAGTAACAATGTATTTTAAGTTTTAAAAGTTATGGCACTCCATACTCCTCCTTGCCGTATTTTGGCTAAAATACTGATATTTTTGGTAAAATTTTCCATTTTCAAAGATGTTTTTTACATATTAAGGCCCAAAAGGTACCCACTGAAGAAACATACAGTATTTTATTCAGCTGAAACATAGTTTTTTTTGGTTATTTTTTAAGCTTATATGCCATATACATGACATTTTTTTGGCTTAAAAAATATTCTGTTTAAAATGCCATTTGCTTGTGTATTTTATTCCAAGCTTAACGAGGTATGACATTCCATATTTTGCCCATTATTTCATATATTTTTATGGCCAAAATATGCATTCAACGAGGTATTGCATTGCACGTTATTACCATGGTTTCACATGTTTTTGTTCCAAAAAAAAAGGAGCATCATGTTTGAAAATTCAAGACCATTTTTTAAGTTCAATGGAAATTTTTGTAAAGCTTTCCCTTTAGCACACCCATTTGCTTTGACCCGTAAGCCAACTTCAAAGCCACACGCGGGCCAATAAAGCAAGGGCCAACTCATCGGAATATTGACGCCTGGCCTCTTAATTGCTTGGCAAACGTTCGCCAATTCATCGCACACCAGATCAGGAAATCAGGGAAATGGGGAAGGAAGGATGTTTTGGCTTTACCCTCGTCTAAAATAGATTCTTTTTTTTTTTGGCCGGCAGCTTCCCCTTTTTTTCTTTCATTCTTTTTTTTTTGAAGGACGAAATAGCATCCGCCTCCAATTAGAGTTCTGCTGATTTGGCGCACTTAGCGAGAGGCATGTGTTTGCACGCCTGGTTGGACATCGTCCATGTCGAGATGGTTGGTCGGTTGGTTGTAGGAACCCATTAAGATCATGCTCCATTAATTGAGTTCCCATGAAATCGCCCGGTCTTTGGGAATGGCACTTGTTACTGGGGCCGATTGGGGATGGTGTCAAAATTGTGCATGTTCCAAATGGTTTTTGGCTGTCTGAACTGCCGACAGCCCCCCAACTCCGCCACTGTCCTCCCATCAAATTAAGTTACACTTGCAAAAGCGCCAAAAGAATCGTGGCCAGAAAGTGGAGCAGGAGGGGAGCAGCATCCATTCGGGGCTATGAGAATTAAATATGCATGGCTATGTTTTGGAGCTCGATTGCCAAGTGGGGGAGTGAGTGGTTCATGGTTCGCCATGGGCCGTAATTGTAATTAGCTTCTGCAGAGAGGGCTCCAAACCGAATCGGATGAACAAAGGATCTAGGGGGCGTGGCAGATTTAGAGATTGCGGGCTGGAGTGTGGCCAGTGGGCGCGAAATCAGCTAAATCGGCTAAATGGGTTAGCAGTGGCGCCATTTTCCTGATAAAGGGCATAAATAATCAGCACATATTGGGTGTGAATGGGATTCAAACACAGAGCCAGGCTATTCCCTCTTCAGTTGAGCTGTGGATGGAAATATTTTCAACTTATATGGAAATTGTAAAAGCCATTGCATTTATATGGTTTTGATTTTGTTCCAGCATATACAATTTCCATTTTCCAACTTCTAAAATATTTTAAATAAATTCCTGATTATTAAAAGTTTAACGAATAAACGTTATGATCTGATAAGAATGATTAATTGCCGAAATTGTAAATGTTCCGTTTAAGATTAACATCGAACTTGCCATAAACGTAAAGCAATCATTTTTAGCTTTTCCACAGATTGTGCCTTTTAAACCTATCTTAGCTGTGCTTTCTAACGTTCTGTTGGTTATAATCCTTGGTCCGTTCGGCAAAAACTTTTTGCCAAGGTCTGGGGACCTAAATGAAGTTTGTGCCCGCACTTAACCAAACCGCAATAAATCAAAACACCTGGTGGTGGTACTTAAGGGGCATGCCACCCAGAATGTCAGCCCAACAATGGTGCGACATGAGCAACAAAACAGATAGCTGAGAAGGAAAACATTTATGAGAAAGGGTGACTCGAATTCAAATACCCTTGATTTTACTCTTTAAATTATGAAAATATAATAAAAATATTTCAACATTAATAAGAATAATTTATAATTTAATAATCAAATTTTAAATATTTATTTTATTCTAAGAATATTGTTAGTTATTTCTCTAATTTTCTAATTCACTTTTTTGGGTGTATTTCAAATTAATTTCTTAGTTTTTTATTTACTTGACTTCTCAGAAAATAAGCAACACCCTCAACCTAGGCAAAAACAATGAAGAAAGGCTAGCACCAAGCGAAATCAAAACTTTTATGGACCCACAAAAATAAACGAAACGGCCAAGAAGGCGATAAGGCTACAACAACAATGGCAACAACAGGTGTTCGACACAGATTCCCACGCTTACACAGTCTCAAACATACACACAAACACACACACACACACACACCAACCCACATAAACAACAGGAAATGAAAACGGTGTTGCCTACTTGCAGGCGCAGGTATTTTGAATGCTGGTTTGTATCCACGTCCATGTTCTGCATTTGTTAACTGCATTTATAAAGGACTAAGCAGAAGCACAAGCTACGCACTGTCAAGAAATGAAAAGTGAAAAACTTGGTAGCTAAAAAGTTTGAGGTCTAAGTTTTTTTTTCTCACACCTTTTGCGGATCGTAACGCAGAGGTTTCTCCCCACAGAATGCAGTTAAAACTTGCAGCCGCAATTCAATTAAAACTTCAATGTAATACCACGAAGTACACATCCCCATGAACATATATATGTTTGTACGTATGTACATGAGTGGGGCTCCTTAACGCTGGGATGACAGCAGCGTGCCAAGTGCCTAGGATGGCTTCAAACTTTGTTGTTCCCAACCTCAGCTGTCCTCGTGTAAACAAACGCCCTAAAATGGAGGGCTGGCGGTAAATGAGCAGTGGCTCTCCGGACTACGACGGACGGACCAGCAAAACAGCCGGCTTTGTGTTACCATACGGAAGGGTAACAAAAATGGGAGCGGGTATCACAAATATTATCCGCGCAGGCGCCCTGCCACAGATCCTTACCAGCTTATAAAAGCCGCTGTTTTGGCCCTAACCAAAGCAGTTGGTTCGTGGCGCTTCTCCGGGAAACTTCTAAAATCGGAAAAATAGACTATAAAGTGGTTTAACTTCAAACTCCGAACTTTAAACACCGTACTTCGGCGTACTCCGCTTGTTGATGTTGTGGCAAAGCAATAAAAACTGTAATTAGTGTGCGCTTGTGGATTCGCAGAATTTAATTAGCAAGCAATGTGGTGAAAAGTGAAAAATAAATAAACAAACCCTTCAAAAGTGAATAAAAACTAAGCTTTCGAAATAAAAGAAAAAAAACAATATAAACGAAATGCAGTTTCCGAATGGTTAGTGTAACAAAGCGGCCACAAATGTAATCTAATTTGCGTTGGCAATGCAATTCTCATTTAAATCAGATTATAAGCTTTAATTCTTGTGTGATCTGGCATTAATCTCGCTATCAATATTTATTTAAAGTGAGCCACTAATAGTTTGAAACCTAAATTAATAGTACTTACATGAATTATGACTCAAAAATAATTAAAAAGTTTAAACTTTAAGTCTAAAGCTTGGATACCATATAAGCAGAGGAAGCAGTGATAATAATAACCTACCCTTTAGGTAAAGTCCTTAATAACCGTATTACATTTTAAACCATATTTAAAAAAACATATCTTATTAAATCAAAATATATACAAAAACCCATAAACTTAGCTAAACCGATTACCTGTCAGCCCGCCCACTTAATTACATTAAGTTTCAAATTATATTTCGTTGTTGGATGGTCTCCATGCCCGGCCAGCCCCAAATATTTCAAGCTGTCTAGTGGCCGTCTTTAGAGATTGATTCATGTGTTCAGCGTCCTTCTGCGGTGGGTCTGCCACACACGAGTACTAGTTGGTGCGGCATGCTGCTTAATTGCAGAGCAACCTCATCGCATCTGGCTTGCTTTGAGCCATTCCACAGTTTCCACAATTTCATATTGTTACAAAATTGCATTGTTAATGGCCGTTGGCAACCCTCGACTGCTAACTAGAGACTGGCAACTGGCAACTGACAGTCGCTTCTGTCCGTTTGTCTGCCAGCTTTTGCCAAATGGGTTAATGTGGCGAAGACCGAAAGGAGGTATACTAAAGGGGGGTTTAAGCCATTTACATACCATTGGTTAATGTGCAGTCCTTTTGTAATGGGGCAACTTTTAGCTCTGTCAGCGCAAAATATCTGCGGTTATCTCTGGGCCAGCGAATTTCTTTTTTTCCAGTTGCAATAAAAATAATCCCAGCATAGATAATGGATAAATGGGGTCGCAACCCACGCCAGTATAATGTAATGATTAGGACCTTCAATCGTCGAATGGCAGCATCTAACTTGCCCCGTTAAATCTATTTATTAACATTCTCATTTTGCGACCTTTTGGGAGTACATTGGATGCTGGAAGCCAGCTAAAGGGAACCCTTTGCTCCCCGCATCCGCTTCCGGTGGCAACAATAACAATAATGGCAAACAACAAGAACAGAGACGCTCTTATGCCATTAAGTGGCATTATAATTACAATTTGCACCGTGGGCCCAGAAACCATGGAGATTGGCAGCGGGGAGTTGGTAACGAGGAGCGGAAATGGAGGCCGACCTCGACTATAAAGTTCGCATTCGAAAGACTCATTAAGCTGGAAGGGAAAAGGCCACTTAAGTCAGGCGGGTTAACGTTTAACTGCTGACGCCAGTCCCGTATTGCCAGGAATCTTTTTTGCCAAAGAAGTCTAATCAGAGTAGGTCCAATTAGCAAATACGCTTAGCAAATAATCCGCACGGATTTTAATTAATTGGACCGACGTCGACGTCGACGTCTACTGTCGACTTATGTCGATAATCGGGACTCCACTGCAGGTATATTTTATCTTGTTTTTATGCGTTGAACAGAACAGAACCCAGTATACCATATGATACAGTGCCGTTGACTGTTGTTGCCTGTGATTCGGATTTTCAAATTAATTGTGCGCATAAATTTCCCGGGAAACCGGGGTGCCGGGTAGACATAGCCGGAGCTCCAAAGCCAAAGCCATATCCTTCCGCATCCGGAACCGGCAACCTTTTGGCTTTGTTTTTGGGGCCAGCGTTGGCAATAAATTCACTTTCGTCTCAAATGAGTTTGCATAATTCAAATACCGAAAATTGAAATATATCCCCGGCAAATATTTATTTAGTTCTAAAGTGGATTTACCCCAATTTGCTATGATTTAAGCGGGCGCTGGCATTAAGTCTGTTAGTTAATTGAGTTGGGATTAATGTGAAAAATCGGTGGAATATATATATATAGATATATACAAATACCTTATCTGCAGAGCAATGCTATGCAGAGGGGAAATCAATAAAACCGGAATTTAATATAGCCACAGAGAAGCTTAGGGCTGAGTGGAATTCTTTGTTAGGAATGGCGTGTTCGTGGGAAAAGTTCATCGACTGAAACGTTCCTGCAAGTGATTTACATATTAGGACCTGCTGGAATTAAGTATCTTTGAGATAGCGCGTGGCAGATAAAACTATTTTAGCACTATGCCCATACAATTTGTGCGGATCCAACTAATGGTTGGAAAGATTACGCATACGCCCGGTTGCCTATGCGGATGTGAATACGTCCCTGGGCCGAAAGCTCTATAAAATTAATTTTAAGACACTTGGTAGCTTAATCATTCGCACAGATAAAAGGCGACAGTTGTCCCCCAGGATAATTGCGTATGCGTGTGGAACGGCCTGGGACTTGAGTTGGTTTGATTCTTTCTAGGGTCGAGGGTTTTGTTGGTCCCCTCATACCAACATAGCCAGAATTCAAGGCATAATTTGGGTACAAAATATTTCTGTCCTTGTTCCCATTCTCCATCCCTCCCGCTGGCCAATTCCTGACCCAAAAGAAAAAAAAAAAGGAGAACCCCAAAACGAGGACTCACGCCACTTGTGGAAGTTTGGCCAAACGTGCTGAGCTTTTAAACTTGGCCAACCAACCGACCGTCGGGGGTGGCTATCAGTTTTACGAGTCCTCGGGGATCCACTCTTGTTAAACTCGCATCCCGCTGCTCACATTGTTGTCAGGAGGAGACCTCTCGAAACATGTCGGAGATTTGCGTGAGCAAACTGCCTTTTGATATTCAATCATCTCGAGCATCGCTCCCATAATGGCACCCAAACACACATACGCGCACACGTAGAGGAAATATAAGTTTATTGAGAACTTTATATTTCTTTAGATCAATTAAATTATTGATCTAAAGAAATATAAAGTTCTTAATGACATTGAATCATTGATAAGTAAATTTCAATTTTTTCTTTCACCAAAAAGGTAGATCAGATTCAAGTAATAATCCACTTTACTTGAAACCACGGAATACCTTTTCCAGAAATTAAAGCAGGAATATATATTTTTCCCAGTGCATCTACGCACACATGTTGACTTTCAGCCGGCCTTCAATTTGTTCATAATAATGTCCATCTATTTTGAAGTGTCACAGCGTGGGCGGAAACAAGTATTTTGATGTTTCCTTTTTTCTGCCTTCAAAGGGAAATCGAAATCGATGTATCTGAGTGTTCGGAATCGATATGGATTTCTCTTCCAGACCACAAAGAACTCCGTAAGGACTTCAACAAAATTCAAGTAATAAAAACCATAAAAGCAGGAAAACAATACTAATTTTCGGTGATGGGATGTCCGTGTATTTCCCCAAAGAACACAGACACAGAATCGCGGCATAAAATATGCATTTGTCCGGAGCCATTCGACTTTTCCGCCTGATTTATGGACGTGCCTTGCCGCTCACCTTGGCCAAGTCTATTTGGAATTCAAAAGCTTTTAACAGATTGTCGCTGGCAGTAACTTTGCCAATTTGCAAAAGTTCAACTGAGCAGCAACGAGAGAGCAAAACAAAAAAACACAAAAAAAAAAAAATAACCAAACAAAAAAAATGGATTAAGGACAATAAAGGCGGAGAAAAAACAATAACAATTACACTGATTGCCGCCCCTGGGGAATACGTTGAATGTTGAGTGACGACCTGCCCGGTCAGTCGAACGGAAGCGGAAATGGGAGCGGGAACAGGACAGCGGTACTGGGACAGAACTCGGTCTCTTCACGGCTGACTCGGTCGCACTTTTCTGGGCCAACCGATAGAAACAACTGGCCATAAAACAATTGAGGGCTCAATTTTGCACACCCCACCGCATCCGCATTCGCATTTGCATTCGGTTGCCATATTTGCTCGTTCTGTACATTTTCCATTTCGCACTGGGACCGTAGGACACCAAAAAAGGATTTGCCCCCGATACCGGAGCGCAACTTTGTTAGTTCCATAGCCGCCACTGGAAGTGCACATTTATCTACCGAAAATGTTTTGCCGCTGCTGCTGGCCTTATTGTTTTGGCCAACAACGATTCCTGCTGCTGTGCTTATGTGCGTAAAAATTCTATTTGATTGCACGTTTATGTTTGTGGATTTAACTTTGACTTTTCCTCCTCCTTTGTCCTGGCATTGCATCTTTTGCTGGTTACTCCGCTGGCCATTGTTTGCTCAACCAACTCACTGCAAAAATACTTAATCCAGATATTTATTTCCTGCACCAGGATATGAAAACGAAATGCAGCGACTTTGATGGCCCCAAACCATTCTGCATCCTCTAATCCTGTTCTGCAATGGCCTGGAGTAGTCTTGGTCCCTAAGCTGGTTGTTACCATGAGAACCTTTTATAGCCGCTATAAATTCTCGTAAATACTGTTACTTTCAGGTTGAATTTGCAGGTGGATCTGAATAGTTATTAAACTTAAAATAAATCTGAGATAAAAGGAATTAATTTGATAAAATCCATTTATCTTTAAAGTAAAATGAAGGTGCTTTTCGTGTAAAAATGTTAAAATGGTAAAAGGTGAGCTCTTAGCCTAACTTATTTCTAAAGCTCTTAAGTTAATCCGCCTTAAAGTTTCTTAGAAGCCAGGTCTTAACTATATTAAACAAAGTATTAAGCTTAAAATAAAATACATGAAATTGAATTTATTTTGCTTTGACACAAAATAAATAGAATTCACAGAAACAAGCTTCAGATGCAAACACATTTAATAGCTGCAAACTTTATATTTCAATATTTGCAATAAAATGAAATCATTTTTATATACAATCGACATTTAGCATAAGGGTCCTTGGGGCAAAAGAACATAAATTTACCTACAGTTACCGATATAAAATTTTATATAAATCATCCAAGAAAATGGCAAATGCAACCTGCAGCTATTATCATGCAAAAACCGGCTCCATTATTTGAATAGAATTGGAGACTCCTGTGCAGGTGTGCCTTTGTCCTTTTGTCCCTTGGCAATCCCGCCTCAATCAAGCTCTTCTTTTTTTGTTTGTACCTCTCCGCAGGCCAGCGATGAATGCAGGGTGCGCTGTGTAAGTGCCTCTGTTCTGGAGTGGGCGGATCCTAGTGGAATCAAAGCCGGAACGTGACTTTTGCCGAAAGTAAATTGAGCCACCGCAGCGATAAAAGCTGCCATGCCAACCGGCGAGTGTCGCTAGTACACTCGTAGAGAGATAAAAGATTCCATGGCAGGGCCAAATCCAGGTGCACCCGTGATGAGTACCGATGACATCTATTCGCGGGTGCACGCCACCGTCACCCTGCTGCCCCTGCTTCTGATCCTGCAGCTGCTAACATCCGTTGCAGCGACTCCTGTGCCTGTGAATCCCTGTGCCCACAAGGGCATGGCCGAGCTGATTCGCACCAGTCCGGTGATTGTCAAGGCCCTCGCCGCCCGGGTCTTTGCCGACGAGCTGGAAGCGCAGTCGTCAGCGCAGGACACGATTTTAATAACATTAACGCCGGAAACGATATACAAGGGCGCCTCCCTGTTAAAAGTGGCAAACGGTGGCGGCGATGCCGAGGACCCAATGTCCCTACGAACCGGTGGCCAAATGTCCTGGAGCTCGGGACACCGCAGCCGAGGCTCGAACACGGGATCCGCAGGCAACGGCGGTTCCTGGAGCGAGGCTGCTGAGTCAGCCTTTCAGTACGAGGGGTAAGTAATCCTGGAATCACCATCATCATTTTGTCCACTTTTCATTAACCAACTTCATCTCCACCACTGCAGGCAGCTAAATGCTACCCTCCAGCCACTGCGATGTTTCGATAATAACATGCTGAAAATGCTGCCGGCGGAATTAATTGCCTTTGGCAAACTTCTGCCCGCTGCGACAGCATCCTCTGGAGGCAATCCAGCCACCCGCCAGTTGCAACGCCCGCCATTGGGCAGCGCCAGTGATGTGCTGCAAATCAGCATCAACGGACTGCATCGCTGGACGCCGCAGTTCGAGAATCATATCTGGAAGCATTTGGGTAAGTGCCTACATCCGGTGTACTGGGTCTTTTGTGCACTTCGACAATAAGTAGATTTTTTGAGATTTTCCACTTGGTAATAAGAGAACTCCTACTGCAGAGTTTAATATAACTTAATATTAAGCATCATAAAATACTTCATATACTTTTTACTTTAAGAAGGTATTTTCTATGGCCTTTGGGATACATTTCTCTGAGTGCATCAATTCTGTCCCCACTCGATTGCCTCCCCTTTCATCCTCCAGGACTGTCCTGGCCGGGCTTCCGTTGCTTCCGTTAGTTAATCGCATTTCGCTTGTTAGTTGTTGCATTGTTGAGCAAATCGCTCCGGTCGGATGTTTGTCGAGTATTGGATGAACCCGGCGGGATAGAGTTTCCAAACTAGAGGCCACTGGTCAGACCATGGGCTCAGATGGGGCAATCAGTAGTAATTGCCACTAGAGGGCCAAAAATCTCCCCCAGCTCGAATATCGCAGCATAATTGCAAGCGACTGTGTGTTATTTAAAGCCGGCTTATATATCCCTTTCCATTGGCCATTTAAGTAATTCAGCTGTGAAATGCGGCGAACACTTGAAATTCCTTTAGTTATTTGGCTTATTCGTCAGTCTATTGTGACTTCATGAGCCCAGCTGGGAGATTAATCTTTGATGAAGATTGATAGCAATTGCCACCACAGTGTCTGAGATGCCTCTGCATTCAGGGGTTGAAAATATATACATAAAATAGAGCAAAATAAAATAAAATAAAAAATATATATATAATAAAAAGGGAACTTCTCGATGACGCAGCAGATGTAGCAGATGTGGGCCAGTGCCTTCTCTCAAGCCGGCAATCCGCACCACCGCCACTCGAGGGAAGCAACACTTGACTTTTGTGTCAAGCGGCTTTGCGCCCACCGAGGATCTGCCTTGAATTGCGGCAACTGAATGAAAGGCTTTCAGACCAAAGAACAAGGAGCCCTAAAATTTGGCACGATGATATCTTATTTTTATGGTTGATAGTAAAGTAGAAAAGGGATTACTAAATATGTATGCACGGCGGAAAAACAGAAGTGGTAAAAAATTCTATAAAAAGGGATAAAAGAACAAGGATGCTTATTATGTAAATTGACATTAAAATCTATCAATCAAATTAGTTATCTAAATAAAAAAAATAGGAGAATAATATATTGATAATATATTGAAATTGTTTACTTCCTAGCACTCACCTTTAATTTTCCCTTACTCTCTGCAAACAATTGGCAACCAATTACAGGTTGGGACGATTGGAGCGACTTCACATTGTGCAGCGTCACTTGTGGTCAGGGGGTTCAGCAACGCTTCAGGCGCTGTCTGTTAGACAATCCGCTGGTGGACATGAACATGAACATAAACCTGGAGGACGATGATGAAGAGGATGTGACTGATGGTACGGACGATGAAGCCGCAGTTGAGCTGACCATGTCCAAGGAGACGAACACTTTCAGCGACGGCAATAACGATCTGCTGGCCGATGATGAGGATGAGAACGACCTGCTCATAATGCGAGCAAGTGGCGACGAGTCATTGCATAAATTTGACCAAGCAACGACGATAATGCCACAGACCAGAGTCCGTGCCCATCACCATTCGAATTCCAGTCCCCCATCACCTGTCACCATGGGAGAAACAAGTGGAGGTAATGAACCACCAGCAGATGAAGGAGGAGGGACTGACGAAAGTGTCAGGTTTGTGCCGAGTGCACACAATGACCGGGATGGGAATCGAGTTGGAGTTGGAACAGGAACAGGCACTAGAGTTGGCACCAGGAAGGCACGTGCCAGCAATCAACACAAGAAAAGAAAGCCTGCCAAGAGCGTGGCACTGTCCACACTTCTATGCGAAGGCTACAACATCGAGCAACGCAACTGCAACAGTTTCGAGTGCAGCGGTTAGTTTATCAGTCAATTTACTCTTAACTCTTTAAAATCTTTAAAAATAAAATAAAAGTATTTAGTTAACAACTTTACAAGTATTAATTATAAAAATCTAATGTAAACTTTATTTTAAAATCTTTTTTACAGATGACATTAATGATCTATTAAAGTTCTACAAAAAGCTGCCGATGGGTGATGACTTACCCACAGATGCTTCGTATGCCTCTTCCTACCCAGATCCATACTCCAATGGGGATCTTACCACAGCTGGACTGGTGGGCACTTCCTTTAGTCCAACACCATCTACGCCCTACAATATGGGTTACATCCGGACCTGGAGGAACTTGCTCAACTTTACCTTGATGGTCACATTAAGGGCTAAGGTGGGTATGCGATTTAGGGGGTTCTTTATTTAAAGCAGAATAAAAATATGATGAATATTTTAGAACGATACCAAAAGCACGGCGACCATATTCTCCATACGCAACGCCACCCATAATCTTTATTTGGAGGCCTGTAAGGATGGACTCCGCTTGTATCTAGAGCGGGACAATACGACGGAAATGTTGCCGGTGAAATTCAATTTATACGATTATCGCTGGCATCAAGTTGCCATCAGGTGAGAGTGTGTGTGTTATGGTATGATTGAAGGATGTGTATGATGGCTGGCAGTGGGTCATAGGTGGGTGGTAGGTTCCTTCATGTCGTGATGATTGCCAATCACTGCGTGGGCGAGTGGCACTCACTTCGATCTGATGGCCATCGACGTTGACACTTTCGTTTATTTGCATTTTCAATTTATTAGCATAAATGTTTGTGCCATGAAACGCACACTGGCAAACACTTGACACACATGCAAATAGTAGGCAAAGACAGTTGCGGTCGCATAAATAGCACACAGATTTTATGTTAATATTTGAGAAGATTTTTTGGGCTATAATTGTAGGATTCTCTTTTATTTCATCTTCAATAAAGCTTTATTTTGAAATGTAGCTTAAATCAACTTGAGAATGCTATGGGTATGACTATTATCTTGACCGCATCTGTATACAGACAGTCTGCACATGAATATGGAAGGGCCTTTTTTTTTTGGTTCTTGTTTTTTGGTTTTTGCTTTTTGCTGGCTACAACGACACACACCCAAATTGACACTCGGTTCAAGTGGGCACCATTTGTCATCGACCGTCGGCACATTTTTCACTGTCACTGTGTGGGTGCGCTAACAGTCACATACAAAGTAACAATGCACCAATATGTATCCACATATAGTTTAATTATTTGCGAATAGCTCACTTTACCATTATTGTTTTGCTGTTATTTCCATCCATTTTCCACCGTACAGCATACAGAATGGCGATTTCATATCGATTTACGTCGATTGCGCGTGGACAAACAGCTTCGTTGTCTCCAAGCGACTCTTTACGTTGCCCGTGGATGCGGATGTGGAAATTGGACGCGGCTTTAATGTGAGTATAGACACTATATTATATTTCCTAGGAGATATATTTTTTTTAGCTTTTTATTACTCCTTACTTGGGTAAAAGGACTGTAAAAAATGCATTTTTGTAGTTTTAACAAAACTTTTAAACTAAATTGTGCCTAACAGTTTTTGATATCTAAAGAGAATTATAGCATTTATATGTTTATTTACGACTTCATATTCAAAAACAATCAACTTTCGTTATTTTCTTATTCAAAATAAATATTTATTTTTTATATTTACTGTTCGAGAGAAAACGTTTAGCTGTATTCATTGAGTCTTAAATGCATTGTATATAAAACCATAAATGTAAACAAATTGAGGCTCATGTCGTTTTTATTGCAAGGACTGCATCATGCAGATAGCGCATACGCCCCGTTGGCCGTTCACAATGCAAATTAAACAATTATTGTTGGACAATTATGTACTTTATGCCCATTAACTTTCGCTTTTTCTCGTCGCAGGGGGAACTGCAGCAACTACTCGTCCTTCCGGAAAACCAAGAACGGCTTCAATGCAGCAATAAACGCACCTCCATCAACGAGGTGAAACGCTACATCATCGACACATTCATCGAGGACTACAACGGCAACTAAGGGAAAAGGCCAATCGACCGAAAGCCACTAAATATGCATGCAAATATCCGTATATATAATATATATAGCGGCATATAATTCCACACGAAATCCGATTACAAATTCGGCAAAATCAAAACTGCATAGATTTATGATTATTCATTTCATTTGCATATACATAAGGCCAAAAAAAAAATTGTATGTGCCACTATTACATACTAATATAACGCATACGCCATGTGATTTATGCGCTAGCAAAAAGCGCACTCCACCACACAGCCCATAACCAGTCAGTAAAATTCGATTACGGACACATTATGGATGTCATCATTCCCATAGAAAATAACCCCGGGAATGTGCTCGGTATTTGTAATAATTAAGCTAATTTGACGGAATACAATAATTGTAAACGCAGAAATTAATACAATTTGCATAGCGGAAGGCAAATGCAAAAACAAAGAAAATAAGGAGAACAGAATGATCAAATATAACGCAACTATGTATATGGTAAAAAAAATTATAATGTTTTCTTTTACAAAGGTTGGTTAAGCATAAGTATATTTTTTACTGCCCACACACATGGGTTTTTGGGCTTGAGTAAGCAAAATTTGAATATGTAAATGAGGTGGAATATTGTTTGTTCAGCAGGGTTCCAGATAGTTGACCAACCAGACAGTCTCGTCTGTCAGTTCTGAGGTTTTTTGTTCATTTGAGTGCGCTCCACTAATTTGACAAAGGATCAACTTGTACATTACGCTGTGCCCGTCAAGTGTTCCTAGCCAAACTCGAGGATAATCTCCGAACAGATCCCCTAGCACCAGAGAGGATTTTCACATACAGACATACTGGACTGAAAATGCAGAGACACTTGAATAAAGTTCAACCCAAAAAAAGATGCAAAACAGCAGCCCCACCTAAATTCATAATTTCCTTTCGGCGGGAAAAAGCCCGACGGCCGACATCCGTTTATGCGGTTTGCTTCTGTCTTCGGATCGTAAATAACCAGCTCCACTCTTCATTCACAGCTTCATTCTCTGTTATATTTCACAGGGTATTTTTGGCTATATCGTATTTATAATTATTTATTAACATACAACTCAAAACATATATTTTTTACTATAATTTTACATGTAAACTTTATTTATCTTTAATTTTGCGCAAAAAGTTATGCTACCCTTTTTTTAATATGGCTTAAATAAAATGGTGTCTTATGGTCGGGACACTTGACTATATCTTTCATATTCTCTCTTCTTCCCGACGTCATTGGCAATTTCAGGCATTGGGTAAAAATGTTGCCGCGCTTGGCAAGTCGAATGCAGGCGACAGGCGGTGGAGACATTGATGAATTTCCTGTCGCATCCTTGGCGCTCCGGCTGTCTGCCAGGTTGGTCTTATGCTCGAGGACCCGGGCACCGGCTGGCGGCGTCAAATAAACCTCCGACTCCGCCAAACAGCAAAGCCAAGCCGTCGCCTATTGTGACTTAATAACTTCTACTCACGTCATCAAGGTGCATTGAACCGTGAAGTGCGGAAGAAATGGTGATGGGCCACAGGATAACCCCTGCAAAAAAAAAAAATGGGTGGATACTGCGTTGCATATGAGTGCAGTTGTATCTGAATTAACTGCGCAAAGATACACACTCGTTGGCATCTAGCTTTTAATATTGCAACTATAAAAACCATATAACCATATATATGTGACACATATTTTCGAGCTGCAAGCAATTAGTTTCAGTTGGATGGGAAAGCAAGCTGGCCAGGTAAATAGAGCACGAACTTTGCCAGCTCAGTCATTAAGAATTTAATAGTTGTTATCTTTAAATCCAGCCAAGTCTTAAATTCTTAAATGTACTCGTATACCTTGACGCACGCGAACATAAATCTCTGCCTCAGAACATTTTCGCGCAACATGTTGCACTTGATGTGTGCAGCGCAGTGTCCCAGAAAATGCAAACGTAAATCTTTTGGACCTTTGCTGTTTGCCTTGCCCACAATGCGAAAGTGTTAAGCCGAATATGTGATACTTTGGACCACGACTAAGTCGGCGAATTCAATCACAATCTTAACCACCCTTCGTAAGGGTATTAAAGTCACATGGCAAACGCAAGTAATTCGTTTGAAAAGTCGTATAAAGGCGAACGAATACGCCAAAGGCATGCGTGTACAAGTGTAATTTTATTTATTTATGGCTGCTATGGGAGGAGCAACTTCTTCTACGATTCCGCGTCGCATCTTAAATTTCTTTTAACTTTTACCGTGTTTTGAGGGTGTTTCATTGAAAATGAAAATATACAAAAGAATAAAACTAATGTCAATGCTATTTTTAATGCATTAATTATAATAAATCCCTTAATACAATAATTCGCCTTTACTTTTTGTTGGTTATTCTCGTATTATACTAACGTCAGGTTTATTTCCTAAAGATGTCTCTGGTTAATACAGCATAGCTTTAAAAGTTAGCAACGGGACAGGAATAAAATGGTTGGACTTAACAATGCGATTTGGACAATGCATTTCAGACGTGGCATGTAAAGCCGTTCAAATTCACCCCTTCGCAACTGGGAGCCTTACAATGGGCGTTCATGGAACATCGCCCACTGTCAATCTGAATCCAGAAACGGGGTCTGACCCAAAGGCCATGGTCAGGGGTCCTGGCGAGGATGTGCTCATGGTCTGGCCACAGGATCCGTATAAATGCCTTTATTTGTGTAGGTCAAACAAAATGAACTGTAACAATATTGATACAGCTGGCATCGGAGGTTCGAGCACAAAAGTATTGTGGTGCGACAGCGACTTTCCCCTCTCCCCCGATAAGTCTGGTTGCCAGTTGGTCCTGGCCAGCTTTTTGTTTCCGCTGTTCATCAAACCAGCGAGCGGCTTCATTAACCTAAGCCACAAAAGTTTACCGAAGGATTAACTTGTCTATTGAATGAAAAATAAGTATTTGGTCGAGTCTGCATGCTCCAGCATGTGGGCATTAAAATTAAATGTATGTTCGCTGCGGTCGAAATAATTGGCTTACATAGCTTGCCACTAATCACAGGAAATCTCGTTATTTGCGTTCGAAATCAGGTTTGTTTTTAGAATTTGTTTATAAATTAGCAAATATTATTTAAACACTTTAATTGACGGAAAAGTAAACTAAAAATACATACAGGCTGCGTGATAGGGTTACTTGCTATGCATTCTAAAAAGTATACAAAATTAAATATTTAAGTATATAGACAAACATTATATTTTTTTTATATTATTTACAAAAATGTTTAAATAATTAGTTATGGTTATGGTACCAATTTTCCAACCAAAAATATTTATTTTATTTTTCTAGTTGGTAACAAAAAAATAGAAAACTGGAAGCAATATTTTAGAGTATTAGTTTAATATTATATTTTTTCTTATCACTAAAATTATTTAAAACTTCCGCCACATCGCAAAGCTTTGTCCATCTCTAACAGACTGCCAAAGTCCGAATGGTGTGACCAGAGTCAAACTTCTAACGTTTAAAAATTCAAAAAGTAGGTTATCCCATTGACGAACTGTCTAGGCGTAATCTTTCAAGTTTATATGAATTTAGTTCAACTCTACGGCACGGGCTGCCGCATAATGACACCGCCGAGCGGTCCCGGGGCCGCTTTGAATTGGATGCGCCGCACCGGCCACCGATTCGGTTCCATCCGAATCACACGAGTTGGCAGGTCGGCGCACCCGCACACAACCCACCCTACCACCCACCGCTTCCTCTGTACGAAAACAACAATCGGATTCCGACAGCAAATGGACCACACAATACCGCCCAAAGAGTTCAAGTGGACGCCGGGCAACCTGATCAATGAGAACTTCAAGTTGGGCGACAATGGTCATGTTTGCGTGGTGCTCAACCGCCAGATCCAAGTGCCGCCGCACGTGGTGAAGCTTCTGTGGAAGAACGGTAAGTTTGAAGGTGTTATAAAACCAATCACAGCCAACTTAGAGTTTTCGATCTTCTCCAGCTGCCGTGCGCTGCGCCGTCGATGGAGGCTCCAACCACTGGCGCGACTTTGTGGTAGGTCAAGCAATGTCAAAGAGAACCAACGGGGGCATGGCAATCACACAACTTGAGCCACTTGATGTGATAACGGGTGACTTTGACTCAATCACCGAAGATACGGTGGATTTCTTTAAGACCACACCGAAAGTCCACACACCAGATCAGGATGCCACGGATTTCACAAAGGCCATTGCTGTGCTTCAGCCTGTAATGACGCAACGTAAAATCCGCGATGTGGTGGTATTCCATGACAATTCAGGCAGGCTGGACCAGATCATGGCCAACCTTAACACGCTGTACAAATCACAGAAAGACAACTGCAATGTCTTTCTTCTGAGCGGGGATTCAGTAACGTGGCTGCTGCGGCCGGGCAAACACACGATACAAGTGCCCGTCGATCTGGTCACCAGCCAACGGTGGTGCTCCCTGATGCCCGTGGGATCGGCGGCGCACAATGTTACCACCACGGGCCTAAAGTGGAACTTATGTATGTAGACAAAGTCAACGAAATTTATAACTTGTAACCAATTTCTATATTTCTATCCCCAGATCACGCACAAATGGAGTTTGGTGGGATGGTAAGCACGTCGAATACCTACTCCACTGAGTTTGTTCAAGTGGAGACGGACGCCAACCTAATCTGGTCCATGGGTGCCTATGACTTCGAGGAGAAGATACGACAAACCGCTAAGACATGAGAAGCTATTGCAGAATGCTATGTACTTAAGTAAGGATTAGGTTACAATGTACAGTGTTTATGACCAATGCTGCATCCGGTTGTTTTTGTGAGGAGCAAATATTATAGTGCTGTTATTGTTTAACAAAATGAAAGTTTATGTAAAAATTTATAGTGACAAATAACTGGTTATGATTGGATTGAGCAAAGTGGTTTTACTAAAGTAATTATGCATTGTTACATTTTATTCTTAACGGAAAATACGCAGCTATTGCTCATCCAAAAAACAAATGTTTTAAACAAATTAATTTTAAAAATATATTTTACCTTATTTTGTTTCTGATAACGTTTGAAGACAATCGAACGTTATTTTGATCCTGGCATTGGCATTAGATCAAATCCGAAGCTGTTTCCTGTTTTCTTAGATTTCCAGCCAGATGATGAAGATGCTGTGCTCTCAGCTCGCTTACCGCCTCGACCCCTTGTTGATGTGGTCTTTCTAGCTGCCGCTGGCGATGTATTGGCCTTGTACCTTTTGCTGGCTCCTGCCTTATACATTTTTTTCCTCTTTCCCGCTCTGAAGGAATTGAAACCGCTGGTAGCGCTTGTGTTGCCACCGCCTTGCGATGCACGTGCACTGTCCCAATCAACACTTTCGTTGTTCCATCCGGAGGTACTGGGCTTCTGCTTGGCGGCTGCCTGTTCCTCCTCCTCGTCCAGAACGGCCTGCATCAACAGCTTCTCCGAGGCATAGTTGCTAGTAATCTCAAGCAGCTTAGAGCCATATTTGTCGTAGTTCGCCTTTGTCACGTGCGGAATGCTGCACATGTCCTTCTCAGTGAGGGGAAGTGTTTCGGCCATGCTCTTTAGGGCCTGAATGTTCATAATACTGGCCATAGTAACATTCCGCTGGCTGGCAATCGTACGGCACAGATCCAGAAGATCCGTGTAGCAGCGCTCGTGAATTTCCCGCAAGCCAGACTTGCCATCACCACTACTGCTCGCTGCAGTATCAGATACAGTGGCAACAGATGCCTTGGTATCCTTGGCATTTTTGGTCACAGCAAAATCGAAATTAGGCGTACCCTCCATCAGTTTACTGATATTATTACCCAGATACAAATAGGCCTGTGGGAAGTCGTTCGTGAATATCAAATCCTCCCTTAGATAGCCGTCAATGACCATTTTGCGCAACAGACGGTGTACATCGTTCTTATCCCAGTCCTTTAAGGCTCCATGATGGGGTGTTTTGTGATGGTTAAAATCCATGATCTTCTTGATCTTTGAACCCTTAAGAACGTCAGCTATATGCAAAAGTGTGAATCGAGATCTGCCACTGCACAGATCCTTCACAGCACGTGCCGCTTTACGGGCATGCTCTAATGCGTCGACCGCTCGATAGGCTCGCTTGTTGATGCAGTTGTCGCAGGCGGTTTGCTTGTTCTCTAAACACTGCTCGCTGGTAAAGTGCTCCCCGAAATAGTCCAACTGCTGGGCACGTCGGCAATCTGTGAGATTTTCGCAGTATCCAACGATGCGGTATAAATTGTCAATATGTATCTTCTTCACATTATATTGCAACGCTCTGTCGGCTGAAATGATAATTCAAAAATTATTAAGTAATAAATCCATAGATACTAATATAATGACTTACCATCCAGCATTTTCTTTATCCTAAGCATGTCCGAATAGTTGTAGTACAAAATGCAATCAGCAACTTCTCCATCACGCCCGGCTCGTCCTGCCTCCTGGTAGTAACCCTCAATGGACTTTGGCAGTGAATAGTGCAAAACGAACCGCACATCCGGCTTGTCAATGCCCATGCCGAACGCAATGGTAGCACAGATTACCCGGATCTTTCCTGTCAACCAATCCTTTTGCCGACTCTCTCTGTCGTTATCCGTTAGACCCGCATGGTAAGCTACCGCACTGACACCATTCTTACACATTTTTTTGGCCGTCTCCTCGCACTCCTTGCGCGACAGGCAGTAGATTATGCCGCTGTAGTGTGTCGGTTTGGTACGGATATAACTACTAATTTCATCCAACGTCGAGGCACCTTTTTTGGGCAGTACCCTGTACCGCAGGTTGCTGCGATTGAAACTGGACAGGAACCACTTACAGTTCTTTAAATTCAACTGCGCCAGAATATCTAGTCGAACGCGGGGCGTGGCTGTGGCTGTTAGCGCAATGGTTGGGACGTTGGGGAAACGCTTCTTCAGGACTCCGAGTTTTTTGTAGTCTGGTCTAAAGTCATGACCCCACTGGGACACACAATGCGCCTCATCGATAACGAATCGACTTATGTAATTGTTCGAATTCAGGTTGTCTAGCGTGTCTTGAAAACGAGTTGAGCTACTGATCTTCTCGGGCGTAACGTATAGCAGTTTGACCATAGGTGGTTGAGATTCCAAATCCCTGAAGATTGCCATTACATCGGCCATTTTTTGCTCCCCACTCAGACTTTTTGCACAGATCTGCAAAGAATAATTTATTTATACTTATAGAGTGAAAACATAAAAATACTCACATCCAAAGAAGACAGTTTATTGATTTGATCAAAGATTAGCGACTTCAGCGGACTGACAACAATGGTAACACCCTCAGTCAGAATAGCAGGGAGTTGATAGCACAACGACTTTCCTCCTCCCGTTGGCATCAGGACGAAGCAGTCATTGCCCAAAAGAGTGGCATTGATCACCTGCAGCTGATTAGGACGGAAGCTCTTTAGACCGAAACTGTAGCTCAGGCCATGCATGAGGCGGGTAGAGTGCTCAAACTTTAGACCATCGAACTCTCCCGTAATGCCGTCGTTGTGTACATTTGAATGGAAATTCCCAGAAAGCTTTTGAGAATCTGTAGCACTAGACAGTTTGGCAGGAACAACGCTTTTACTGGTACTTGGGCCTGCACTTAAGCCACTGTTATTAGCTGCAGCCTGGGAATGCATTTGCTCAAACATAGCCTCATCGTATTCAGGAAAACCATCGTCATCTATGGTAATATTGGCAGACGTCTGCTTTGGTTTCTCCTTTACCTTAACAGCTTCGAAATCCTTGTAGCCATAGCCATTGAACTCTGACCTGCGACCCTGCATCTGCTGGTGTTCGTTCTCAATATCAGCCAAAAGACCCTCTAAGTCATCATCGTCATCTCCCACCTCAGTGACTGTGGTTTGCTGCGTAAGCCCGTTCATTTGCTCCTCCTCTAGGTTGTCGTCCATCATCATGCTCTGAGCCAAATAGTCGTCTGGCTCCTCACAAAGATCATGAATGAGTTCCTCGCGCTTTCGCAATAAATGCGGATCGGTTTGCTTGCTGGATGGGGAGAAATCATCTGGCTCCCCGCAAAGGTCTTGAAGGAGCTGCTGACGTTTGGGCATTGGAGGCGGATTGCTTGATTTGCTAGGTGGCGAGAAATCATCCGGCTCCCCGCAAAGGTCTTGAAGGAGCTGCTGACGTTTTAGCATGGAGGGTGGATTATTTGATTTGCTAGATGGCGAGAAATCATCCGGCTCCCCACAAAGGTCGTGAAGAAGGTGCTGACGTTTTGGGATTGGAGGTGGATTGTTTGATTTGCTAGGTGGCGAGAAATCGTCCGGCGCCCCGCAAAAATCTTGTAGGAATTGCTGGCGCTTGTATGTCGGAGGGGGGCTGTCAGTCATACTGGGTGGCGGGTAATCATCTGGCTCTCCGCAAAGGTCATGTAATAACTGTTGACGATTTGGGATTTTTTCTTCTTTGCTTTCTGTGAGCTTATTCATGGGCAATGCACGGAGACTGCTTTCTGGCGGGGCTTTTGGTTTGCTAGTTGAGCTTGTTGCTGTTAGCCGACCCTGCTCCGCCCGCATCTCCATTTCCTCCCGCTCCAGCGCATCCTGCTCAGCCTTAAGTTTGCTTTCATTCCTATCAAGAGTGTTCTGGAGAAGCTGCGTCCTTGCCTTGAATTTTTGTCGCATTACCTTAAGCTTGATAAATGTATTTGGCTGAAAGCCGGCAATTTCATTGAAGTGCATTGCAGGTATCTGGTCAATCAGAGAGCAATACTTTTCCATAAGCTCGACATAAGTGGTACGAAAGAATCCCAGGGAGATCTTCAGTGCCTCAGCGCCCTGCTTGTTGGGATCGATGCTAAAATTGTCATTCTGGGCCAAATCTTTTAGATAATCAGCCAGAGAATTGTCAAACGCCACACTTAGTCTGGGCTTTACTGGAGCTGCTAATGGAGTAGAGCTAGCGTTATTGCCATCTTGCGCGATAGGAACCGACTTTGTTGGGATGGCATTTTCTTTTGCCGAACCCAGTTTATAGCCTGACTGACAGTCAATTTTGTCTGGAGAATCTTCGAAAAGATTAGTATTACTGCCTATTTTTTTAAATGCGTTTAAGGCACGGCGTGATTCGATTTGAGCTGAATAGTTTGGTTTTTTTTCAGCCACTTCTTTCTTCTCAGGGGATTCCTCAATAACGATTTCGTCCAGAGAAGACTTTCTTCCCTTTTTATTGGCAGGCTGTTGAGGTGGCGGAGAATCAGGCAGCGTAAGTAATGGATGCCTTCCTCCATTCTGTTTAATTGGGGAGTCCTCAAATGAATACTTTTGCTGAGGGGAGTCCGTGAGCTTCTCATTCTGTGATAGTTTTTTAGGATGATCAACAAATGAACTTAATTCCGATTTTATTACTGGCTTTGAATCTGGAGAATCTGACAATGAAAATACTGCGTTTTTCCTCTGAATCCGTGACGGTCTCTTTTTTAAGTCCCTAAATGTCTCATTTTCCGGAGGTGATTCAGACAAGCCCCGGTACGATTGACTACTCTCACTTTGTGGCAGTTTTGTAGGCGAATCTTTGTCCGCTGATTTAAAAGTTGTGTGCTTTTTGAACTTAGCGGACTCGGAATTCTTGATGGATTGGCTAAACTTTTTTGAAGAATCAGTATCCTTGCTGGATTGACTGGATCTCTGCGTAGATTCCTCATCGGATGACGAGTCGAGAAAGATGGGATTGTAAACAGCAGTGGGCTTGCTCCTGACATTTGCCACTAAAATAGAAGAATTAGTTTCTCTAATTTATTTGAAATACTCCAAATACCTTTTCTATTAGGAGGACTTTGAGTATTACTATTCAGGCCAATGAAACTGCTGAGTGTGAGCTGTTTCCTAGGCGCACTGGGTTTCTTGGACATGACGACTTGCGATTCGTTTAGCTGCCAGCGCTTTACTTCGCATTAAATTAGTTAATAACTTAATAAACAAAACAATTTTAATATAGTTTCAGGCTAAAAAAAACCCGCGCAATAATGCCAATGAAAACAATACGAAGTAGTGTGACCGTGGATCAACCACAAAATTATATCACAGATACCTACAAATTTAATAGAAATATGTCAAATCCTTTTGAAAGGTTATCTAAATACAACAACTCAGGAAATTACATTTAATAAGAAAACAAATAATAATAATTTCTATATTGCAAATTGTAAAAGAGTTTTGAATCTGTGAAATAAGCTGAAAAAAACTAGCTAGAAAACTCCCAGATCGCCAACTCCCGAGAACAGCTGTATAGCGACATGCTTTCTGCTTCCTCTTGTTTCCGTGGTATCCAAACAATTTTTCTAACGTGGTAAATAAAAGCGCATATTCCCATAGTTCGGACAATAATTATGCATACGTGAGTATTTCATCTTGGAGTACAATGGTATCTAACCAGAACCCCGATATCGTTCTGATCTGAATTGCGTTTCGCAGGCATAACAACTTTAAGACCCCCTCTGACGAAGACGAACTGGATGATCTGGATGAAGATATGGTGGTGGGAGTCATTGCGGAAATTGAACAGGAGGTTCTGAACGAATCAGACAGTGACAACGATGAATATGACCTTGTGGACATGGGTGCTCCGGTACCAGGGAACGATGACAGCAGTTACGATGGCAACGAGAGTATCAGCAGCGACGGCAGCTTCGATCCGAACGCTGAAGATTCTGACTCGGATGACTCGATGCAGGAGGACGCGACCAGTGGAGCTGCCGGAGGAGCCACGAGTGCAAAAAGGCGGAAGGATGACGATGGGCCATCTGGCACCAACAGGGAATCAGAAACCACTTTCGATTTGGACGAGGAAGACGAAACAGACGAAACTGTTCGTGCCATTATAGCGGCCATAAAGAAACCACGCAGTGCCCCACCAGAGATCAAACTTGAGGATTTTATTACGGACATCTGCTTCCATCCGGATCGCGACATAATCGCCCTGGCTACAATAATCGGAGACGTGCATCTGTACGAGTATGACAACGAGGCAAACAAATTGCTGCGCACCATTGAAGTTCATTCCAAGGCCTGTCGCGATGTAGAGTTCACCGAGGATGGGCGCTTCCTGCTCACCTGCTCCAAAGACAAATGTGTAATGGTGACCGACATGGAGACGGAGAAGCTAAAGAAACTGTACGAGACCGCTCACGACGATGCTATCAACACCCTGCACGTTCTTAATGAAAACCTCTTCGCCACGGGCGATGATGCAGGCACAGTCAAGCTGTGGGATCTCCGCACGAAGAACTCAATATTTGAGCTCAAGGAGCTGGATGATCAGATCACCCAGCTGATAACCAACGATCAGAGCAAGCTACTCCTGGCCACTAGTGCCGATGGCTACCTGACTACATTTAACATATCTGCGCGAAAGATGTACGTGCAATCGGAGCCGTACGAGGAGGAGCTAAGCTGCATGGGCATCTATCGTGGCGACTCCAAACTAGTGGTGGGCACCTCCAAGGGACGTCTTTATACCTACAACTGGGGCCAATTCGGATACCACTGTGACATGTATCCGGGCATAAAGAGCCCCATTAGCCTAATGATTCCCATCACGGACAGGATTGCCTGTGTGGCCGGGGAGGATGGAAACATCCGTGCTTGTCACATCGCTCCGTATCGTAATCTCGGCGTGGTGGGACAACACAATATGCCCATCGAATCACTGGACGTGAACAACAATGGTGAGCTTCTTGCCTCCTCTTCACACAACAACGACGTGCGGTTCTGGAATGTAAAATATTTCGAGGACTTTGGAGATATCAAGTACAACGACAAGCACAATGCTTATAAAGAGAAGCGTCACAATTTGCCCTCCTCTAAATGCACCAACGCATCAGACTTTTTTGCCGACTTGACCAAAGAGGATGCTGATGATGATGACCCAGGCGCTGGACCCAGTAATACAGCTTAGAATGGAATGCCAGATTAAGGAGAACTTTTACCTGTTTACATAATTTTAAAGAAATAAATTATAATCTAATGTTTTAGATTTAAAGTAATTTTGTTCTTTAAAATTTATGTAATTGTGTATTCACAGATTATTTCTTAGTAATTAGATAAACAAAATTTTTTAGAAATATGTTTACAAAATACTGCTTTTCGTCAGTACGAATGTTTTCAAATTGGCCCATCCAGATATGAAACTACAGTGTGACTTAATCGAGCTCTTTTAAAATCATTAATGACCCATATTAAGCATACACGAATGATTCACACAAAGCAGCATGTTTAAATTTCCCAATTAACTAATATAAATAATAAAGTCGTAAAATAGAACTGATCAAAGAATCATCCCAATAAGAAGATATATTTTTACATGTTTTTATATTGGGGGATTATTAAAATCGCTGAAAAAAATATTTTATTTGATTATTTATTTATTGAATTCTGCTGTCTTGGACAACACATACAATTTGGAAATATTTTAGAAAACAATTTTATCATAAAATAAAATCAACCTTATATAAGAAATTTTTTATTTAATTAGCTCAAGCCTTTTAAATATTGAATCGAATTAAATCACTTTTATGGCACGTTTTGAGATATTGAGCAGTAGTCCGTAATGTATTTGGGTCCAAAATTTAAATTAAATTATGTAGGATACAAAATCCTACGTTGTTTTTTGTGAAAAATAAAAAAATATGGAAAACTATACAAAATATTAATTCTGAGATACAAACACAAGAAGAAATATTCGTTGCTAATTTCTAGGCGATTTATAATTTAGGTCTGATATTATGTGGTATTTTGTGTGACAATTAAAAATATATTAACAAGCTGGGCCCAAAATTATTATTTTCGCCCATCGTGGGAATTCTATACTATAACAATATACTCGTACGCATATTTACGAAATTCTTATCACAAGAATTTTTCACAAAACGTGGACAATTTGTACATGTGTATAGGAAATATTTTGCCGAATCACTTAGATATAGAAATTGAGCCAGATTTAGCTTTTTGATATTTTGTAGCGCAGCACGGCAAGCTCTGGCAATTGGCCTTTTCACGTGCATTGCGGTGGGTTAAACTCTTTAAATAGGGTATTACGATTATTTTTCTTTGTTCTTGTTTCGATGCCTGCCATGTCAGTCTAAGGGATTTACATGAAGATTCCATGCACACAATGTCATAAAGCTGGTGTAGTAGTGCCATCTGAGACTCCGCTGGAGCTGGGCGCCAAAGCGTCATTGGCCACTTGGGTTTCGATGTCGACGCGACAAATTGGGCAGTGCTTGTTGGTAACCAGCCACTGGTCCACACAGTCCGTGTGGAATAAATGCATACAGGGCAGGCGGCTGTATTATTAAAATTATAATACATTACAAGTTAAAGCAAACATTCTAAAACAAAAAACATACCGCACTTCGTTCTCAATCTCAAAGAGGGTTAGGCAGATGGCACACTTTTCTGCATCCTCATCCGTCTCGCTGGGCCGCCTAACACGGCGATATTTGTGTGGCAAAGTATTCCTCTCGATTGTTTCCTAAAATATATAAAGTAACGAACTATTAATATTTGGATTATTTAGAATATCTTATGCTCTTACCAAAGTTGCTCCCCGGTTGGGACGAGGAGGTCCTATGAGGATACGTGAGCCCAGGGATAGGGGCGTGGCCAGACCAATCTCCAAATGCAGCGGCGAGTAGTGGTGATGAAACATATGGTGATGGATTGCCCGCTGACGCCGCAAGTGTTGCATAATCGGTGAACGCTGCCGGGCTTGCTGTTGCGGCTGATTTAGGAGCTGCTGCAAATCTCTTGTGGTCGGTAGCGGAGGCGAGCTAATAGTAGCAGCTTCGGATGTGGGGGGTGCTTGCTGTTGAGGAGATGGTGGTGGAGCAGCCGCAGCAGCATCATACGGAGGATAGTAAGCGGGATCCAGACTAGAGACCGGGCCGTTCCTCGCATGTACACAACTGCAAATGCTATGAAGGTACCCGTTTCGCAGCGAGCTAGTAAGCAGCGGAGCATTTGAAGAAAGATCAATAGGCGTGGGTGTCATGTGACGGCGGTGCATCTCCTGCATACTCTGCTGACGGTACCAAAGATTTTGGTGCACTGGATACGGTGGAGCCGGTGTCAGCGATGTAGCCACAATAGCACTGGCCCGATGTGGCGGATGGATGTGGGCGTGCATCTGGTTTTGTGGCGCCTGGTGGCCTTGATGTGGTTGCGGCTGGTAGTGCTGTCGATTGCTATATGCAGCCTCCGAGCGTCGGACACTGAAAGGCGGAGATCCACAGTGCGGTATGGTGCTTCGACCAGAGTACATTTCGAGTGGTGGTGGAGGGGAAATCGCCGCACCGAGATTGCCATTTGACGCAGCTCCTGGGGCAGGCGGATTGATGGTTTGTCGCTGGGGTTGTTGCGGCTGCACCATAGCATATGGCGTCTGGTTGCCTTCTAAACTAGCCTCTGCACGTCCTATGTTATGTGCAAGCATATCACTAAAAGTTTGGGCCTGTACCGCCGCCGCAGTGGCAGCCACTGCAGCAGCGTTCAGGGCTCCACTTAAAGAACTTCGACTGCTTCCACCTTGACCTCCCTGAAAATGGGGATGAGGCTGAACACTAGGTGGATAATCCGACTCCATTACAGTTGGCAGTGTTGTTATCGCATAGTGGGGAACATAATACGGATGGTAGCGGTGATAAACATTTGCCGGACTACTACGTCGTCGTCGAGATTGCTGCGATGATGCTTGCCCGTTCGAGGAGCTGCTTGGCGTTGAAGTAATTGTCCTCTGCTGATGAGTTAAAAATGGCTCAGTGGATGAGGTATCTGGCAGTAGAATCGGGGGCAATAGTGATTGTGGTACAGTAGTCTGATGACCTTGCACCCACATGGGAGACTCATTTATCGGAACAAAGTATCGCTGTGGATCCATGCTAGAGCAGCGTTGAGGATAAAAGTGTCCCATTCTGGGATCAAGCACTGGAGTCAGCTCGTAGCTGTAGTTGTGGTCCGAAATGGCTGGCCGTTCTGCCAGAGCACCACTATAGAATGCGAATGCTGATGTGCCATCACCGCTTGCCTCCGGCCTCCGTTCTGTTCTGCGAGCATAGTTGAACCCATAGTTAATTGCAGGCCTCCTCTCGTCACCTCGCTCATCAGGGTTGGATTGATAGTCACTCCGATATCGATCTGCACGCTGCTGCCGTTCTCGCCCTCGCTCTCTATCCCGCCGTATATCATTGGCTAAGCCATCGTCGTCTGAAGTCAAATCAATCGAGAGGATGGGCTCACGTGTGGAGTGCACAAAGACTACATCATCATCATCATCGTCCGATGACCAATCTAGCTGCAAGTCTGGAGCAGTCAGTACGACGGCTTCGCTGCGGTTGTCGTGGCTGCGTCGCCTACCCGTGGAAGTGGACGGAAGATTGAGATCCACGGAGGGTTGCCTTTCCCTCGGACGGCCGACGTAGGTAATCACGCATGACCCGTTTGTACTTGGTGCCGATGACTGTGGCAAAGATATAGCATTATGTTGTGCAGAACTGCTTCCCTGTTCCGCGTAAGTGCGATGCCTGCTCCTTCCCGGATGAAATGAATTATAATTCGTTGATGACAGTTTGGTCCTCGGTCTTCCACTGAGTTCTAAGCACGGTTTCTTTCTTGTGGGACCTTCATCGTCTGTTGGACCCACACGACTCCATGCCGTTCCAGAATCACCGAATATATTTCGCATTGATTGGACAGGTTGTTCCTGGGAAGACTGATTTTGCCAATTTTCTTCCTCCGGATGATGCTGCAGAACCTGTTCCCTCCCCGAGGTTGTTGTTGGTGATCCAGCCGCAGCCGGCCTTTGATTATTATGAGATCCATAGTCCACACTGCGGGTTGTATGGGTCGCCGTGGAGCAAGAGGCTGCCCGCATATAGGTGCTATCCGGAGGAGCTCCATCTATAGCTCGGCGGCTATTGAAGTAGTTATGGTCTGTATGACCTGCTTCCGATTCAATAGATTCTCTATTACCACGGATAATCGTTACCGTGGGTTCAATTGGCGGAACCGGATTATGTACACGCAGGTCCCAGCCATCGTCGCTACTTTCGTTATCCGGCTCCAAAGCTCTTGAGCTGCGATAAGAGAATTGATTAATCTGCCGTCTTCTTGACTGTGCACTAGTGCTCGGTGTGGCATCCCCATCTACTGCGCTGGATGATGAGTTGGAGGCATCACTTGAGCGGTTGGTCTTCTTATGCGCCTGCACCGCTGACGTGGTCGTCGTAGTGTTAGTGGTGCGTGTATGTGCAAACTGCCCGTGCTCAGTGTCTGAGGCACTCGATGTCACATCATCATACGCATTCACGGCACTTGAAGCCGCTTCAAATGAGCTGTTGCTTAACTGGAGCGAACTAGATGGCAATTCAAACACCACCGCTGTGGCGTCCATAGCGTGCTCCTCCATGGCTCCAGCAGGCCAAGTACCGCTGATAGAGGCCACCACTGCGTCGCCGGCATTGTCACCGTCTTGCTCAAGGGTAAGAGGTTCAGTCTTCCTTCGCTTAGGTCGTGGAATGGCATGGGCAGCGGAGGTATTGGAAACTGCCGCTGTGGAAGAGGAGGGCTGCTCTACGAACTGTGGAGCCTCTTCGGACTGGCCCTGTGTTAAGTCCGTATATCGACTGCTGCTGGGCAATTCCGATTCACAACGGCAGGTTAAAAATCTGCACTTGTTGCACCGCCCGTCTAAGGCTTCGAGTCTAGGGCTGGATTCCCGACGCGGCGCCACCAGGGCTGTGTAGGTGGGCGGAGAATGGGTGTGGGTCTGCGAATTTGGCATAAACGACGTCATTAACATGTAGCTGTTTGAAAGCGGTTCGCCGTGATTATAATACATATCATATGTAATATCTGAAAAAAGCCAAAAGGATTAGCACTATCTGAACAGGGCGGTTGCCAGCTTACTGTTATCCTGGCGTCCCGGACTCGAGGCCATGCTGCTGTAACGCATGTCCGCCCTCTGCTGTTGGGACACCTCCTCTTGATCATTTTCCACGCTATCCATGGCTCTCGTCGTCTAGCGGATAACGTAAACGGAACGCGATTGAAGTGTTTCAGCGCACATAGGCCCAAATGTGCTAAAAAATGTGTATATAGGAAAAAAAGATTGATTTACAGGTATGGGTGTAACTGCCAAAAGGAGACCAGTTTGCTTTTTGTCAGGAAACAGACACAAAAACTAACAATGGGTTAAAGAGTGGGGATTCCAGAATTATCGCCAGATATGTAATTGTTTCAAAGATAGGTATGGGATTTGAAAACACGTCTTATGAGAGTATTTTTTGAATGAACACAAAATGAGATTTAAGACGTAAATTAAAACTAGAGATCAGAAAATTTTTCTTTTTTGTCAAATACACACTCTTTTTGTCAGCACCAATTTGCAGTAAAACTTTTCATTGTCGTCAATGGAAAATATATAAGCTCGGTGAAGAAATCACAATCTTACTGTAAAAAATGGGAAATTAAATTTAAGTTCCAGGTACAAGGATGACGAGATAGACCACGGAAGCTCTAAATAACTTATAGGTTGTCTTATTAATTAAGTTCAGTTTTTTTTAGACAACGCAATAGAGATGAGTGCCGTATCGATAAGTCAGCATATCGATAGGTTTAAGAGGTAAAAAAATTTATGCTTTTTTTACTTTACTTTATTTAATTAAAAATTCAAGAACAATTGTTAATTTTTTTTAAATTATTTTAATATGATACATTGAATTTATTTTTCTCAAATTCGAAAAACAGCTGTTTGACTTGCGGTAATTTGAGAACAGCTGTTCAATGATAACAGCAGCACCCAAAAATGCTTACCTTTGTAATATTCAAATAAATATTCGTGTATCTTCACTAGCTTTGAATAATAATATATGCTTTATAGAGTGATTTTTAAGTATTTACGAGAGTTTATGGATAATCAAGAGCGGAAACGCTTCAGATAAGAAGTGTTGGGTGGTGGGAACAGGCAGGCAAACAGCTGCTATTGGAGAACAAAAGGGAGCTTAAATGCAATTTTGTTTGCGGAGGCGGGGGAGATTTTCTTTTCGCAGCTGCTGCCTTTGAAAATGCACAATCTGCACCAGCAAATAATGGTATTGATATATATCTCATGAAATAGCCATTTAAAGCTGTTATTCGTATTTTGTAACCGTAACAACTCCGAACAGATAAATCGGTGCACAACTTTTTCTTCGACGTTGCAAAAACTTGCAGCTCGGCGATGGGAACGATACTATCGTTTAAAAATGTAGCCATTTCGATTGCAACAATATTGAGCAGCGGTCACACCGGCACTTCAAAAGTTTTTTAAGATGATTACAATTTGTTTCGAGCTAAAGAGTTTGAAATTCGAATGTAAAGTTTAAAAATCAGCCAATGTATTTTGTTATAGACTTAATCTGAACAAATAGGTTATTTATGTATAAATTGACCAACAATTTAATTTAAATGTTATTTATATTTGTTTAAAAATTTATTGATTTTGTTAGTATTTATCCGTAGTATTCATTAATTTTCCTGTCACATTAAAATGAGACTAAATCCTCAGTGCTGGCCCATTAGGGAGAAGATATTTGTATATTTATGTAGGGGCATATACGAAAGGAAGCCTAAGAAGACGAAATGGCGAGGACCACAGCTCTATAACCACAATCACCACGAAAGCTCCTATTCCTTTTTCCATGTGGATAATGATACTCGAGCTGTGTTCATATCAGTTGGGAAAAGCAGACTACACAGTTTGGACTGGTTTCAAGTGGATGGAAGGGGGAAATTCGTTCAAAATGGCACATCAGTCTATGACACTAACACGAGCTTCGAATGTCTATACAAAAAAAATAATTTTCTAGGTAGACTGCTTACAGAATGCTTGCAGAAGGAAAATGTCTCAAAAAATTTAATTACAAATCCTCAGATGATGATATTACATTTTCCGGACACGAAAGCACCCACATATACAGTATCCCTTGGAGATAATACCCTATATATAAATTGGGTAATTTATATTCTTGGATTGGTTCTCGTTCTTAGTTGCCTGAAATAAAACGATTAACTCAAAACGAAAGATTTAACATTTTATGTATTTTGCGTTTTTATTGAGTTTTTATGTATAAAACAATATCTACTCTTCCTTTTATTGCGGGTCTCGTATTTCTTTTCTCTTGGCTTTAATTTTTCTTAATTTTGTATAGCAATAATTTTAAAACAAATTGTTTTCATACAAATTTTTTTATTGATTTAATCGGACTCAGCTAATTATTTGCAATTATTTCTTTGCTGTCTCTCTTTTGGTGTTCACTTCTCGAAAGCAACGTCGACCAGTGTTAACGACTTAAGTTTACCCATTGGTTTAACGGACATTTTCTAAACCAAGGTGGTGTTTTGTTTGAGTGTGGTTTTATCATTTATTTTTAGCAGCGCTGCTTGTAAATTTAACTCATAGTTACTTTTTTTTTGTTTCGTTGCGAAACATTCCTCACAGTTTTACAAACAAAACGAAAGCAATAGTTTCCACTTTAATATTTAAGTTTCAATGCAACTTTGATTGCTTCTGTAGGAATCGATTGCATGAATAGTTTAAAATTAATTGGACGCTGTTGTTTTTATGTAATGAAATGTTCAAAACTATAACCGAACTCAAAACGAAGCTGTTAGCAACATCTTCTCAGCAGCGTTTTGAGCTTAAATTATGAACAATCATATTTTATTTTAGCATTTTATCAGTTTTTATCGTTTTTTTTTTTTCGTTTTCGTTATACATTTATTTAGTTTTTTTATACTTTTCTGTTTTGGAAGTTTTTAGTATAAGTTGCTGTTGGTTGGAAAAATAGAAGTATTGGTGTTGCATGCACTTGACATTGATTTCGTGGGACGTAAACAAACAAAGACTGTGGAAAATGTTACTTCTCTGGCTGCCTTATCAATAGCTAGAAGTGGTTGTTGATGGCACAGCGTCATTTGATAGATAGATTTCTTCAGGTGCATTTACATTTACATTTTATATCACAATTTTTTAAATATTATAGGTGTATGTATTTAACAAAATTGGTTTGCATGTTTTCCTTTCATTTACGCCCAGCAAAAAATGTTGAGCAACTTGCAATGTCAAGAGTTTGCTAGCTTTTTGCCACAGTGTGTGTATGTGTGTATATGGTTGTTAATGTTGGATTTTTCGGGGACTTAAAAAAATATATGCATCTTTCAACAGTTTTGGAAAGAAATAACTGTCCACGGGCAAGCGATTTCCAAAAAATTTGCATATTGAAATATAGTTTATCTCGTGTACACGTCAATTTTTTTCGAAATATCTTCACCAGTTTAAGTCTATTCAAGTGTAAATTTCGGATCAAACATATAGGCGAGTCACACAAAAATTGGACAATTTTAATTGATTTTTATAAACTCAACTTATTTTTGCTGCTCGTCTCTCCTTTTTTTCTTTAAATTTCTTATAACAATTTTTGTCATGAGAAAGAAAAACATACTCTACAAATTTTAACAATTTTCATTTGTTGTACATTTTGGTATTTGGAAACGGGCGTTTAAAAATTATCATCATTTGGACTTAAGAGGTGTGAAATAATTAATCAGAGTACTTAGGATTTAATCAATTTCACCAAAAAAACAGAAAAGTCTAAAAGGTTTATGCATCTCTTGACCAAACACTTTTCGTATTCGTTTTTATTTTTTCACAATAAAAAAATTATACTGCAATATAAATTACAATTTTTTCGAATCTTTTTTATAAAAAAAGGTATTTGTTTTCTGTTGTTTTCATCTCGAACGACTGTTTGGCTTGCTTCAAAACAGCGTAGACAATTGCCACTCTCACTTTCCCTCGGTTTCTGCTTTTTCTTCTCTGCGGTCCCTTCCTCCTACAACAATGTATTCCTCACTTTTTTTTTTGGGTTTTTTCTTAACTCTGTTTGCATGGCGGAATTAATTGAATTTAATTAGTTTTTCGTACACTTTTTACTTGAAATGTAGGTTGGTGTTCAAATGTTGCACCAAAAAAGAATCATAGAACTGGAAAGTTGTTTTTTTTTTTAGAGAATGTGCGTGAAAAACAGAGTTGTCTGTCCAACTTGACCTAACCACTGGCGGCGGCCGGTTCGCAGTATTCGGACAAATCGTTGGCCCGCTGCTGTTGACGTAATCGCCGTTGGAGCAGCACGCTCTCACTGGGCGGCGACAAGCCAATCCTCGGGTCTGGCAACTCTTCGATCAGTTGGGACGCCTGAAGGTGGGCGAAGCGACCACTGCCAATGCGAGGCTGCTGAGGAGCCCGCTGAGCCGACGAACTGTTGTACCGATGCTGCTCCTGCGATTGTTTCATTCCGCAGTTGCGGGCATAAACGGATTCCTGACGCCAGTTACGGATCGTCGACTGTTCATCAGATGGTGGGGATCCGCCGCTGCCGCTGCCACTGCCACTGCTTCCGGCGCTATTGTGCCGCGGAGGGGGTTGCTGTGGCGGTGGCATTGGTGCCTGCATCGGAGCAATCTTGTAGCCAGCGGCACCGCCGCTGTGCGAGAAGCTCCCCAAATAATTGCGCTGCTGGTTGCCATGGTGACCACCTCCGCCTCCAGTGCTGAAGGGCGGGCGGAATTTGCGATAGCCCGCTGTCGGCTGCTGCTCCTGCGAGTGATGGGTGCGATAACGCCAATTCTCGGTCTGCTGCCTCGTAGGAACGGGATCCCCAGAAAGGTAGCGTGGTACAATATATCGCTGATGCTGCTGTCGCTGTTTCCGGGTATAGGCATTGGCAATGGAAGGCAGCGGTTGCTTACGCTGCACGTGCAGATCATCATCCTCCTCATCGTAGTCGTCGTCCTCATCGATATCGGCATCCTCGTCGTTCTGATATGCATCGGGAGCAAAGTAAACATTACGGCCGGTCTTGCTGTGGTGGTCCTTGGTTTGGGATTGGGTTAGAGGCTTATCCTCCTCCTCCTCCGCCGCCTTGCCAAAAGTCGATCGCATTGTTGTCCCCTCAGCAGCAGTTTTCGGTTTAATCACGTTCGAATCATCATCTTCTGGTTTAACGGTTGGTGGGCGTGTTGCTGCTGCTGTCGATGCTGCTGGCACTGCCGCTGAGTTGACAACAATATTTGCAGTCTCATAAATTTCAGGTAGCTTTTCATTTAAATCACTAATACTATCCAATAGTTTAACATCATCATCTTCATTTGCATCCCCAGTTTGCCAGTTGTTAATGTGTGTTGTAGTCATAACTGGTGTTTGCTGCTTGTTATTATCGGTGATGGTAGTAGCACTAATATCACTTGATGGTCCTTGCCTCTTGGCCCCATCAACATCATCCTGCGGCTTCTTCTCCTCCTGCTGCTTAATCTTCTCCTCCTCCTGCGCATCTTTGCGCATTGTGGTGAATTCAGCAAATTCGTTTTGCTGTTTTCTTTCCTCCATATCCATATTATCCATAATAAGTTCCTTCTTATACCCACCGTTATACTCCTGTGGCTTCGATTTCTCCACATTGGTCTCGCCAACTTGCTCCTTGTAAGCTTTCGATAGCTTTAGATTGTCAGCTTGTTGATTTTCCTCCTCTTCGACCTCCTCCTCCTCCTCTTCCTCGACTATGTTATCGACGCGTTGCTGCTGCTCATACAGATAGTCATCGCCCTCGTCCTTGTCCAACTCGCGCCAATAATGCTTATAGTGCTGATAGTCCTCGCTCTCTCCATCCACTTCTTCTTCTATATACTCGCCTTCGCTTCCACTCTCCCGCATATATCTATCTTCGCCCAGCGCCTCATTCAGATGTTGCAATTCACGCTGCTGCTGATATTGCCTCGTCGCCTTGGCCCACTCATCATCTTCGTCATCGATACGACCAAAAGCCTCCAGAGCTTCATCGTCGTCATCTTCCTCATGCACGTTTAAAGTCTTGAAGCCTCCGCTGCTTGGATAAATAGCTGATGCATTGCGAGAGGCATTCCGTGAGGACTGACGGCTATTAGTCCGCTGTCCGTGCATTGAGGACATACGTCCTCCGTAGCTCGACAGGGAAGCAGCTGGATTGCGCTGCGAGCGATTACGAGTGTAGTGGGCCGGCGGCTTGGGATTATAGTTCTCATCGCTATAGGCGTCCATATAGGCCTGCGACGGTTGGTAGATGTTTGGCCGTTCTTTCATGTAGTCGTAACGCATCGAGAAATGCTGAAGAACTACACGCTTTACGGCCATGGCCGATTCGGCAAACTGCGAGATTTCCCTCGCCGACTGGTGATTGCTGAAAAGAAAATATTAAACGTTTTTAATTATTCAAATCAATGGTTATCATTTGCTTTTATTAATTACCGTCGAATGTTGCTAGGCGTCTGCAGTGCCTTATGGCGGCTTGATTTCTTGCTAGCCGGTGGCTCGTGCTCGCACATACGAATCCAGGTATGATTTAACACTGCCTCGGCACTGAGGCGATCTGAAGCCTGCTTGACGAGAAGGTTTGATATTAAGTCCTTAGCCTCATCACTTACATCGTGCCACTCCGCCTCCGGAAAGGAAAAGTGTCCTAAATAAGCAAATAAATTTTATGATAATATTATAAATTAGCGAAACGCCGAAAATTGAAAGTTGTAAATTTTCTGAAAAGGGTTATTTCTGGGCAGACCATAAACGCACCTTCTTGAATGGACTCGAAAAGCAGCTCCTGGCACGTGCGGCAGTTTTCACCGCGATTCCAGCCGCAATCCTCGCCACAGTTGCCCGAAAACGGCGGATAGCCGCAGAGCAGGATGTAAGCAATGACTCCCAAGGACCACAAATCGCACCTCTTATCGTAATAGTGCGCTTCACCTACAAATAAATCCACAACTTCCGGAGCCATGAATTCGGCGCTTCCAACCTATAAAAAAAATGGGTTTCATTTGGACATTATGATCAGGAGTATTTATTTATTTACAACTTACTGGTGTTAATAGCTGGGGCGTAGCTGCTGGAGATGAGATGTCCGTGGTAAACTTAATTCCCGAACCCAAATCAAAGTCGCAAATCTTAATCGGGCACAAAGAGTCCGTCTTAACGCACAGAATATTCTCCGGCTTGAGATCACGATGGGCAATGCCCTTCTTGTGCAAAAAATCCAATCCGGAAGCGATCTCCTTGATTATTTGCGACGCCTCGTGCTCGGAGAAACAAATGTGCTCCTGAATGCGCGTCAGCAATGGACCTCCGTTGATCTTCTCGAATACCAGATAGAACTTCTCATCATCCTCGAAGAACTCAATCAGTTGCAAGATGCCCATATGGCCCTGGCAGTGATGGAATGTCTCCACTTCGCGAAAGACACGCGCACGCGCATGTCCCGGTATCTTATCGATCACCTTCACAGCGTACTCCAGATCGGTGTAGATGTTGACGCAAGTTTGCACCGATGCGTAGGCTCCCTCGCCTAGAATCTCACCAGTCAGCTTGTACAGCTCTTAAAAACAAATGAAATAAGTTAAGAACTTGGAAATCTTTAGTTACTCTCTTGCAAGTTACCTTGAAACGTTGAGGAATGAAGGGAGGAACTAATGCGTTTCTTGCGCCTTTTCTTCTGCATCTCTTCCTTATGCCGGTTCAGCTCCGCCTGTCGCTCCACCTCGGTCATGTTGGGCGCCTCACTCGACTCATTGCCCGACACATCCTCGCTGCTGTAGCGCGTAAGCTCATTCTGCCCGTCTATAAAAATATATTAGAAAAATTAGATAAATATTAGAAAAACGTATAATTGAACATTCAAAATTTTATTTAACTCCAAAACTTTACTTATAACACGACGTCATCAATAGATTTTCATACCGACATTTCATTATAATGCAAAATATAAGAGCTATTCGTTGACACGTTTTTCAATTTGGAATAAGCCAACAACGAAAAACAGCCAACTGATGATTCACTAAAATGTTTTTTCAGTTATCTTTTTGTGGTTAAAAATATATAGATCACTAGAAAACATTTCGTAATTATTTACAAGCCCAAATTGTGTTTATGATTAAAATGTTTGGATAACTGAATCTCATATATTTTTTTTCCGTTTAAACCTTTCGACTTCTGCATTCTAGATGGGAATAAACGACTAGGTTAGTGTAATTTCACAATACTATCAACTCAGGCTGTATGCTATAGATTTCTTTTTTATCGAAAGCGTTCGCCATATTTGCATGCCTATTTTTCTGCATTTATCAAAGTATAAAAATAATAATGAGAGAATTAAAAATAAGAAATACCCGTACTTTTGCATTAACTGCGTAGAAAGCAAAATCGCGTGTCGTAAACAAGTCGTCGCAAGTGTGCATAAATATGTAAAATTAAATAATGTGTAAACAGCAGCAAACAGGCCTCTATATAGAAAACTTCTGTGTGGAATCGTACGGAGCTGGGGCTGGAGGTAAAGTCAGAGATCAGAGGAGCAGAGCAGAGGAGGACTGAGGACCGGCGATCAGCTTGATTGGGTGTGTGCCTGTTCTTCAATTGTTGTCAATAGCTGGACGGACTACTATTTATAAAGCCCACAACTGCTACACCAAGGCGATATCTGTCCGAAGATCTAACTGGTAAACTAAAGAACTAATCAGCTTGAGGGCACGTCGCATTGCAAATAAGTATCGTTTTATTGGAGAGCAATTCAGTGAAGTCAACTACAGTGGATATTGGTTAGGTTACAGGGGCTTTAAGAAAACTTAAAGAACATTTTTTAAAAAACTTCCTAAAATTTGTAAATTTCTAAAAAAAAAAAAATCGATTGATTTTATTGAATTTTAAGATAGCTTGTCATGCTTTTTGTTTCTTTTTTATGTGTTTACTGTAGATAGGCAATGTATAAAAATAATACAAGCCTTTTCCCTATCAGAAATTGTTATAAAACTTAACAAAGAAATAAGTCGTTGCCCTGTAGTGTAAAATCCACTTCTGAAACTGATGATTCTACCATCCGTTTATCAAACAAACATCCAATTATAAATGTCCAATAAACGTTCCTCTTCAGACTACCCACACTTTTCCGATTCCTCGCACGCTTTCCGTTCCGATCTAAATATAAAATTTGGCCTATTTGTTGGTCAGCTTTAATTGTTATCAATTGCGTAAATAAAGGCTGAGAAAACAAAAAGAGACTCGTTTGTCTGGGACCAAACTCTTTTGCATTTCTCTTGTTTATCGGATGGGCTCTCTTGGTCGAATATTCTGCGCATTTAATTATTTTTTTTTTTGCTAAATCATTTCAATTTGATGGACGAGAAATGTGTACGTTCTGAAAGACATATTTATTTTTATTTAAATTGCATAAACGATTTCCGCAGTTCCGACACAAAGTGTGTTTTTCTGTCGGCATAACACACATCATCCGATCCCTTTAGATGCAAGTCGATAAGGTGATGACGACAATAGGAATTGAATAAAATGCCCTTACCCTATTTCGTCAGTGTCTAGACAAACAAACGCTTATGACACAGACCAACTTATGTATGTACGTAAAAGAACTTTATACTAACGAAATAAAATGGCAAATTATTTTACATTTTTTGCCGGCCGGCATTTTAGTTGTTTACTAACATACATATGAAATTTTGGATTATATTGCATGCCGCTTTTCTAACGTTATATGGTAAATTTTTATGAAGAAAATAAAAATACTTATCGATTTAAAAGTTTAACCATATGGTTTTAAGTATACATCATTATGTCCATAAAGCTAAGTAACCATATTCATATTAAACAAACTAGATAATTAAAAAACTAAAACTTTGAACATTTTATTTCTCAGACTTAAACGTTTAGAAATTTAATTGAGATGAAGGACATCCATACACACATACATATATCTACAGGTGCAAAACAAAAGCCAAGAGATAACACGAAACTGAAAGCAAAACAAGAATCGAAAGCGTCTAGAGAAAACCTTGAGAAATTTGAAATGTTCGGCTTTAGCGCAAACATAATCGAAGGCAGTGCCATAATAAGTTATCAAATGTCTAGGTAGGAAACGAAAAATAATACGGTGGCCAGCCACGATTAGCGAATAAACAAAAGGCAGATAAGACGGACGAACTACGCAAAAAGCGAGCAAAGCAAAAGGTTTGCTTTTGGCACTTAACTTTGCCGATTTCAATTCAAATACATATGTATGTACATACATATAATATAAGCAAAGGAAAAGGGAAGGAGAAACAACATGCGGTCGCACATGAAGAGCTTTTGGTAAATAGAGAGTAACGGCGACGAAAGAGTGGGAGTGGGGAAGAGGAAGATAAGGTGGGTCCATCTCTCTCTCTTTCTGTCGTGGTATTACTTCATGGCAGGGTGAAAGTGCAAAAAGGGGCAAAATTAATAAAATCCCAATTAGCAGTGCTCAAAATCTGCAATATGTGACGTCAGAAGCTGTGTCATGAAAACACAAATTTAAATCAAAAATTTGCTCTTTTAAAGCTGGTATTTTTAATTTAATATGTCCTTTCATTTATTATGTGAAATTAAGAAAATGAATGTTAAATGATTTCTTATGAAAGCTCTGAGAATGCAAAAGAGTTGACCCAACTCACTATTACTTTTAAATCCACCTTCTTCTTTTGCCAGCATGAATTCACGGGCAGTAGCACTCACACATATGCACACATACACGTACGCTATCTGAACGCGTGTTTGTGTGCTGTAAAGAAGCAGAAAATTATTGCGCAGCAAATGAAATTGTAAAAGCGAAAAAAAGTGTATGAAAATGGCGAGAGAGCCAGAACATAAGATATGACAATAAAAATGTAAATATGCATGTAGAGTTAAATTAACCAGATGGGTTTTATTATGTGTTATTATATTAAATAGTTATATTTTTACAAGGTCGATGTATGTAGTTATCTTTACCGATACATTAATTACAAATCAGTTTGGTAAAGATAACCAAGAACACAATGCAATAGCTATTAGCAGCGTGTAAAATATAGCGGAAAACTAGTTCGAACAAAAACAAAAACAAAGATGCAAAAACCGGCATTTTGAAACGTTTCCCCACACACAAATGCACATACCCCTTAGGCGTGTGTGTGTGTGCAGTGAGTGTTTGTCTGTGAAAGTTCTCTCATCTCGTTCCTAGACATTGTTGCTATTGTTGTTTTTGTATTTACCCAACATGTTTGCTGCCGTTGTTGTTATTGCTGCTGCTGTTCGCCTTTTAATCGCAACGCAATTTGTCTAAGCAACGCCCGTTCTCTGCTGCTTGTTCTTCTTCTAGGCGGCACGTTTTTGCAATGCGTAGATAAAACCGCCTGCTCTCGCTAATATATTGCTCCCCGTCGATATTATATTGCTTTAGTTTCAGTTTAGTTGTTTTGTTGGGCTAATTTTAACCCTATTCCGGTTGGATCATCTTCGATTTAAGAACACACTCCCTTTTTCCAGAAACCGCCCGACGAAAACGAAAACAACAATCTGAACGATGAATGGTTACTTGGAAGCACACGGAAAATTTTCGTTTTAAATTAGCCGGGGATTTCAAATTGAACTTTAACGTATGTGTGTATGAGTTTGTAGTACCGGCAACTTTGGAAAATTCGGGTGTGCGGCGAAAACCAATTGGCCAAAATAGTGAATTTGAAAGAAATGAAAAAAAAAACACGGACAAATCTTTTGCGGACCTACGTCGCGCGGCGCCAACGAGGAAAGAATCGAATTCAAACACGCGCCTGCTTTCGGGGGAGCGACAAAAGCCGAAAACTACTGCCATGCCGTGCGAGAAAGAGAGCAAAAAAGCTGAGAGCGGTGGGCGGCTAGCAAAGAGAACGACCGAAACGAGAGCGAGAGTTGTTGTAACAAATAGACATGTACATATGTACATATGTACGCTGACGGTCGGAATAATAGAGCTCTATACAGTGGCTTTTATTTTGTTATTGTGATTATTTAAATTTAGGTTCTTTTTTTTAGTTATATCTTTGCCAAACTCTTCTTATCCTTTTTCATATTTCTTAAAGGATATTAATTTAAATATTTAATACATAAATATTACAAAATTGTTCTTATTGTTCCGATCCATGCTGTATTTACATTTATGATGTGCTATAGCGAAATAGATGGGGGATCTGTTTAACCAACCACCTCAATAATACCAAGTGCTGGTATAGCCCAAAATATCGTTTGGCATAAGACAGCCAAAACAATAACTCGATCTTTTGATTACAAACAAATTAAAAAAAAAAACAGCCCGGAAGAGAAACGCCTCCGGTTGCAAAAAATCCGGTTTCAAATTAAATGCACAGAGCAATTACCGGCCATGTTTATTCATCGAGTCGATATAAATTTATATTTTCTGAGAGAACGTTTGCAAGAAGGAACCATTAGATTTGGCGTTGAAGATTCGCTGCTTTTTAGGAGGGTAAATATTGGTACACTAGTTTACGCCGGATCAACCGAATACAGGTAACCGATACCGATACCACTATATCATCGATACCTGTGTTATCACACAACCTGGCCAATAAGCCCACGCACACCAACACACATACGGCGGAAAAGAGAGCAACGATAAAGCCACATCATTGATTGAGCACAGAACCAGTTTTGACAAGAAGTAGCTTTGTGGTTGTGGTTGTGGCCGCCGAAAGCAAAACAAAAACAGCAACAGGAAAAACAATAACAAAGCGATAGCCCGAGAAGGTGGCCGAAAGAGATACATAGAAAGAGGTCGACTTGAGATTAAGAGAGCGGTACTGGAAAAGACCGGTGCGCGAGAGAGCACCTTTCATGATGCAATGCGCTGTCATGATTTAAATCCATTAAGCTCTTGCATCGAAGAGAGTGAACATTACACAGTAAAACATTTATAAGATAAATTGATTAATTTAACATTGAAGTTTAAATTACAAATATTGTCCAGTTTTCTAATTGGATTCTGAACGTGTTGACCATTTAAGAAGTAGCTGTAAGCAAACTAAAGTATTGTATCACTATTATGCAAATAACTCTTACAAGATTTTTTTTTCAGTGTAGGAAGAGAACTCTAACCCACCTCATTGTTTTTGTATGTTTTTGAGTGTGAGAGCGTGATGCCGAATCGCACGTAGGCCGTAAGTCTGGATGATGGGCGAGGAAGTGGGGCCCAGAGAGACTTCAACACCAATGCAGCATGGAAGGTGGTGTGATGTGCGCAAGTTCTGCTTAAAAGCAAACAAGTGGAAAGGGCAAACAGCAAAACAAAAACTACATTTAACTTGCTTTGTTTTCGTTTTTGCACAAGTAAACAACAACATATGCCTTTGGGGTTTCAGCTGACGTTTATTTTTTTGCTTTGCTGCGGCATTGCCAAAGCTAAAAAATAAATTTCTCTCGCAGGGCTTTTGCGCAACAGAGAAAGAGAGATATATGGATGGAATGGGATGGTATTATGAATCGGAGGCTGCACGTAGGCACCACTGGCTGTCCTCGAAAAAGTCTAGATAGAATGGAAAACTTATTGATAATAGTTTGTTGGGAGTAAAAACAACAAGCACCCACCCAGCTATCAGACCTCTAATTGACAGCTTTTTCCACTCAGTTGATTACTGTAATGGTCCCCAATTCGTTTTCCTTCCAATCGCCTCCCCCTTGCCTTTGCAACTGTAATCCTCTCCAGAAAACTCTTAATGGGAGCATGTGTGTAGGAGGCCACGCTCTCATCGCTGCCTCCGCTTTGGCCAGTTCGTTCGTCTGCTTTGGCTCGTCGTTCTATTTTCGGCTGCAACAAACGTCACCAAGTGCAATAAACGTCATGAAGGTTATATTCGTTTCGTATGTGGCTGCAGCTTTGGAAGTTTGTTCACATTTCGCTGCCGTTCGATGCATTTTGAGCACGAATACCAATACCAGTGCTCAATCGATCAGCTCATGACTCATTTTCCATTTCCATTAATTGCCTGCACACGCTCAATTTCTCGGTCTCAGGTCTCGACTAGCTGGCACAGATACTCGTGCCGTCTCCCTCGCTCTCTCTTTGTTTAACCGCCGGCAGCTGCTGCTGCTCTTTAAAAGTGTTAGTGAGAATGACAGGAACAGGAACCGAAGCTTGGAATACCCTTGTGCTTCAAGTATTCCATTGGAAGAGATAATGGAAGCTCATAGTTTCCATAAAAATACCTATTTACCAATCTATAACCCTAAATTACAAAAGTTTCTAATTGAATAACCGGGCAAAGTACAATTCAATAATATTATTATACACCGATCTACATTATAGCAAAACAGCACATTTTTTTCCCATATTCAGATAAATCTTTCCACATCATCTATAGGATATATAAGTGGTCTGACCAAACCTAGCATATTTAAACACTAATCTGCTAAGTTTCATAAGATAATCTTTAAAACACACAAAGTATTGATCAGACTAGAAGTCCATAAATATACGAATTACTGGCTACACTTGAAGTTAAAATGATTCTAGATACTATTTTAAAGAGTATTTTCTAAATAATTTTAACGGAAATTAAAAACTCAGTATTATAGGTAAGGAAATACTAATATAGCTATTGCAAACATCCTTTTTTTTTTACCATAATAACACCCTTTAGTAATGGTAATAAAATTAGATGCTGGAATACCCTTTGAATTAGGGCACATACATTACGCTTAATGTTCCCAGCCGCATGATGCAATGTGGTTCTCTTGGCGAAACAAAACAACTGTAAACACCCCACAGACTGTTAGTGTGGGGCAGTAGGGGGTGAAGAAGAAGAAGGTGGCCAAAGAGGAGGAGTAGGAGGTGGGCGGTGAATGGTGGGTTAGCTGTTGGCAGGCAGGCACAGAAACATGCATGTTCTCGAACTTTTTGTGACGTCAAGGAAATACACTGTCACTCGTTGCCCAGTTTGCCCCAGTCAATGCTCCCTAGTTCGCTCGATTGATTAGCAAGGGTAAACGAAAGTTCTACATGAGCCAGCTTTGCCGATAACTAGAAATGAGAGACTGGAAGGAGGACCAATGGTCCAATTTAACCCATTGCATACACGTTCCTGACCACTTGGAGTCCATATGCCGAAATAAACCTTCAACAAATTGCACAGTTCATAAAACATAAAATGTTAAATTCGTGTGGATAAAATTAGCTTTTTAAGGAAAACTATCTTATGCTGCTTAATTTTAACAATTATTAAATTTAGGTTTCCAAATAATAACAATCTTAATTTTCTTATTGTATTATTCATGACTATTTAAATTCATAATGCCATTAGAACAAAGAATCTAGGACATTTGAATAATATAAAAATCTAAATAGATCCCATATATATTCGATTACTCGACCTATAATAAATATTAATAGTTCAGTAGATTTCATGATTCATATCCCTTATTGCACTAGGATGAAGATTATAAAACCAAATGTTTGCACGACTAAAAGGTGATTTCTCTGACTGAAAACGTAGTAACGCAAATTTGCATGCAAATAATAGCTGCCTACGTAAAATACTAGTTTTAGTTAGAAGAGAACTCTGGTAGAGACAAAATTGTATGGAATATAAAAGTTGCCAACAAAATTGCTGAGGCAAAATACACTTGGGAGGAGTTCAAATTAACCACAACCACTACACTCTGTGACAGATAATAGGATTTTACTACAAAATTCCAAATTAAACTGGTATAACGTTTCCGGAAGTGCCACAGATATCTCTGTAGAACAGGTGCCTATTTTTCACACAAATTTGAGTGTTCTCAATCTTACATCTCTAGAGAGTGGCACCCTGTAACTTCTGGAAAATTCCCAGTTCTAATCTTTCAGTGGCGCCCCCACTTCCACATGTTGCCCGTTAATGGTTTAGGTTCTCACCTGACTGACTCTGGCTGCAGCTGTTGTCCGTGTTGCTGCAGGAAATGCCGCTGCCGCTGCGGATGCCGCTGTCCCCAGATCCACGGGGGTTGTTGTTGTTGGCGTTGGCATTGTTGCGCTGCAGCGTTGCATTTGCTGTCGAGGCAGCTGTCCCGGACTTTGGCTCCTCTAGCTCCACCATGTTGTTGTAGTTGTTTTTCGGTTTTTGGTACTATACGGTGTTCCTGGACGCGATTAGAGGGAGACAGGAAGAGTTTCCAATCTGGAAAAAGGGTTTACGGTTACGCCGCGGCCAGCTGCAATGCGTAGTGCAACAAATGAGCAGCGATTTCTCGCTCTCTCGTGCTCTTCGTCTCTCTCGGTCTTCTTTTTCAGCTCATTCAAAATGGTGGCCACCTATGGGATGTTTTTTTGTTTTCCTCTATTTTTTAATCCAATTGCCAAGAAATGCAGCGGCTGATGCAAACTGATTCAATTCTGGCGCTCCTCTCTTTCTCGCTCTTTCTGTCGGTCAGTGTCTTCCTCGTATATTTATTCTTCGTTGGTCAAGTTTGGTGGTTGAGTCGTCGTTGGTGTTGCTGTTGTTGTAATCGATGGTTGCTGCTGATTTCTCTCATCACACAGGCGAAAAAAGCGCAAGCAAAAAATTGGGTTTATCTATTCGCACCTCTGCTTTTTTTTCGGCTATCTGACTTGGTTTTATTTTCTGCGCTTGTTTTTTTTTTTTTGCGTTTCACCTTTCCTTTGTGGGCTTGGCTGTGCAGTAGTATTGTTGCTGTAGTTGTAGTTGTAGTTGAGGTGGTAGTGGTAGTGGTGGTGCAAAGGTAAATTCTATTATTTTTTTTCTGTGACTGCTGGAAGTGGCTAGTTGTTGGTGGTGGTGGAGTTGGTCGTTAAAATTTCCTCTGCTGATTACAACACAAAAAAAATCGCTGAATAGCGGACAAAAGCCGTTTTCTTTGCGTATTTCGCTTTAAGTTTCCTTCCCAGCTACCGATCCATTTTCAAAGTTCGAATGATTCCGACGAATGACGACGAATTTTCGGTGTGGCCGGAGGTATCATTTTAGTAGGGACGTTTTGCGAAGATTCGAAAATACCAGAAGACTAGTTCGATAGGTGTGTATATTTTTTTAACTGTAGAACGGTAGCACGGTGGGGAACACTGCTAGATAAAAAGTTGGCAATATTCGAATGGAACAGGTTGGCAGTGCCAGTTTCTACATGTATCGTACATGATTTAGTAAGACCACATTATAAATTATAACTGGGCGGTTATTTTGAAAATGTTCAAATTTCCCTCTCCTCTTAAAACATATTTTATAAACTGACTAACATAAAGCTGTAATTTTCTGCTAATGAAATGTACATTTTAGGAAAACTTTTAATATTCTTCAAGAAAATTAACATTAACATGATTTAACATGAAAGCGATATTTCCTTTCGATTGGACTATATTAACTGACTAATAGATAGATTGGAAACTACCAAGACAGTTGACAAAATGCATTTTTGGGTGATTATAATTTATTAGAATTTTTATTGACTTAAGGTAAATATAAATAAAATATTATTCAAGTACAAAGTTATATATACTCATTAATATTATTTGATTCAAGTAAATATATTTCAAAGTGGCGGTGTTTTATTATATCATTTTTGTTTTCCATTAAGTACAATTTACTGTTCCTGCTCTATTTCTAAGGGTTCGCAGAAAGCCCAAGAGTACTTCTAACACTCGGTCATGTAAGGTATATTTTGTGGTCAAGGCATTTCAATACACATTATATTATATTTGACTTGACCACAAAGTATATGCGAGTCATTGACGCTGCACTTTCAAAGTTTAAAACTAGGCTTTTGACTCGTGATTTCCTCGTCTTATAGACCCGGTGATTGCGTACTTGTGGGTGCTATGCGAACCCGGACTTTTTGCTTCAAAACCTTGCCCATGCAACAATTGTATCTTTTTTGTGTGTAATTTACGTTTAATCAATGAATTTGGATCACAAACAGTAAATACGTCTTTAACGATAATTGCAGTTGAATTAAACATATTAAGATCAGGGGGGTTGGGTTTGGGGTTTTGGGTACCTTTTTTTTAATTATAAAAATATTGTATCTGCATTTTACATGTTTTTGTTTTGCTACTATCGTTTCATTTTGTTTTTCTTTTTTTTTTGTTTTGCTTCGAAATTACATAAGTCCAGCCTTAAACAAGTAATTTTCGTCACCAATCGCATTCGCGCACGCTCCATTATCCATAACACTCGGTTTTTCTTTCAATTCAATTTTGCATTTAAACGCTACGTTGCCTTAACTTCAGTCCTTTCGCAGAAAATCCTAACCCTTAAATGTATTTAGCTCTTCGCCGATCGTCGATCTTCCCCTTCACATCCCCCGCATGCTGCAGACACTAAACATAAATTCAATACGTACAGTTTCGAATTGGTTGTGGCATTAACTCGTTTAATATAAAAGGTGTAATATCTGATCCTTGCCTTAATAAATGCCATCCTACCATCCTACCATTATTCCCATCATCCAACCTCTAACTAGAATTTTAACTTCATCTTTGGCCGCATACCCCCGCATTACTTTTTTTTTAGCTCCTGTAAATATGAACAACTGCCTGTGTTTTCTTTTTCTCATTTTATAATTTAATTTAATTTAAATGCACTAAAAGTTGCACGGACCGTTTTTGCCTATGAAGTCGGTTGTTGTTGTTGTTCGGTTGTGTTGTAATCAATATCTATCCTGTAATTGTCGATTTTTATATATGTACCTTCGATAAGCCAATGAAATGTGAGAAAATATGTTTCTATTTCGTCATTTGTTTGTTCGTTTTTTATGCATTGTATTTGTTGATGGTTCGTTTTGCGTTTATAAAATGCCAAAATTTGTGCAAATTTCTAAAACTTTTACATTTTGTCCTTTTCGTATTATACTAAAATATTTGTTTTTTTCTTTTCCTTTTTAACTTTAAAATGTACTTTTTCTCTTTAGATTAAATTTTTTCTTTTCTTTTGTTTTTGTTTTTGTTTCTTTTTTTATTTTTGTTTCGTTTAAAATATTGCATTTTTATTTTATGTTTTTTTTTCTTTTGGAGGCTTTATCCCTGAGTGATTTAATTTCATTTGTTTGTCATTTATTGCAACTTTTTCTTTATAAACTTATTGTTTTATATTTTCTTATTCGATTTAGTGTGTCAAGAGTGAGAGTCTAGAGAGAAGAGAGAGAGAGAGATACAGAGACCAAGTAAATCAATGGCAAAAAAATAACTCCGTGTTTGCTGTGAAGGTTGCTTAATTATTTATATGTTGTCACGTTATTGTTTACAAATTGTCTCTGGGTTGCCAGCCCACTGGCTTTCGGGCCAACAAAACGCATTAATAATATGCTGCTACCCTCTAGCGTAGTAACTGTATTTAGATTTGCTTAGTTTTGTTTCTTTTTCCATTAATTTTTGTTTCTTTTTTTTTTTTTTTGGCTAATACATCTTCGCGTTCTATACTTGTCTATATGTAATTTGCTGTTGTGGGTGCTTCTTCTCTTGTGGGTGTGTAGTTAAAATATTTGTACTTCACTGCAAGTGTTTCAATTACGTTCCGCACTGTAAACTACTGTAAATCCGAACTGGCTGGTACCGAATCGAATAAATACACAAGTTTTTCGGCACCAAGCTGAGAGGTTACTTTTCTGATTAAGTACATTTTATTTTGTTCGTGAGAGATGTGCCGGAAAATATCTTTTGAATGTGAAAAATGCTTGGAAATGTCGCTCTGGCTCAAACTTCTAAGAAATTACGATTTGAAAATAACATTTTTTCAGTTACTTTAAGTGTTGTGCCTTAGATCCAGTGGTAATACTTGATTTAAAGGTCTTTAAAATGTGCTTTTACTTGGAATGTGAAACAATAACCATTCCGATTCGATTTGGAATCAAATATAGCTTGAAGTTCGAGATCAGTGGGCCATTTTCGAAATGATTAATCGAAACAAAGAAGTTAAGAAAGAAACAAACGGTGGTTGGTTGAGTGTTCGCTTTACAGTATCTGATTCTGATTCTGCATCCGTATCTATATGTGTGTATCTGTAGGTTAGCATATTTAGTTTGAAGCTTCGTATAACTATACAAGTGTTTTGCAATATACTGCATTGCTATGTGTATGCTTTTTGGATCTGTTTTTAATCGTTTAGTTTAATCGTTAATCGTTAATCGTTAATCTCAAAATGCTTTGTATTTGAACAGTAAATTACGTTGTCACTTGCTCGAAGTGTTTGCACTTTATTTCGGTTATTGTTTTATGCCTTTATTCCTATTCGGTTTTCATATGCTCTCTCTTTTGTATTTATATATATAAAAATATCCTTTTATACAGTTATTTTATCCGGTTATTGTTGCTATTGCTGTTGCTGCTGCTGTTGCATCTGCAATTGCATTTGTTTTATGTTCTTAGCGATTCTGTTGCTGGATTGTTGACCCGTGCTATCTGCTATCTGTTTTCTGCGATCCTATATGGCTATTGCTGCTGTATATGTGGCTCTTAACGCTATTTGTGGTTATCAGTTATCAGTAATCAGTAATCAGTAATCAGTAATCAGTATCGGTATTGATTGGTAAGCTGGATATAGGTATACTGTTGGATATTGCAGTTGCAAGCAATGACAATGGCTGGAAGTTGGGCATGCCAAGATGCAAGTTCGTATTGCGGCTTTCTGTCTAGTGTTTTGGTGTGACGACTCAAGTCGAAGTCGAAGGTTTTTCTTCTTTCTTTTTTTTTTTGTTGTTTTCCTTTGAACATTCAAGTTTAAAAGCTTAAGATTAGATGACCTCGTTTCGGGTTTCCCTCTATGCCTATGCGGTAAAATAAAATACAAGACTAGAAGTACAAATTTCGCTTGTAGAGCTTCTTACTTCCTTAATAATGTGCATAATTCAATAAGAATTTCCCGCAAATGGGAAACACATTTAATCATTTAATGTAGTGAACAAAAGCGCCGCCAAGGGCAACAAAAAGGCAAATCAAAAGGATTATAAAATTGCACATATATATAGTAAATCGGTTTGCAGACATTATTAACTTATTCTTAGAACAGCTGTCGACCGACCGCCTACGATCGTTTCGTTTGTTTTTCTCAATTCATTTCATTTCATTTCATTTCATTTTAGTTTTTATTTATGCAGCGACTACAGATCACAGATCCCCAAAAAAGAAACGAAAGCGACGTGGAAGCGGCGTTATCTTCCCTTTCTTAACATATGCGCATACTAAACTCGAATTTAAATCTGTCATTCTGCTGATTTGTACATTTCGATTGCTATACTTTTTGCTCGACTGTTTGTTTTGTGCGAAAATCTCAACTGAAAGAACTAAAGCTAAAGAACTGAAAGTGTCGTAAACAAAATCGTACTAATACTTGCATCCAGTAAGTATAACTCGTGTTTATTGAGGGTTATTGTAATTGGAGTTGGGTGACGCTCAGCAGGACCCCCGGTAAGCCCCCAGCGAATTTCAAAGGCAGCTCTACTGCTCCCGGCCGTAGTCAGTTCTATAACTGTCCGCCGCCGGCAGCAATTGGGCTACCCATTATGGCTTGAAATTCGTCTGGGAGTTTACCAGAAGTCCTTGTACGATCCTCAGGAGCCGTGCAGCGCATTGCTCTGCGCACTGTTGCCGCCTCCGCCGCCGCCACCACCACCTCCGCCGGTGGATCCATTCACATTCTGCGCCGACACCTCCGACTTGACCCGTCGGGCGATGTGCGATCGCGTGTGCTTGCGCAAGTGATCCTTGCGATAGAAACCTGCGAGTGATTACAAAAAAAGATGGATTAATATAGATTTAAAAAGTTTTTTTTAGATTTGCAGACTACTCACCTTTTCCACACTCAATGCATACATGCTTCTTTTCGCCGGAATGGATGACAATGTGCAGAGTGAGCTGCTCCTTCCGCTTGAAGGACTTCATGCAGATCTGTGAAGAAAAAATTGAGTTAATCAAATATTTACATTAAGGAAATTGAAAGAGTAAGTGGGAATTCTTAAAAACTAGGGAAAATAATTTTTCCTATGAGGTTAATTCTTGGCTCCTCGAGCCACTCACATTGCAAACATGAGGCCTGTCCGGTATGTGGGATAGCTTGTGCCTGGTCAGGTGGTCCTTGCGCTTCAGTGCCGCATTGCAGATGTCGCAGACGAAACGTCGCTCCACGGCGTGCGAGATGACATGCTGCTCGATGAGGCTGCGATCCGGATAGGCCATCTGGCATTCCGGGCAGCAGTAGAGCGTTGAGCCATCTAGCGCCTTCGTCTCGCGGATCTCACCCGGCTTTGGGCGCGGCTTCTTCTCCTTTGGTGGTTTCTTCTTTTTGGTCTTCTTGCCGGTCGCCGTGCCCGTGCCGCCACTGGCATTCGTGGTACCCACTGATCCGGTACTGGAAACCGCGCCTGCGCCACCATTGGTCACAGTTCCATTGGCATTGCCATTGACCCCATTACTAGCTCCATTCGTCAACGCCGTTCCATTGGCGTCCGTCATGTTGGTCATGTGACCGCCATGGTCCATGCCCACCAGTCCGTTATGATGGCCGCCGTTTGCCCCATTATTGCTGGGCGTCAGAGCCACGCCCCCCAACGCCAGACTGGCTAAGTTGGTGCCATTCTTCAGGACATCGCCAGTGGACTCCTTCTTGATGGTCTCCGAGTACTTGAGGAAGTGCTGTATAGAGATGGGCAGTGTGGCGGAGAGCAGGTGGGACGAGTAGTCCACCGTGTTGGCCGTATTGGCCAACGTCTGCCAGGATTGGTTGACATTTTGCAGGATCTGCTGGTTGAGGACTGGGGAAATGACAAAAACAAAAATATATTAATTGTAGTTTGAAAAATATTTGAAAATGTATCAACCAGAGATGTTTTTTTAGTCAATGTCTGGCTCGTCTTAGTTTCTGTCTATCTGCATTTTGGAAAAAACTATAGAAACTAGTTAGGCCTAGAAAATTGTTTATTGCTTTTACTCAACCTAATCTAACAAATCTAAACATATTTACTAATTTTTTCTCTTCCATTGAAAGAACAATTCATTGTCTAATTTTCGGTACCTAGATTATTCTTTTTAATCAATAGATTTTTCCTTTTTGTTAGCCAAAGGCTGCTTACGCTACTAGCTATTAGACTAAAGGGCAAGTCAGCAATAATTTCCTCATCGCTTTGGGAGGCGTTTCAGCTCTCTTATATGTACTTATATATTTATCAGGTTGGGATTTTACCACACTTTCAACTTTTTTGGAGTAAAATTATTTTACACACGAAAGTATAACATAAATACATCGAAAAAATACTGGATTTGTTTTTAAAGAAAAAAGCCCTTGATTAGACAAAAATGAATATTAAAAATATCAAAAAATATTATACAATAATGATTAACAATCACCGGAGCAACCAACTTAAAATTCGTACAAAATATATCGAAACTTTGTGACCGGAAAGGGCTGTCTATTCTCAAAAAATCCCAGGATAGTAACCATTTACTGCCAAGGACACATCACCACTTCCCCCTGATCCTACCAAACCCCCTTCCAACTCATTTGTACAGTGCAAACTTTTCGCCTTTGCAGCGAACGTAATCAGAATGAGGAAAGCAACATCCACTTGTTTAAGGTGGCTCGGCGTAAAACTGGATGAAAAAGTATGCTATGGTGCCATTATAGCCACCAACAACCACCCACCATGTCCACACCCACAGCAGCTTGGGGGACAGCAGACAGGCCCAAAAACATTTATAAATAACGAAGCCGAAGGGAGACGCACGACGAGTGATGACTGCGTCCTTGAAATACACATATACAGACCCGAAAGCGCGCTGTACATACTCAGCTCTCAGCTTCCCCAAGCCCATAGACCCCACACAATTTTATCCGCCCGGTGACGGAACCACCCACTCAGTAACCTATCCCCTAATTCCCTCCCTCTTCCTTATTGCGGGTCGGCGACTCACCTTCTTCCCGGTCACGTTCGATTTTTGGATGGATTTTACCCTTATGATCGGCCGCAGCGGCTGCATTGAGAAAGTTCAGATCGCCCTGCGGCTGTGAATACGGTATGGATATATTCTGGCCATATTGCATATTGTTGGCAGCCGAAACTGAAAGCAGATAGAAACATTTAAAATTAATAAAGTCTTACCATAGTTAGTTATATAGCATATAGTAAACTAGTATATATTTTCAATATTTACACATTGTAAGCACAGCCTTTAGTATAAATTGTGTATATAGTTATAATTTTTTGGACTTAGGATTAGGTTTTTCACTGGGAATTAATCCGCTTTGAAGTTAAAAATTCGGCCGCCGCTCTCGCACAACGCACTCTGGCCGACTAACTACAAGCGACTGGGCCTGGCCGGAGTTTCCCGATTTGGCGGCTCCGGCTCCTGGTTCCGGCCAATGTCTCCGGCCGGCTCCGAATCGAATCCCATGGCTCAGCTGGCGAGCCGAATAATGATCGGGTGCCGGCACAAAAACAACATACGGCCGACAAAGTAACGACGCTATGTCACGACACACGTACCCACTATATATATATATATATATATATAGTCTATATAGATATATACACTTATATATACGCATGTATCTAGGGCCAGTAACGCTGTGCTTGTGTGTAGGCAGCAACATTTTCTGCATATACAAATATTGGGGCGGACTTTGGTTGTGTGTGAGCCTCAAATACTGAGGCAAACAAGTTAACAGAAATTGGATTTAATGTCTGCAGGAGATTATCACTCATATGCAGGCCATAACGTATACGCAATGTTGCCGTAGTCTTTAAATATATTTATCTAAAAGTGTAATCTATTAATTGCTTTTGAAAACTGTCTTAATGTCTGATTTTTATCGATGTACAAACATGATTAAATGGTTTTTAATATGCTTCAAAAGAAAATTAGTTTTTTTATTATTAATATGTTAAAATATTCTACATAAAAAATATACATTTCAGAGTAAAGTTAAGAGATTTTATTTATCTATTTTTGTATTTAACAAAACTTTATCTATTGAAACTCAAAATCCCAAAAAACTCAAATCTTTAAATTAAATTTTATTAAGCATTATCCAATTGATAAATCTTAATTCTGATCTTAGTTATTGACTTGTTAAAAATATAGGTTCCAAAGATGAAAGTTCCACCCTAAAGTCCATAAATATGTATCGTCAGAGTATAGTTAACCACGTTGTTCCTACTCGCCGAACGTGCGTGTGCCTACCGAACTGTTGTTGTCTGCTGGCTGTCGTCGCCTCCCCATCATCACCGCCCTGTACTGCCCCCTTACCAATACTAATACAAACAGCCGTCTGCCAAGGCCAAATTTTCACACACACACACACACAGAGAGGCACACACGTGTTTTTCGGGGCCCCGACAACGCATACATAGGAAAAAGGAAATTAAAACTGAAACTGAAAATGCCGGCCGCGCACACGCCCGAATGTATGCCATAGGAAAAGCGTTCCCCACTTTTTCGGAGGTTTTCGGTGGGTGCGTATTTTGACCTCCCAGCAGATTTCCCGATCCCCCTTCTATCTGTGTTTCTCTCTCTATAGCTCAGTTGAATTTTCCGTGCTTCTTGGCGTTTTCTTAGCCGGGTGCTCGGTTTTATAAATAACATTCTCGGGCTGTTGCCAATTGCTTGGTTTTGTTACATGGTACTTTTTTCAGACGGCTCCTGCTTTCCATTTTTCGAAAATACATAGCCCAATTTTCGGATGTGGAAGGATTCAGGAAGCTGTACTTTATATTTTATAATGTTATTCCGAAAACAAACACAAAAAAAAAAGAAGAAAATGAAAAATAAACTTCCTCTTTTTCTTCCTTCTTCTGGCTTTTTTTTTTCAATGTGGCTGACGTGGTGAAATTTATGTGTCCCCGTGCGTGCGGTCTGCGTTGGTCTTAGTCGCTGTAAAAATTACCATTCGACCTTGGGCCGCAACTTAACATATTTCCAAATGCTTTAATTTTTTCGCTTAGGCCTTTGAGGTTTTTGGGGTTAGAAGAGATGCTCTCGAAGTGTTTCTTTAATAAAATCGTTCGAGCAGAAATGATTTAAATTGAAAACATATGCTTATGCAAATGACTATGCCTTAATGTATAAACGAATTAAGGGCAACTCAATTTAAAAAAAAAAAAGGTAATTATTGGGAGTTTGTTGTTTATGTAAATATTGTTAGGTGTTCGAAAATTAAGAGATAAAAATATAAAGTGGGCTTTAAACAACTCTTAGTAAAAGTATGCTATATCTTTATGATTTCAGTTGAATGTTGTATGATCTTTTATCTCGACAGATCGTAACATCAATAGCAAAACCATTATAAAAGAGATTTGAAATATAAATGGTATATATCTATTAAAGAACTATTTAAGAAATTATTTATTTTATTTTACTTTTAAATACAAATTTCTAAAATCTTTCTAGTTATAGTGGCTTTGCTAAATCATCACAATCCGGAAAAAAAACTCTGTATAAATGAAAACTAAAATTAAAAGGCAGTAGTAGAAAAAAGGGTTCAAAGGCAGCCGGAAAAATCGGCCGGAATGGCCGAAAATACGGAGCCATGGCAACAACAAAGGCGGGAGGCGTGCGTGGATGGCAACTGGCAACCGGCATTCGTGGCATTTCACTTTTCACTTCACTTTCCCATGAAACAGGATGACGACAACGACAACAGCAACGACAGGGAAAACAGGGAAAACAACGTACGGCGTGGAGGAGACGATTATATCGCCGGAATCGGACTCGGAGCCGGAGTAGCGAGTCAAAGTCGGTGAAGTCGGAAATACGGCCAAGCGAGAGTGAGAGAGCGGAGAGAGTGGAGAGAGTTACGGAGAATGTTAGGATAACGGGAGAGTGAGAGAGCCAAGTGGGGTTCTGGGCGGATCGTTGCAAAGTGGAACAAAATGGAAAGGAATGCGCCTGGCAGCGATTTGAAAAACATGGCGTTTATCTGCCAGGAGTCCATGTCCATGTCTATGTGTGTCGCTTGGCTAGGTGTGCGCTTGTGAGAGACAGTGAAAGCGGTGAGAGCGCCCGCGCGGGAGAGGGAGAGAGTTAAAAGAGAGTGAGTGGAGAGTGTCTAGGCTAAAGAGTGAGAGAGAGCGTGGCGTGGTTGGGAAAAACTGCAACCCCTAACGGAGTTGGGCGAAACTTGACCCCAAGCATAGAGAGTGAGTATGAGAGAGAGAGAGAGAAAGAGTGGGGGTGACATAATTAAAAGGGTGAGAGAAGTTTACACTTTGAGAAAAGTAGGTTACTAATGATGAAAAAATTATGGAAGTTAGTAAAAAATACTTTGGACTCTAGCTTAATAATGTTAATTAAAATAATAACTATTTTGACAACGTAATATATTGATTAAAATTCAAATATTTTCCCTATTTATTATTATCTTGATTTTTATTTTGTTGATTCTATTTAAATCTTTAAAGACTTTTTAAAAGTGTTTCTATAACGGATGTTTTTTTTTTAACCACTAGGGAATCCAACTTTTATTCTTAGTGTAGTTCCTCGGGAGAGAAATCATAGGAAATCGAGAGGGGTTCAAAGCAAACGGCGCCATCGGCAGAGTTTAAGTCATCAGCGCCAACAGGACGAAAAAGAAAAAAATGAAAAGCTCAGCGGTCGCTTTAAGCCTTAAAGTCAATGAGGGAAAACAAAGAAATAAATAATCAATGACGGGCTAATATTTATTTATCTACACCCATTCAAATGAAAGGGCTTTTGGGGGTTGGGGTCTATGTGCCCATCGTAATTGCTTTATCATGCGCACTTTTTTAGTGTTGCATACATCCAGGCAACGATTTGGGGGTGTAACCAGTCATTCACACCCATGAAGCACATACATCTATATACTCTGCATATAGGTACATAAGTACATACAAAAAATGCAAATGGTTTATGGCTGGGGTGTCTGCTGAACATTAGGGGTACGTTAATAAAGGGCAAAATGCTGTGTCCTCGACAACAAGATACCCGGTGTCCACTGGAAATTATAATATTTTAAGCTAAAGGGTTTACGTCTAAAAGTTAAATGGCTTTTGTAAGTATCCTAAAGAAAACTAGGAATTAATTTAACTTCTGAAAAAGCTAGTGAAGTCATTATTATTATAATAGAAACTAAAATTTCTATAAATATTTCTAAATGTGTATATATAATACGTATTAAAATACGTATATGTATATAGAATATGTATTAGAAACGATTATTTATTAGTGCCACATTAGAAATTGAACTAATTTCTCACTCTCAACATTTAATAGATATGTAATGATAAAAAACAACTAATTCCTCTAAAAAAAAGGGATTACCCATAAAAATGTTGGTGACATTATAATTATGTACTTATGAACAATAAATCTCCATAAAATCACTTTAGTTTAGTTAATAATCATACAGTGCTTTCAGTATGGGTATCTGTTTAAATTATTTGTATTCCTGTTTCATAATTATATGCTGTTTTGGTTTTTCCACCATCTGAACTCCGAGCTACATCTGAACTCTCTCACAATCTTGGCCAGGTACTTTATCTGTTTACATTTTGAGACCCATACCCAGAGGGCAACACCAACGTTTGAAGGTCCAGCCAAGCCGTATCTACATTTACTGCTGCACATTTCCTGGTAACCCAATAATGATTTATACAAGCAAACCGAGCAAATTATCGGGTAGGTATCGAAAGATAAACCTCGAGCAGGTCACTGAGTCGCAGGGCAGCGATAATGCAGCTAATAAGCGACAAAAAGAGCTGGAGAATGCAGTAGCTCGAGTACGTGCCTTTTACCTGCCTTGTGATCTGGGATCAGCAGCAGCAAAAGTCCAACAAAAACCAAATACCCAGACCAGTAGATTACATCCAGTTGTATGTATTGGAAGAGATAAAAGAGCAGCATTTGCCCACAAGCATAGGAACACACATAAACACTCATACAAGCTCACTCACAAACGCATTTTCCTGTTATAGCAGGTAAAAAATATAAAACGCTAAACTGGAAATATAATGCGTAGCTCAAAAACCGGGATCAATGAACCTAACCGATGCAGAGGAGTTTTTTGGTTTGGGGTTTTGGGCCTTGGTTCTCCACTTTCCAATAAATGCAAGTGGAAAATATCTGTGCAGTTGCCAGGGCAAAAATAAATTATGAAATGCAGCAATCGAAAGAGATGGGGGTTGCCTGGGAATCTAATTATGCAAGCAAATGCAACTAATTAGAATTGATAAGAAGAAGGAGCCTGCGGTTAGGGGGTTAGTACAGGGGTTATGTATTCTTAATATGTACATTTTATATCGAGGGGTGGAACCGACCGGTCACACCCTTCCACTACAGGAAGAAAAAAGTTGCAACTTGGCAGGAAGTCAGTGCAATTAAAAAGGCAAAGGCTGGCTCTTGTGGGTTGGGGGTTGTAAACTCACACTCACTCTCACTCAGCGCACATATACTCGTACATATATGCATTTAATTGTATTTCTATGTATGTGCTTAAGTAGCTGAAGAGAGCGATGAAACCCACCCCTACAAAAAAACAAAGTGAAATGCAGCAAATTCAAAAGTTATTTGAGTTCATTGCATTTTCAAGCCACGCAAAAACACACATACATCTACACCCACTTGGGGGTGGGTGGTAATGACTCAAAACATAGAGCGAAATACTCGTATAAAAAAGGGAGCGCAAAACAAAAACAACGACGAAAAAATCGTTAAATTCAGCTTTGATGACAGGGTATACTCGTGCTCGTACTAAGTCGCTCCACCCCGCCAACCAACCCCCAAAAATTGTAGTGCGGTTTACAAATTGCCTGAAGAAGATGTCTTCGCTGGCCAGAAAGCGAGAATATCAGGGTTGGGGGTGGAAAACCCACTCACACTCACACATGTCTCTATCCAAATGGCAGTAAGTAAATCCAGATGGAAGCCACCTTTCGCTAGCAATTTAAGAAAAATATTGTTCGAGTTTTAGGTTTTATGACAAAATCGAGAGTCCACTTTTATGCCAAAATTAAGTTTGAAAAACATATTTTACATATTTATTATAATATCATTATAGGCATATTATGTTATTTTCATGGTATACGTCATAAACTAAATTATATAAGAAACAATTATATATTAGTAAATTAATTTGTGGATACATTTAAGAATCGAATTCTCTACTTCAGCTGAATAGCAATATTGGAATAAACATTTATAAGCAATTTTTGTTAAGTTCTTGTAAGTATTTTTGCTTACTCTTCAAGTAAATTGACTCATTTTTCCACTTTCTAGATACGTTTTTATTTATTTCCTGTTTTTATTTCGACTAATATAAATTTATTATTTTCATGATCGAAAACATAGCTTTCTTTATACAAACACCTTGTTATACCTTTAACATATACCTTTAGTATGATTAGTATATAAACCAATTGGATATTCAAAGAGTGATCTCGATTAAGGATTAAGGGGATTCACTACTCGCTTCATTATAACAAGAAAAAATTAATAGTTCTTAAGGCATTTGATTACCAATACCTTTGTGAACCATTTTCTATAAATCTAATGCCAACTTTAAACTACTACAGCCTTGAACTTAACTCGTTAGTTTCTACTGAAAATAGATACGAGTGTGAAGGTTTGTTTACCTTTTAGAAGAAAACTAAAATCATTTAATTTAAGCAGCTAATTTTAGAAAACATGGGTTAACAAAAACTACCAGTCCTTTTTAGTAATACAGCAAACAAGAGTTGTGAGTGAGTGCCCTTTGCTCCAAAACAAAAACCCTGTGTAGGGCATTAGGCGAGGCAGTAGCCGACCCCCTCTGCTGCTGCCTCTGCTTCGGCCACAACCGCTGCCGCTGCTTGAGTGAGAGTGTATACCCCCTGACGCTATGACGCCGGCGTCGCTGCCCGCAGCGGGCGAAAATAAATCGATAAAAATAAAATAAATTTTTAGTGATTATGTTATACAGACACATGTGCCTGCATGTGCATGTGCATGTGGTATAGGGATTTGGATGGGTCTTTGGTATGATAGTGTATTTGTATGTAGTACAATGTATATTGTAATGGTGTGGCAGATGCACTTACCGTTGGGCACATTCTGATTAAAGTGATTGCCATTGGTCTGATAGCGCTGCACATGGTTATCGGTGCCGGCCGCTGCCGCAGCGGCTGCTGCATTTGCGGCGGCCGTGGGGGGCGTGCCAAAGGCGCCTGGCGTCTGGGCGTCGAATTTAGCGGCAAATTGGTGAATGCCGGAAAAGGGACCGCCGAACGCGGAGAAGTTCATCATGACAGGATCGGGATGATCGGCGGGGGAATTGTATTCTTTGTTATTTTTGGGGGGCCTCAAGAGGCCCTCTTTTATTTATTTTTGCAAGATTATCCTTAAAATCGGTTTTAGCACTATAAACTCGATCGGTTTTTTATTTCTATTATTTGTGATTCTTTTCTGCACAACGCGAAACGATGACGAAGAGTGGGTGGTGGCAGTAATAATGGTGATGGTGGAAGTAGTGGTGGTGTGCTTTCTACTGTTGTTGTTGTTGTTTTCCTGTTCTCCGCCGCCGCTGGTAGGGGGTTGGTTTTCTTTTCTTTGCCTCCTTTTTTCCCTTGCCACACATACACTCACACACTAGCAGCACTCGCCACAAGCACACACAACAACACACACATACAGTAGACTCGAACGCGCGTACTAGCGCACAGTTTTATGCTGTGCTTTGCTTTTTCGGGGGTAGAAAAGCAGAAAAGCGGGCCCAAAACACAACACTCACTCACTCGCACACACGCGGAGAACCACTTTCGGTTTCGATTCTCGATTCCACTGGATTCTGATTCTGGTACTGATTCTCGACTCAACTCGAACTACGAACACGCACACACACCCCGGCGGAACGGAGCGGAATCGCACTAAAGTCTCGCTTACGATTTCGCTTACGACCGGCTCGTCGAGGCTCCGACATCAAACTAAAAGTAACATTACAACGAGGCGAAAGAAAGCGGAAACACTGGGCCAGGCCAGACCAGGCAAAGCGACGCGGACGCGGACGGCGGCAGCGCTGCGACGCAAATGACAGTGACAGTGCCCAGGGGCATGCAGGGTATATAGGGATTGAGACACCCCTGCTCTTTGCTTAGTTTGGATAGGTTATTATTCTTTTGTTCGGTTGGTAATGGCACTCTTATTTATCCTTTATCACCTGGTTAGTTCAATAATTTTAAATGTCCTTTTTCATTACTTTGGAGAGTAAAAATGAAATAAAAAATTTCTTGTTTAAATATTTATGTAAATCAATTTGTCACCGAATTAAATAACTCTCAAATTAATTCAATATAAGTAAATGTTTTGAGGTTATATTTCATGGGTCCTCCGCATTTACTAAGTAGCAAACTGGTCGCATACCATCCAACTGCACGACTGCAGCATTCTTACATGTTTGTATTAGTTCGCTGTGTGTTTGTACGATTGTCTGTATGTGCTCTGTGTGCCGCTTTGAGGGTGGAAGTTTTTCTACTTCTCTGGAAAATGCGCGTTTATTTGTACGTTCCTTACATTTCGCTGCACCGAGCGCCGGGCATATGACACTGGCCCCAGGCCCCTGCTCCCGTGATTGGCTTGGTCACTTGGCCAGATTTTCTGGGTAGAATATTCATGCGCGATCCGTGCAGGCGAAGTGCAATTTATGCTGGGACTGAGGCTTGAGGCTCATAGCCAGACACGCAGCGAGACACGAAATTCGCTGTAAGTTATCAGGATGAAAACCGGTTGCGAGCAAAGCATAAAAACTGGTTTCCAGCGAGAGATGAGCTACTTTTTGTGACCGCCGTCGAGGCAACAACAAATGAATTGACAACGCCAAGCAGGATGACTTTTCGAATATGTGGATTTGGTATTAAAACACAAACCAAAAGGCCATAAAGATTGCACTTTTTTTAATCGAAAGAAATAAAACAATTTGCATTATAAACTTTCAGTTCTTGAACATTCTGAATGCCCTACACTGTTCCGAGTAGAGTAAAAGATGAAAGGAATTTCACATTTTTGTATGGACTAAACAATTTGCCCTATAAAATATATTTGCCTAAAATATAGAAATTTCAAATATACCAAATTTTTGTTTAGCTTGACGGTAGAAATAACATGTATTTTTAAGACTCAATATTGTGGTACGATATTCCCCATTAACTTGAATGTAGCGTATTTACTGATCGGTGCCAACTGTCCACAAGAAAAACGCACACACAATGCGCCTTGTATTTTTATTTGGTTTTCCAACTTTTTGGGGTTGTGTGGTATTGCTGTGCACTTATACGTTTACATGTGAATGTCCGTATGTACTGGCGTATGTACCGTGTGTTTTCAAGTATCTATGTTTGGTTATATGCTTGTACGTCTGTATGTATCTGGATCTGTTTGCCCACGGATACGGTGTGGAAGAGGGGCAGTCAAAGAGGAGAGAGTAAGAGAGCAGAGCGTTCTCGGGCGCATTGCTCTCGTTGCATTCAATTCTGCTTCTGCTGTATGTTGTATTAATGAAAGTGAGTCCAGCAGCGAAAGAAAGCAGGCCGAGGAACTAAGACAAGTTCTGTTTCTGCCCCTGTTCTCTTCCCCTCGGCTTGCAAGTGTTTTTATGTCTTCCAGACCCGCTGTAAAAGGGTTCGAGATCGGCTCAAAAACGCCCCCTAAGAGTTTCGACCCATTTCTATCTGATCTATCTTGAACTTGACGTACTAGTAGGGATTTTAGATGATACATTAATAAATCAATTTTAAATATATTTAAGTATTTATTCTTATATACGCATTAAAAGGTAATAGGTATTAGTTAATATATAGAGATGGCTACAGACATACATATGTATGTGTATGTCAAGTGCATGTACATATATATCAAGTAAATTCATCAAATACATAGTTGCTAAATTGATCATCTTTATTTCCTGCAATTCTCCCTAAGCCCTCAAATCAAATACCCTATATCGAGAGAAGTATTTTATATTACGATTTTTCCAGTCCTTATGAAATTTATAAACAATGTTTGTACAAATATGTAATAAGAAAATTCGTTTTATATAAAAATAAAAGGGAATACAAATAAAATTGCAGCGCACAGTCAAGTCGCCTCGACTACAATTTATTTTTTATGTGTTAATGTACACACACACTTGCACTTGCATAAATGTCAGTGTGTTGATGTCTGTATGTCTTTCTCATTCTTGTTTTTTCCTGTTGCAGTCTTGTCTTCTACTCGTTTTATTAAGAGGGTTGGAGTTTTTTTTGCGTTCTCTCACATTCTCCTTGTTTCGTCTCTCACTCTCTCGCCCGCTCTTTCTCACTCTCACTGTGTGGCCCTCTCTTTCTGCCGCGCTTGAACCTTTGAATGCAATGCTTTGTTTAGCTTGATTTTCAAGCAATTGCAACTGTTACATGTGTTTATTTAGAATTTGTATGCACATTTTCCAATTATGAATTGTTGCCCGGCGACGGGAGATAATACTACGAATATCAGATGATATTCCAAAAACTCGATCACCGGCACTATCGAGAATTAAGAAACACTCACACACATGGTCCCAGAATGTACCTGCGGATATGTAGACACATACATTCATATGTACACACATGAATACAAATATGTATATACGTATGTATGTACATATGTATATGTACACTATGTATGTTAATGTTATGATATCAGTATGTAACTCGTTTCCCTATTCAGCATCCTCTCAAGACCCCCATCCAAGTCTCATCGCACACATATTCATCATGAGCCTGCAGGTTCCCGTACTCCTACAAAATCTTTCCAGCTAATACCCGACTTAGGACCACGAAAACCCTTTCCAATGGGACCAAGATAAACCCTATCACCACTTGCAATAATTGAAAATGTCAAGGACCATCGATCAATGAGCTTAGTATAAAATAAAAAATCATTTCTTAATGGCGTTTATTCGTTTTATTAATTATCATGAGCTTTTAGTGGGCTGAAAGGCTTACGGCAATAATTCGGGAGTTAGGAGGGGAATTTAATCTATGCTAATTGAAAAAGACAGGCACATGCATTGCAAAAAAAGATTAAGTCCATCATACACACTCTTCCTAATACACATTTATAAATGTTTATGTTTTTTTTTGTTTGTATTTTATAAATAGTCATATATTGTTATTTTTATATGTGTCATGTGGATATGATCCTTGGACAAATAGAGCACCCCCGAAACATAACTTTATGGATTATTGTAATATTTATATAAGTTATATTACGTATGTATAATATTTTGTCCTTATTTTTCTGTGCAATATTTGTACACAATGTATTTATAAAAGGTAAGAAATAATGAAATGTAGAAAACAATTATAAACTTAATAACCTACAAAATAAAGCATACCAAAGATCAGCGATTTTAAGGTTAATATCACAAAAATTATTCAAATGAGATGTTACTAAGCGCAAATGAATGAATGATTCAAGCGGAGGCAGGCATTACAAAATCATAATACACAATACCGACTATATATATACCAATACTTTCTGTTCATTAGCTATTTGAGTATTCAGGATAGAATATTTAACGCTTGAGTTATATGGAAATATAATTTTCTATTTGTAAATGGAGTATATATTGCTATAGCTGCTTTAAGCCAGCGCAGCTGATAGCAAAGGCTCCCAGGCCCTATTAGTGTCTATATAGAGTTGAGTACACTGCTCGGCTAAAGAGTCGCCGTCGTCTAGTATGGTTATTGGAAATAGATCATTCTGAAATAAAAATGTATTATTTCAAAGTGATCGATTAAAAATCATTGATAAACTTACATTCTTAGAATGCCAAAGTTGCTCAAGCAACCGCAGGAACCTTTGCATTTCCATGCTGCTGGCAAAGAATATAACTAAATCGTCCTGATTTTCCAAGGGCGCTTCCTGACAGGAGAACTCCAATATGCACCACCAAGTTTCGTTCCGTGAAGTTATCTTAATACCCGTCATAGCTTTAATGTCTGCACAGGTGAGAATCGCCAAGCCAGAGTTCTTTCCGTAAACACTGGTCATTCGTTGCGAGTTTCCAGATGATGCAGCATCTTCCTTTGAAGCAGCAATTTCGTTGGTTTGCTTAGTCGGCGTGGAGTTCAACGAGGAGCACGATTGCTGAGTGCCACGCGTTGGAGTACTAATGGTGGAGCCCATCTGTAATATAAATCAGTATAGTAGGTAATTGTTGGATAAAACAATTATAACACTAACCAAACTGCTTGTTTCAAAAACACTGAGCATATCGTCCTCAAGCAGGATTTCTTTATTTTCCTGTACGTCTACATTGTTTTCCGGTTGCTGGCTTATTTGCCGCAGGGGAGCCGAGAAATCTTCACGCAAGGTTATCAAATGGTTTTCTGTAACAATCAAAGTGCATCCAAGGGTTTTGTGTTTTTCCTCCTGAACGACAAGCTAAAAGCCACACAAAAGTCATAAAAAGTTTGTTTAATATTAATTGCATACTTACAGCACTTGCAGATTGCAGGAGTGCCTGGAGCCATTCGGAGGCCACATACTCATCAGGCGCTGCCATTTGCAGGAGCTCACCCTTCAGCGTTATCTCGAAGCAGTGCGGGCGCTCCGATTTCACAGTTCGTTGGGCGCCTTGGCACTCGGCAAGCGCCACGGCCCAGCTGGGAAGCCTCTGGGTGGAATCGTTGAACATATACAAGACGCCAGCCCTAATGACGAAATACATATTTAAAGGAATTTCTTTAAAAGCAGAGAGTTACGAACTTTAGTAAAAAGTATCCTGGTTGCCAATAAATCCTTGTGGCCGAAGATGTGCTAGTAGTCTGCTTGAGCCGTCGGTGCATGAGGAATCCCTTGATTGATGGTCCAAGTAGTTCGCTAGGCGACTCGACTCGCATTGCCCCACCAGCTGGCACATTAACCACTGCATAGAACAGCCAGTGTTCAGCTACGCCCACACAGCTGTTGGCGCGCACAAATGCTTGCAGTGGCGCCAAATGTTCTAAAGTTAGTTGACCAACTGCAGGCAGTGTGGAGCCACTACGACGGGCACACAGCTCCAGATTTGCCACAAGGGATCCTGCTGGATAAGGTCCACCTGCAAGTAAGACCTGCTGCATATCTCTATTGCTGTTGCTCAGCAGAACGGTGTTGCCAAAGGGTCCCATCTAAAAATATTAACAAATATTTAAAAATAAAAATTCCGAAGATTAATCATTATTAAACCTTTACCAATATAACATCCAAGTCCTTGTAGGCCAACACAAACTTGACACACAAATTATTACGATCCATATTTGCAACATAGAGGGTTTTGTCTGTAAGTAGGACGAGCACAGGTGTCATGATCCCATCAACACTGTAGCCTGTATAAAGTTTGAAAACCTATAATAATTGTAGAGAGAATGAAATCGATTTGTTAGATTATAAGGTATTGGGTTTAAATAAATTAAAAAAAAATATAATCACCTTCATAAGCTGCTCATTCGATTGATGTATATTAAGCAAAGATTTCCCCTTGAATACATCAATCGAGATTTCTCCGATGCCAAGTTCAAAATTGGACGAGTGAGCTGACAAATCGTTATCCAGACTAATGGCAAGTTCACGGCGCGGTGAATTCGTGCCACACATCTCAATCTCCATGGCAATCTCAGCATTCAGATCATCTATCAACTCGAAGTTCTTTGGCCGAGCACCCTTCACATATAGATCGGATCCTGAATGCCTTTGTTCAGTTCGTAATTTGTCAGCGAAGAAATTATTCTTTCGTATAGAGGTCTCCATGATTTTCTTCTGTGTGACATTTCGAAGGAATCGATTTATAAGCGAAGTTTTGGCCGCCGGAGCTGGCGGCTTCAGCAAATGAGCATAATCCACATCGGTATAGTCTACGATAACCAAATCACTGTCCATTGAGCGTTTATCGTTAGTCGTATCCGTTGTCGTGATTGTTAGTATGTCGTCGAATTCCTCGCTGAGCATGGTGCTCTTTGAGTCACGTCCACTGCCACCTGGTCCACTGCGCCCCGCAACCAGATAGCTGCTGGGGCTGTGAAGGCTTCGGCTTTGGTGTGAATGCTGTTGGTCGTAGTACCGGGGAGGCTGCAAAGGCTGTCCTCGCTTCTTAAGCGGAGAAGGTAGGTGACGGGAATGGCGCTCCGTGTTGCCCAGTTGTGGGTTCATTGCAATCTGATGGTTGCTGCTTGTGTTGGTATTGGAACTTGGTTCGGATATGGTGGATGAGGAGTAATTCCGGGGAAGCTTGCCGGTGGATGGTGCTTGCTGTTGCGGTTTTGAAACTTTTGCAGCTGAAAATGGAGCATTTTTGAGTTTCTTAGTGGTTGGGAAAACTTTTAAAAATAAATGCATGACTTTATATAAATGGCTTAATAAAATTGCACAATATGTCAAAAAAAATAAACAAAAACTTGTTTACGTCAATGCTGAAAAAGGTTTGATTTCAAATTTGCTTACCAAAATAGTTATCTGTGTTCGCCTGATTGTCCTTTTCAACTGGCGTTGCGACAACACTTGTACTCTCCTTAAAGCTGCGAAAGAAATTACTAAAAGTCTTGGCAATAGGAGCATCCATAAAGGATTTCTTTATCTGATTAGCTGCCGGCTCTGCGATCGGAGTGTTCTGCTCCAGTAAACTGGCCACGCTAGTGTGCTGGATGCCGGAAGAGAGATCGGATTGTGGTTCGCTCGTCTCGTATGATACTCCCGTGTGCTCGAAAACGGTGCTCTCACAATTAATTATAAATTTGCTGCGGAACTCGCCCTGTGCGCTGCCCATTGGCACTGTTTCCTTATCAAATTCTTGTTGACGATGCAACATCAGTGACTGTTTTGACTCCATCGGCGAGGCTTCCGTGGAGCTGGCACCATCCTCTTCGTTCTTGTGCCGCAATTGCTCATCTACATTGTGCACAAATTTCTTAACTGGTTGTGCCTGCTTGCTGCCATCTAAACTTTTGCTGAGAAATGGCTTGGCTTTGAGCGGTGGTGACTCGGCGACTGGCCGTATTTTGTGCTCAGGTGTCTGCTCCAGCTCTGGGACGCACTCTACTACCGCTTGCAAGTCTTCAGAGCCCTCGGGAACTCCGCGCTCCGGTAGCGGCATGGTGAAGATGCTCTTCAGGGAGCCAAAGATCATCTTGCTACTGTTGTCCAGCAACTGGTGCTTGATGTCGTGCACGTTGAACTTCTTCACCCTTCCATTGAGATCCTGCTCAAGGATGACATTCGTATGTCGTTTGGTTTTCTTTAAGCAGCTCGACTTCGGCTTCTTCTCCTTGTTCCAAACAGACTTGACCTTAGGGCTGTCGGCATCTCCTATATTAGGCTCTGAATAGTAACAGTTTTCACCTTTAGGATAAAAATGTAAAATTTTAATGGTAAATCGAAATTTTATAAAATATATTAAATCTTTACCGATTAGGTTGTTGTTGGCATTGCTCATGCCAATGCAATCGCAAGAGCTGCTCTTAGCCTGCTCGTACTGCTTGCGATTCGCATTGGAGTTTTTATCCTGCTCGTCGGAGTCCAGACTGGAGTTGGAGCTACTACAGTTGCACTTGTAAAGCCGCGGTGGATCCTCCTGTTTTTCGACCGCGGGACCGTATTCGAATACACCTGAGGTGTCGTAGTGAAGACCGGGCGACTCCTCCGTATCATATATGTTGTCGTAGTCCAGCACATCCGAACAGGCGTTACGGTAGACTAGATGTCTCTTTCGCCTAGCGCCTCCACCACCGACAGCCTCCTCGCCATCGTCTTCCCTGCCAGCAGCACTGATTTCATTGGGTCCATCCGGGCGTTCCCTATCCGGACACCAGGAATATCGTCCTGGAGCCCCGGCCACGCCCGCTGAGTTAGCAAAGGCCAGCTTCCTGCCATTCTTGTAGGTAATAAAGCCATGCTCTATGTGAATGTTGTCGGTTCGTGTGTTCTTCAGTATGTCCTCGTGGAAGGACACTCGCTTTTTAGGGGTTTTAGAGGCTGTTGAGGCTTTGTGCACCTTTCGTCTGTACACAATCTTCTCCGTGGTGTCAAACGTGGAGCACTCACTGATGGTCATGGCTTCGTCCGGTAAAGCAGTCAAATTGGAATTGGGATCCACAGAGGGGAGGGGCAAGGGTCGAACATTCTCCTCATAGGAGCAAATGGACTCCACCATCACATCGCTGTTCTCGGAGTCCAGGAGCTGCACTCCCGAATCACTGGGCGTGGTGTCCTCCATTGTGCTGCTGTTCAAGCTGGAACTCATCTTGTCCATGCCCAGATTGTTGTTGGCCTTGGGAAACAGCGGGGATTCCATGGTCGCTTCGATTTACGCACTTGTCAAGATTTTCTGCGTTGTGGTTTCCGATTATTAACCTTTGTAAAATTTAAAATGTCGTTAAACCATTATTTGTGTATCTCGGCGTTCTTGCTATTAATCAATATCCACAAGTTGCACAATGCGCCGCAGCGAAATCGCGTCACTGCACAAAGGAAATTGACCCCTGACCCACCACCCTCTTGTAAAATCGCACCGGGATTAATTTTAAATTCCTTATTTCCGTCACTCACCTGCAATTTTATCGCAGGATTCCATGTTACTTTAGGTTGGGTTGGTTTAAACTTGGTTTTCTATCTGTTTTGAGGTTTTTAGGTGCAGATATTTTGCCACTTGTACATTTTTAGAATTGCCAAAAAAACCCTTGACAAGTGAAACAATCAATATTTTGACCTCACAGAGTTGCCAACTCTGCAAACAGCTGATTTGGAGCCAGCGCTGCCAGACATGACAAATGGTTGGCAACGCCGACCGTTACACTAGGTGTAAGTTCCGGTTTTGAAAATGTTTGCCTTTTCCGGTTTAATATGTTAGCTTTGAAAATATAATTTCATCAAAAGTTAAAGAATTTTTCCTTTTTGAAACGGTTAATTTAATAATAAATACTAAAACGGTTTAAGAAGACCTAATAGGAAAAAGTAAAGTGAAAGGAAAAATCGGAACTTACCCGATAAAACCGTTTGTGACATCGACAGTTGGCGCCCATTTTCGTCATTTCGACAAACTGTTTTTCATATTTCACAGATATATTTTGCGAGAATACAGAGTGCAAATTAAAATTAATGCCCTTGTCAGTCGGTACGCACATCATTTCCTATTTGCCATTTAGCTGGCCGGGGTCAGTTGTCAATTTGAAAAGTAGTGTAGGCGAATGCCAATGAAAACGAATGAAACCTTAGAAATTAATTTATCACACTTTTGCAGCACATCACAATCGTCGCGATAACTCTGCCGTTTGTTTATTGGTTTTTTGCAGCGGAACAAGTAAAATATAATTCCCGCACAGCACACGTTAAGTAATCCTATCCAGTTAATTTCCAAAGCGCACCCAGAGATGAGTTACTTTGGGAAATGACATGGACAGCGAAGAAATGTTTTCGAGAAGAATATTACTAAAACCGAAGGTAGTGTGTTCATAATGCAAAGCCAAACTAGGAAATTGGTAGAATTCAGGTTCCTCATTGCGGTGGCAATATATTTGCACGCGCTGGAGCAATCGATCCAGCAGTGCCATTGTGTTCATGGTTTCAGGTGAGTGCGAGTGCGTTTGCCCAGTTTCATCAGATTTAGCCCACAAGGCTGTTACACACTTACAGAAACAATACGGAGAGCGCCGAGCTGGTTTCCCATTACGAATCGAGCCTCTCGCTTCCAGATATTCTTCCCATTCCCTCGAAGACCTATGACAAGAACCGGGCTCCCAAGCTTCTGGGCCAACCCACAGTAGTCTACTTCCATGTCACGGTGCTGTCGTTGGACTCCATCAACGAGGAGTCTATGGTGAGTTTAGATTTGAACTTTCCCTAGATAAAAAATTTATATAAATGGCCAATAATCCAAATTAAACTCTTATATATGTATAAAGTTTGAGCAATAAAATCCAAAAATTAACTTCACGGATCTTCTGTAGACCTATGTGACAGACATCTTCCTTGCACAAAGCTGGCGTGATCCTCGCCTGCGGCTGCCGGAAAACATGAGTGAACAGTATCGCATATTGGATGTGGACTGGTTGCACAGCATTTGGCGGCCCGATTGCTTCTTCAAGAACGCCAAGAAGGTCACCTTCCATGAGATGAGCATTCCAAATCACTATCTGTGGTTGTACCACGACAAAACGCTGCTCTACATGTCCAAGCTCACATTGGTTTTGTCGTGCGCCATGAAGTTTGAGTCTTATCCACATGACACACAAATCTGCTCCATGATGATTGAGAGTTGTAGGTGGAATTGGGCTGATATCTTTGTCTTGCCCCTGCAAATCCTGTATTGCTCAAAATTGTCCATTCTGCTTTCTGAAAAACTGTCTTCCTTAATGTAAAATGGCCGTTTGACATCATAACTTAATTAGCTTTTGATTGGCAGTATCCCATACAGTGGAGGATCTGGTTTTTATCTGGAATATGACAGACCCACTTGTGGTCAATGCGGAGATTGAGTTGCCACAGCTGGACATATCAAACAATTACACGACCGATTGCACGATTGAGTACTCAACAGGTGAGTGCAAGTTATACATATTTTGATATTAAGCAAAACTGAACTTTTTACTTTCAAGGTAACTTCACTTGTCTGGCCATTGTGTTCAATTTGCGACGACGCCTGGGTTACCATTTGTTCCATACCTACATTCCTTCGGCTCTGATCGTGGTCATGTCGTGGATTTCGTTTTGGATAAAACCAGAAGCGATACCAGCTCGAGTCACCCTGGGAGTGACCTCACTGTTGACCCTGGCCACCCAGAACACACAGTCGCAACAATCGCTACCGCCGGTTTCGTATGTGAAGGCTATAGACGTTTGGATGTCATCCTGCTCGGTATTTGTCTTCCTCTCTCTGATGGAGTTTGCGGTGGTCAATAATTTTATGGGCCCAGTAGCCACCAAGGCCATGAAGGGCTACTCTGATGAGAACATTAGTGATCTAGACGATCTAAAGGTGAGTTTGAAAAATTAGATAATTATCCTCCCGGCTGACGCTACTTAGTCTGCCTTACAGCATCATCGGGAATCGATTATTGAGCCCCAGTACGATACTTTCTGCCATGGCCATGCCACAGCCATTTATATAGACAAATTCTCGCGCTTTTTCTTCCCGTTTTCGTTCTTTATTCTAAATATTGTCTACTGGACAACGTTCCTATGATGGATGATAGATTCACCGAAGGAATAGAACGCAAACAATAATAATACCAAGCGCATTTGTTTAAAAATGTATATTATCGTTTGTAAGCCACAAATAATTGCATTAAAGTATGTATTATATTGATTACCATGTAGTGTATAAATAAAGGAAAGCGTTTAATAATAGGGTTTAGTTTAAAGGAAGCAATCAAGAAATGCATTTCAATTGCGCAACAAAGGTGGAATAATCTTTGGTAAATTCACTATAAACCTATATAGTTTAGGCATAAGGATTATATATATTTATATATATGTATATAAAAAAATTATATCAAAAACTTGCGGTTGTGGCTTTTCCATTTTATCGTTAATTTATCATATAGTCTGATTTTTTGTTTTGTTTATATAATCACATAATTTTATAGTTTCTTTACATTCACATTTACAGATGGATTTCATTTTTTTTTTAACTAACGTTTTGCTTGTTGCTTGGCATAATTGTTGCTAACATTTATGTTAATGGGTGCGAATGATTTTTCAACTAAGGAAATTCTAAACTGATAGTTTTAGCTATGATATGATGGCAGAGCCACAGATTCAAAATAATAATACGTAGAACTGGAAACATTCTGACTTATCCTACAACAAAACTTCCGTTCGCCGGACAAAACAGAACTTAAAGGAAAATTACCGCAATTCGGATTTTGGAAAAAGCATGATTTTTCATCGTCTATCTATTGCAAGCATGCCTGCAACTTTTCAATCCATTCCTGTGCCAAATTAGCATTGACTGCGTAGAAATTATAGGTGCGCTTTGATGTTTTAAGCTAAAAATAAAGATATACATTTTAATATTTATTTATGTCATATTTTTCTTTATAACTTACATCGAAAAATCCTTTTTCTTCTACACCTTTTGTGCCAATTTGTGTTGGTTGTGCGGCAGCGGCAGTTACAGATTGCACCTCAGCCAGTTCTAAAAATGTATGCATTAATTATAAAACTGTTATTAACGGGAAGAAAAGTCATTATTACCAATTATGCCTTTTGGAGCGGTATCCTCAGAAGTGTCATAGTAACGAAGTTGATGCTTAATCGAGTCCAGAACGAACCAACGCTGTTTCCATCCTTTGAGCAAAGCGCCACGTTTGTACAGATGTCTACAAATGATTTTTAAAATTAGTGAACAGTAATTTTTAAGTGGTTTGGTTTAAAAATTTTAACTGTATGTTATTATTCCCCACAAACTTGTAGTTTAAGTTGGAAATCGAACACTCAATAACTCAACATAATGTGTGGCAACTGGTTTTAAATTTTGTTTTTTTCTTCTTTCATGGAATTTTCCTAAATGACTGTTATGTTTTTAAAAGCTCTAGAAGCTACTAATAACTCACCCCTCGTGCGTCCGATTTTCGGCAACGTTACTGCTAAACTGGTTGTAGAAGTGATGGCTGGAGGTGCGCGCCGTCGTTGCGGCACTGGAAGCGATGCTGGCTGTATCGCCCTGTGACATGTTCACGTTTGGTGGCCCCACAGCCCCATCGATGGCTTTGTACTTTGTGCAGTTCTTCATTGAGTGCTCCGTGCACTTTTCGTGATAGGAGTTGCCGCAGTCCATGCACCGGTAGCCAACGGGTCCCCAGAGCAGCTTGGTGCAATGGTTGCAGTTGGTGGGAGTGGTGTAAGGATGCTTCTCGAAACGATGAGGGTGGAAGTACTTGTCCTGGTAGCCTGCCAGCCGTCCCTTCATAATAATCTCCAGCGTAGAGCGTTTGTGCTGATGTGTTTGTACGAAGATGTTTCCCAGAGAAGTATTCCGTGCAACTGGATCTAATTGGGGCACCTCGAGACTGTTCCATACCTGCAGCCATTTTTGCGGTAGATGTCCTCGCTCCGTCTCCGCTTGCTTTACTTCGCTGATCAGGCAAACATAGGCATTGGGATTGCACTTCTCCATGTTGTCATATCCCGCGGTTATGACCGTGCGCTTTCCCTTCGTCTCGGATAGATCGACTTCGTCATCGACGGTGGTCACTTCCAAATCGTAAGGCGCTCCTTGGGCCAGCTCCTCGTTGGTATAATAACTCCATAGATCCAAAGCGGCAACATTATTTTGCGGTCGCAGAGTCATGCTTTTGTCCCCCGAATACAAGAAATTATAAAATATAGGCGTTTTGTTATGTTGCCTTTCAATATAATCGAAAATCGAGTGGCCAATGCGATTTATGGGTGCGGGTGTTCTTTGATTTCTTATATCCAGAGGATACACATTGCACTCATCGTCGGATCCATTGGTCGTCATGCCACCAGTTCCAAAAATATGTTTGGCATTCAACGATCCGCGCTTGTCCTCCATCGCGGCAATGCCGGAGTCTGAGCGCTCAAGCTCACAGTCAAAAAGGAAAGTGCGGAAGCGGCACGACACTGAGTGATATGCCAGGAATCTCAAATAAAAGTCATTAAATTCGAAGGCCATTGGAAACTGGCGCTGCAGCTGATGAACTACATCTAGAAACTGCAGAAAAGTTGGGGCAAATGCAATGTTTGTGTTTGCATGCGAGGGTTTGAGATTGCTTCGATGAGCAAAGCGATGACCAAAGGCCAACCACTCCTTCTCAATCAGCACACGGAAACCATCCAGGCTGCGATAGTAGGGATCCAAGCACAGCTGGGCTATTGAACTAAGTTGGGCGGTTACATCGGAGCCATCCTCCAGAGATAGCATTACACTGCTTTCCTGCAAGTCAATGAGGTCAACTACGGCACCAGACAATTGCATTAGAGAGGAGATCTGCTGCAGCCAGTCAGACTGCTCCACCATCTTGGCAAAGCTTTGACCATCCGCTTCGTTGGTATTGTGCGATGGCATACAGGCGCGTATCAGTTTCTTGAAGGCGGGTCTCGATTGCCTGATGTCTGGATAGTCCACTGGGATAAAGTCCGCGCAAAAGTCCACATTCATGTTCGACTTGGCTTGAGATTTTTCTCCTGTAAGAATAAAATGAAAACTTAAAAAAACAATCTTTTACATAAGTAAATATCTTTGCTCACCCAATGCGTAAAGCCGAACCTTGCGGAATGGATGTGATGATGAGTTTTTAGAATTTCCCTTCATCGTTCCGCCTTTACCTCCTTGACTAGACTTGCTGCCATCGCTTACATCCAGATTGTTTTTATGTTTGCGTGATAGTTCCGGCGTAAGAGGCTGACGATCATCGGCGGAGCCATGGGCCATCAACGAGCTCATCGAGAGATTCATGCCCGAGTACTGATTGAGAGCCAGTGGCGTTAGTTTCGGCATCGTGTTTATCAGGGCTAGGAAGTATTTATCCTGCTCAGGATAATGGGTTACATCGTGATGGGCGTTCGTATTGCTTCCTGTCGTGTTCTTCAGCATTCCAATGACGGACTTGCTGTTAGGTTGACCACCTCGAATGAGCAGCGCTCCGTTCGTATGTCGCCAAGTGGGCAGTGGTATTCGCTGACCCTTGAAACAACGACCCAAATGCAATATTGCGGCATCACTGCACTGCACTGGAGCCACAATTATCGCCGGATATGAACGACAAGTAGCATAACTAGTATTAACATTGCTTATACGGAAGCCACGCTGAGCTTCCGCATCGAATCCGAGTCTTTTCCAATCCTGTACATAGCTCCTCTCCCGCATTCGTTCAACATCCTTTGTTGTCAGCAATCTAGGCATGGTATTGTTTTGAGTTTCAAACTCATCTCCGTCCTCCAGCTCATCGTCGATAGACTGTGTTTCCTGGGCATCAGCACTTCCATAATCATAGTCGGAAACCAACTTACGCTTGGTTTGCTGCTTCTCTTTAAATCCAGCCTTTTTGGCTCCTCGGATTAGCGTCTTAATTGCAAATCCCTTGATGGTGGAGTATTTCGCTTTTGTTTTTAACGGGGCCACTCCCTGAAGCATGGTGCCATAAGATTGAAACGCAAAGTACTCAAACTCATCGAACGGATGGCGAGCTTTGCTCAATATCTTCCTAAAGCTCTCAATTTGCTCGGGGGTTACTTCGGGGTCAAAGGCGACCTTGATAAGTTGAAAGCTGCTGGAGCGCAGCTGCAGTCCTTCTGTCAGCGTTTGATCCAGATGAGCCAGGTACAGCACCGATATCTTTTTCTCCTTTAACAAGGAGGCAATCGGAAAAGTGCGCACGATCACTTGCTCGCAGAATAAGGGATCACAAGGAGAACCTTTGAACACCACACGGTAGTTGGTGAGGAAAAGAGCTCCCTCGGCGGGTATCAGGCACTGGGTTTCGTCTTCGCGTCCATCCGGCATGAGGAAACAACGCAGGTGGTCGGTAACCAAGTCCTCTCCCGGCAGCAGGCATGGTGTCTGAATCTTCGGCTTTTGGACATGGGGATGACGCTTGGCCTCTAGATAAACCGGTTCCAGGGATTCGATGTGCATGTGCACTACACCCGGCACCATGTCATGCAGATTGCGTATATGGTCAGAGGTTACTCCACCTTCGGTACATACGCAGTCAATGAAGCGGGAAATTGTTTTCCCAACTGTGACGCCTATTTCCAGTGCATTGTTCTCCTCAAATTCTTCGTCGGAATGTTCGCTCAGGCTGTGTGAGCCCATAATACTGTTGATGAAATCGGAAATTTATGTTTAAACTCAATTTTAATTACAGTGCTTAAGCAATCTTACCTATTAGAAACACTCTGATTTTCCTCCAGACGAAACGCTGGCTTCGGCTTACTGGCCGCATCCACATTGACGTCGAGAGGAATCAGCAATGAGACCATTCGGTTTGCAAAATGTATCGCCTGGCTATACAAAGTACCTTCTTCAGACTTAGCCAGCTCCGCCTTCTTCTCTTCCTCGATGTTGGGACTTTTGCGAAGCTGCTCGGCCGTAATCTCAAGCGCTGTTGGCTCCTCCAGCGGAACCTCATCTAGCACACAGTTTGCCTCCTTTTGATGCTCGTTCTGTCGACGGTGTTGTAGATACAACGCCTTTATCTGACCCTGGACATCCTGAAAGAATGTGGATTCCCAAAACTGAAGGTTCTTCCAAATGGCGTGATCTTGTATCTCTGTGTAAGCGAACTGCACCACTCCTGTAGATAACTTTCGGCAAAAGATTGTGGACATCGGCAGTAGAGCCGCAGCTACTGTGTACTCGTCAATCCCGGAGGATTTGTGCAGCGCCTTGTTCATGAATCTCACAACCAACTCAAATTGCTGATGGTCCAGCACAGCCTTGTTACCATGAACATATCCAAAAAACTCGCGGCAGAGAATCAATCTTGCATCTCGATGCATCAAGGTTCGCATCACAGCTGGCAGTAGTTTCCTGGCGTCTGTAATTCGGTTCTCGAAGATGTATGACACACAGATCCGTAGCACCTCCAGTCGTCGGGCCGAGTTTTGGACATTGGGACGCACATCTAACGCCTCGGGCAATCTAGGACCCATCGGAATGATCCGGTGTTGATTTCGGGTAACATGAAAGCGTTGTGGCACTCCGTTCTTGCGAATTCCATCCTGGATGATTACTTCTACCTTTTCCGCACTAATGCGCGGAAAAGCTGGCTGATGAATCCTCTGGAATGCGCCCTCCGGCGGACGCAGGACCTTCTGGGCATAGCTAATATGTGCCAATGTGCCCTCATTCTCGTAAAGAACGCGTCCCAATTCCTGGATATGTGTGAGTATCTGAAAGGTAGATGAAATGTGAATATAGTATAAAATAATCATAAAAACCCTATAAGGTAACTTATACTTACGAGATTCCGATTTTGCGCCTCTGACTTGAGCAATTCGTTCATGGAGCTGTAAAGTTCATCCCAGGCATCAGAGGCCCGCCAGGGAGGTCCTCGTTCGTTCACGAACGTGGTGAAGAACATGCTGTCCAATACACGAAATAGGAATTCGCTCTCGATTAGATCCCTGGCGCCGAGGAATCCAGCCTTGTGAAACGTGATTACCGGCTTTGGATGGATCCTTATGATTGTAAGGCAGGAGCGATATCCTTGCAGTAGCTGAGCGAAGAGGCGCATAAATATGGCGCGGAGTTCCTTGTCGATCTGAGCGTCAGTCTTGGACAGAGCAGACGGTCGCTCCAGTGTGGGAAAAGCCAGATCAGCTTGCGCCAGGTTCGGGAACAGGATCATTCCGAGCAGGTCCTGAGTCTGCTCCCACAGTGGTGAGGGAAGAATAGGAACAGGCGGAGTAAGAGATTCGGGAATGGTTACCAAACCGCCATCCAAATCCACCACAATAACATCCAGTAGATCCTTAATCTCAGTTTGCAACGAACTATGTATGCCCATAATGAACGGTGTAGGTGTGCACAACACCTCCGTGAGGGGCGCCGGCAGAATGGGAATATAAACATGTGTATACCGGAAGGGATACATTAAAGCCACCAAAGCTCTGCAGCTGTCCGTCAAGTGCCAATAGCATTTGGACAGGAACAAAATCTTGTTCTCCGTCATCACAGCGCAGAGTAGGATCAGCACATTCTTGATGCCTAGCTGCTTGAAGAGGAAGTGCACTCCACTTCCCGTTGTCGGCAGGGAGGAGCTCTGCGGAGGCTGGAGCGATTGCTTGTCGCCTGCTCCTATGGAGAATCGCACCTGCGGTCCACCCGCTGGAGGGACTTGGATGCAGCCCAGAATGTTTCCAATAAGTGTCTCCAGTCCATACGCCAGATTTTCAATGTACACTGTGTATATCGTGCCGAGGCAATTCTGTAAATGAAAGATCAGGGTTAAAATAGTGATTGGGTCAACCTCAATTCTGAGTTATAATCTCACTTTGAATGTGTCGGCACAGTCCAAGCGCGATATGAGCACAAGACACTTGGGAGCATACATGACGCTGTGATGCGTAATAGGAGCTGGCGCAGCTGTCGCAGCGATGCCATCCATTGAGGGAGTGGCCCCCAGCATCCTGCTGCTACCGATGGTCTCATCCTCGTCGTCCACGCTGCGCGTCTGCGTGATGGCTACCGTCTCGTGGAAGCTTAGGCAGGCGCAATAGTGTTTCTTAGCATCGATGTCCGTCAGCACCGATACGAAGAACTTAGGTTCCTGCTTCTCGTACGATAAACTCCATCCGAGCGGCTGGCAGAACTGTAGAAACGATAAGGTAATGTTTTGATATGTGACGGTATTATGTGCGGAATGTTGGGGAACGCACCCATTCAATGCCCTCGATAAACGGAGTGTCCGGCCAATCTTTCTCGGGAAAGCGCTGAACGATTTTGCCGCAAGTTGGCTGGCCGCCCACATTGCTGGCGGTCTCTGGGGAAAGAGAAAAGTAAAGGAAGTCATTGGTATTGTTAATTTTTGTATATGCTGAATTTACTTACTCTCCTTATCGCTGTCGTAGCCGACTATCACGAAATAATCAGCGAGCCGGGACATCTTGTCCAGCACATTGCCGGCCAGTCGTCTAGGATCCTATCTATGCGTACTTACTGGCCAAATCTGGGGAATAAAGTACACTAAATGTTTTCTTTTGGTCTGTTTCTCTATTTTTTTTGTTGTTTTTTGCTTTTATCAGAAGGCAGCGGCAGATGGCGACTATTCGCCAGTGCCGTCATCCAATTTGATATGCTAATTAGACTCCATCTCTGCGCTCGGCATAAATGATTAGGTTCCACGGCGATCGAGGGGCCGAATTGTTTTTGTATTGTCTTTAGACCCGGAGGCGTTTTTCAGGCTTTACGAGTCTTCGTCTTCACTCTTTTTTTTTTAACCACACCCCGCCACGCAAAGTGTGTAAGTTTGCCGGGAAACTGGCTGGTCAATCTATATATAACAGCGTGCACACACCTCGCAGCCGGCTGCAGCCGAAATCCCCGCTCACTGCCTGCAAATCTCGATGGATTCGGAGCTATAATTATTATTTTTAAGTTTGCATAGAAAAAGATAGATGCAATACACAATAATTTACACGAGTTGTCCAATACTGGATGCAACAGCTGATTAAATTTGCCGATAGTTTATTCGCACTTTCCGGACTATCGATAGATTTTGATTCCGATAGTGGGTAATCGGCGCGGACTTATAAGTTGGTTCGAAGTTACCTCATTAAGTAGTATTTTCCAATATCTTCCAAAAAGTTTGCGGCTTAAAACAAAAGTAGAATAGATATGTAGGAAATTGTTCATTGAGTTATCCATAAGATATACTTTTGTAGCAGCAAATAGTATAGCAAAGACTTAATATTACCTGATATATTACCCAATAAGAACAAAAATACTTTTCGTTGATGACTTAATTTTCTTTTCAACTTAAATATAAATCACGATATCTTTGACATTATGAACTAACGAGATATAAATACATAATAACATTGATGACTAACTCGTGTAAGGCGTAACTTATATGATAGGTGTTTAGCTGATCTTTACAAACATATTACGTATACGTATCGTATGTACTATTCTGTTAGGCGATCATCTTGTTTCAAGCATGATTGCCCTTATCTGTGGTATTTGTGTCCGCCGGTGGGTTTTGGTTAGATTCCTGCGCCGGCATGGTGAGCGATACTGTGCCCTTATCCGTGTGCTTTATGTGCTCCATTTCGATGTCCGAGCAGTTCTCGGAATTGGATAGTGCCGAGTCCATTGAGGTGACGGTCATGTCCACAGCTTTATCGCTAGTGTTTGTCGACAGCAGGGGCTTTTCAACTGATGGCTTGTTATCCGCATCCTCGTCTCGAGTAGGGGGCACAAAACTATTGCTATTAATGTCTTCGATGGCTTTTCGTAACTATTAAATTAAACCATTTATAAGATATTATCTTCAAAATTAGCCAACAAATCTTACTTCTTTAAGTCCCACCACTCCCACAAGTCTTCCGATTTTGGTCACATAAGCGTGGTTGATGCCGACCATCGAAAACAGCGAGTGAACCTTGAGTATGGAGGTGCGTTCCACTAGCTGGAACGGTGAGGGATCTATGTGCACATTGGCCTTTTGCAGGTCGATGGGTTTCAACATCTCCTCGAGCTCCCATTGCTTCTGATCCTCGGGAGACATGTCAATGACACGTTCTCTAGGCTGAAATTAAGAGTTTATAATTATTATCCAGAAAGGAGGTTTATTAATTATTTCAAATTATTCTAAACATACCAGTTGCACTGACTTCGGCTTTTGAATGATCTTGATTGGTTAAATTAAGTAAGTAAGGAGAAATGAAAAGATGGATAAAATGGTAATTTTTGAAAAAGAGTTAACTTTGATGTGTGCTCCAATTTCCTAAATTTTTACATACCTCGACATCCGCCTCCGGACTTATCGTTTCATCCACATCTTCTATAGAGTAACCCGCTTCATTGGCTTCTTTAATTTCACATTTCGTTCGAGAAGGGGAACCATTTATTCCAACTTCGTTGGCAAACCTTATTTTCGTGCACTTTTTTGCAGTTTGAGGAGATCTATTTACATCTGCAACTTTATTTGTTTTGAATTTAATGCTTGGAGATTGGCTAGAATTATCCCCATTATTTGATAATGCCATTTCCGTACTATCCTTTTCGGCAGGCTTTTTACAAAAAAATATTATTTTTAGGAATCATGCGGTATCTTTTCTAGGTTACATTTTAGCAATACTCCAGCACTACGTTTTTACTTCTACTAGAAGTTTCTAAAAATTATTTAAATATTTGTTTTTTGAATGCTTATCTTTATTTTTGGATCTTTAAATAGCTGCATGTTTCTTTATGGATTTTTTCTGCTTACCAATTTTGTTTCATCCGTTGAAATAGGGTTTACTTGCTTGCAGATATTAATTTAGGTTAAAACACATATTTTATGAAAATGAATGGAATGAAATGAAAGTTTATTGGTGAATTTCTTACCAGCATAATTTGATCGGTTACAAAATCCCAATTGCTTTGTGCAGACTTGAAAATAGAGATTTCACCTCCCGGTTTACTTGGTCAAACCCATAAGCCAACCCAAACTCTTAAAGATAAATAAGATACATTTACTTACCAGCTGAACCTTTTTGGATACCCCCGGAGTGCTGGGAGTACGCGGCACCTCTACCTCGGTGTTGCTGGCGGCCGGAGATAGAGAGCCCGTTTCCGGATCCGGCTGAACGTCCTGGAGCGTCGTGGACTTTTTGAAGATAGCCTCAAAGGCCGAGCGGATGCGGAACTCTGAGTTGCCGGTGATCGTTGTGTAAGGCGAGGGCGTGATACTGGGACTCAGGCCCATGGGTTGAGTGTAGGTCTTTAGATTAAAGGAGTTTGTCTTCTTTAGAATTGACTTCCTCGGCGCCAGCGAGCCATGCAACGTCTCTGCCCGTTTCTTGGGCGGCAGCATTTCATCGTTGGCGATCTGCCGCAGACTCAAGATATCCGGAGCAGGAAGAACCTCAAACCTTGATGGACGTCGCATCTTTAGCTCCACTTCCATCTTTTTCTTCTCCTCCTCGAGGGCTCTCTCTTGGGCCTCCTTTTGCCACTTTTGGGCCACCTCCATTCGCTTCTCACGTCCAATGTGCTTCTCAATCATTTTGATCAGCTCGTACCGCTGCACGGATCCCAGAAGGATCATGTTATCCGGGCTGTCAACCAGTGGCAAGGATCTCAGCGTCTTGTTCAGCTTGAGGACTTCTTTGAGCTTCTGGTAGGAGATGCCATGCCATATGTACTTCACATCCCGCACCATAAAGTCCTCCACGAAAATGCTGTACATCCCGGAACTGGAGGGCAGCAGATCGGGCAGGTACGGCAGCTTCTTAATCAATATAATACTGTCGTATATCGACGGTTGGAGGAGCGCTGCCACAGCATTGGCCACTAGCACGGCAATCATCACAGGCACCACGTGCGTTATCTGGCCCGTCATCTCGAAAATGATCACAGCCACGGATACCGTGTGCGTCACGGATCCGGAAAAGGCGGCAGCTCCGACGACGGCATAGCCACCTGGCATAATGGGCGACAGTCGGCCGCCGTACCGGACGCCATGGGGAAATGTGACCGCCATGAACTCGCCCACCAGCCGACCAAAGCCAGCCCCGATCTTGAAAACCGGAATAAACATGCCCGACGGAACTGGAATCGTGGAGGCGATAATGGAGAACATAAACTGAAAAGATGTTTTTGGTTAGTATCTGTATCATTCAGATAAACTTTTCGGAGTACTTACCGTAAAGAGGGTGTAAATGACAAGATTTCCAAAAACGCTGGTATAGCTGGTCATCCAGTGGGTCACCACAGCCGCCTGCTCCACGGTAAGATCATCCCTTGACCACGTAAAATTGCTGAAGAGCTGGGTCACCTGCTCGTGAGTGCTCAGTTCGCCGGCTAGAAACTGACCAGTTCCCAGGGGAAACGATATGCTGGAGACCAACAGGGCCAAGAATCCCGGATACAAAAAGCGACTGAAAAAATATATTCAAATATATATTCATAATGAATACCAAGAACACGGAAAAAAATTACTTCTTCTGCAGGAACTTATTCATCCTCTTATTGGATCTCATAAACAGGACATACCGCCGATGGACCCAAACGTATGATGCGCCTCCTAATCCACAAACGAGACTGAAATAAAAAACTAAGGATATAGCAATCATATAATCAAATAGACACCCACTTACCCTATCAAGGCGAAGACAAACAACTCCTGGGGATCGAAGGGAAACTCGGTGGTGAAGTTCGTTAGAAACAGGGCCCGAACAGTGTCGGCATTTTGGAACCACACGGCCAAAAGTCGGAAGACAGTGGCGCCACACACAGCCGCAAAGAAACCACGCCAGTAATTGCGCACCGCAAAGTAAGTGGTGGTGACCTCTATACTGAAAAGTACACCTGCAGATGAAGAAGGTCAGAGATCGGCATTGAAGAAGAAAATAGAGGCTACTTACCACCCACTGGTGCTGCAAAACAGGCGCCCACACCGACGGCACAGGCAGCCGCCAACATTTCAGAGTTTCGCGACTCATTCTCATATATGCCTTGGAATGATGTGACAAGTTTACTTAATAATTGTGCTACAATACTTGCTATATGTACGAAAGGACCCTAGGGAAATTCGGAGATACAAATAGGGGAAAACGGAATAAGGATACTTATAGATTTTCCAAATTGCACTTGCTTCGCCGCAGCGGTGTGCATGCAGTGTGAGATCAATTCTTATACTTACTTCCTTTCCTAATGGCATACCGCTGCCCAGAGTTGCCGTTAAACCAATTACCTTGGCCACTAGTGTCTTAAATGTGAGATACTCTTTCAATTGAACGCCGCGCAGTATGGTCTTCATTTCGGGTATACCGGAACCTAGACACAGTTTGGTTATGTAGATTTGCATTGATCATACTCGCAGTTGATTCTTTATTATATATTTATATTCTTAGATATATATTGTTAGTGGTTAGTTTCTGAGGTGTGCTAGTAGGTTAGCAGAAATATTGCTGGGAGTGTTAGTGGTTCGAGTATTTAACATGTAGACACAATGGATTCTCAGATTGGAGGTGCCAAGTGTGCTTGGAGTGGGCAGCTGCCAGAGTGCAGTGGTACTATGAGTATTTTTTTTATAAAATTAAGTAAGTTCGATTACGAAATAGTGCTCCTGAAAACCCTAGAAACTCTTTAAGTGGGTAGTTCATACTAAGAAAAACAATCAAGATTCATTCGTTTCCCTGGCCCTAATCAACCATAGAAGTAAAGTAAGTAAGCACAAAATTCATACAATTTCTACAATTTTGGAAAACCGACGTCAGTTTAAATGGTAGAGTGCGACAATTGAAGGCAATTATCTATTTATTTATTTATTTTTTTACTCAAGCAGGTTACTTTTCAATAAATACTCCACTACATATGTTAGACTTAGCCACAGGTTGTGATATGATGAAAAATTATGACATTATGTGGTGTAGATTTATGATTATCCAGACGCTTACCTATACTTTGCGGTGCGATGAGATGGACAAACCCGGCTGAGAATAATATCAAACAGACCGGCAGTGAGACCCATGCTATGTACTGAACAAAAGGCTGTGACGTCAGATCCCGATACAGCCAAATTCGCGCTAGAGAAATAGATATTTATATATACATATATATAGAGAGAGAGGAAAAAAAAACAATGGGTACTAAAAATGAGATGAAAAATCGATCAATAGCCTACCGTTTGTACATATGGATATGCCCTTGTCCATAATGAATGAGAGCATCGCCATGATGATGCCCAGTAGTGCCAGGAAGACCCAGTCCTCGCCCAGTCGGGCCACCGTATGCTTCCAGACCCATGATGACACTCGCTTCGCCCGGGTCGAGTGTTTGCCCAATAGTTCCTGTAAATATTTCCCAGCACTGCTGCTTTATAAACTGATACGTTCAGGAAGATCTTAACCAAAAAAATACGATCCAAAATGAGATTACAACTGAAAAATTTATGATTATTTCCCTGAGCTTTCTTTGTGCATACCTTAAATATTTAGTTTTCTCATTTAGTTTGCATTTAAATAAATCACAAGATAAGCATTAACATTGTATTCTATTATTAACATTGTATTTTTTTTTTTTATTTAATTTTACCTTATTCCTTTGTTTATCTTCCTGCTTTCGTCGTTTTTCGAGTATTTTGAGCTTTCTGGCTTCATCCTTGGCAAATTCTCCTAGATCTTTGGTATAACGACCATACATCTGCGAAAAGAAATTTCAAATTAGTCAAGTCCTGAGCTTTAATATCAAAACATAAAGGTCATAATGTATGCTATTTCTAATTATAATTAGATGCATGTTTTCAAAATCAAACAAAGAAGCTTTCGGTGCTACCTGTGTTGAAAACAAACAACTACATTCGCCTTGAGCAGTCTAGACAAATGGCAAGAGAAAAAGAACTGATGACAGAGTAGGAAGTGCACAGACAGTTGCACTTAGAAAAAAATCTAGTAATTATTTTATAAATATAACATAATTATAGATATATTATTTAGGTTGCTTAGGAAAAACATGAATGAATGAAATGGTTTTTAAAAATAATTTAGCTTTATAAGTCTTAATTTCATTCATGACATTTGTAAGTCTTTGATTAATTTATGAAATACATCTTTTTCAGTTTAAATTATATTAAAATCTTTAAAAGTAAATAAAATATATTTATTTTTAAGGTAAACTACTATTTACTGGTATAGAAATGCCACCTTTTGTCTAGCCATTTTGAAAAGTCTAACAGCTGCAACTATTTGTGTACAAAGTCTTGCATACGTCACGAACAATTTTTGAGAAAGTGAAAATAAAGATTGATTTTGGCATAAGTGAAATATTATAAATTCCGATGCAGTATCTGATTTATTTGCGAATTGAAGGCCAAATACCAGGGTTATTTTCTTTCTGTGTTCGTTTTGAGGGTCAATGCAAGAGGTTGGTCGCTGCAGCCAAGGGAAATGAAATAAATACTATATAGAAATGTGGAGACTAAGTGCCGCGACGAGAAATTATTTCAACAACGGGTTTAGTAGACAAATGGGTCCTAATAAAATCTTAATTTATCCTAAATTACTGTTTCATATCTCAGACATTTAATAAGATTTATGATACGATGCGTTGTAGCAATAAAATTTTTAATTTTGACAAGGCAATACGGGCTCCAATTATGACTGATGTTAAGGATCAACTCGATTGGATTTTCTTTCTGTGTTTTTAGTGCTTTGGCTGCACCAATGGCCATGGGTGCAACGCGATGCACGGATGACATGGTTAGGTGGCTCGTGGGCCACTCACATAATAGAAAGCCTCGATTTCGATCTCGATCTGGTTCTTGTCATCGCCGGGCGGATCGATGCTCTGTTTGCGATGCTGCTCCTTTTGCTTGGCAATAACGTCATCCCAGCGCTGGCGAATGGGCGTGGAGGCGGTGGATGTGGATCGATGGGAGCGCTCTTCCTTCCTTTGGTAGTCCTCGCGATTGATCAGCAACTCCGGCTCGAAGGCATATTCGCGAATGTACTCATCCTGATGCGTGTTGTTAAACATGAAGCAAGCGATGCACACGAACGAAGTTCCGTACTCAAAATCACGATCAAAATATCGTAATCAAATCGAAATTGTAATCACAACGATTCACAGTCACAACCACACGGATCTGGGTGGCGGCCTTTGACATGCCCGCGGCTGTTGGCCAAATATTTGTGTCGCATCTTGTTCGCCAATTATTTTTAGGTTTTCTTTTTTTTTATTTTTTATTTAGTTTTAGTTTTCGGTTATCTCGGATGCAGTACACAAGTTTTTCGGAATCGAGTCGAATCGAATCTCACTGCCAGACGTAATTAAAGGTGGACGCCACTGCCCTTGAGCCCCGTCTCGGAAACACGGCGATTGTAAAATGCATTGCCATTTATTTTTAACATTTTACACTGGCTCTGCCTGGCGTTCATATAAATTTGATTTATCGCTTCGATCCGATCGTAAATGGTACACAAATCACCTCAACACTCATCCATATATTTTCCAATAATTTGCACTTTTTTAATGATTTTTCATTATCTATTGATTTTTGATTTCCATTTCCTTCTTTTAATAAATATATTTTCCGTCTACCACCGAGCGTTCTTGTATTGGCGTAAACTTTTTTGAAACTAAACTGACTTGTCGAGCTTTCGCCGCTCTGTGTGGAAAATTATTGAAATTTTTCTTTTGGCTAGACGCTGCGGCAGGGTAGCACGCTGTGCCGATATTAAAAAACAGCCAAGAAAAGAAAAAAATATGTTTGAGGGATGTGTAAACAAAATATGAATCTTAAAATTTGTTTTCAAGTTCTGCTCGTTCAGCAAATCAAAGTCAAAGAATTTTCTGGTATTTCGAAATGGTTCATAAATTTAATTGCACGATAATGGATTATCAATTTAGGATGTGTTCTTGAAATTAGTACTTGGGCGTGATTTGAGTATTAGGGTGTTTGAAAATGCGGATATACGCAGATATTTCTCACCCAATACGGTCACTCTTATTCGCCACCCTACTACCTTTAGCAATGGAATAGTTGTTGCTTTCTCTTAAATATAATAAACACTTTTCGTTATAATCGGATTAAAAATAGCTAATGTCTTTGCTTGTTTTGTCATTCCGTACACTGTTTTTGCATTGCTCTTACAAAGGCCCAGATGCGAACAGAAGTGGCTAAATCGTCAGCAGCAACTAGCAGGAAAAGCGGCAAGCGAAAGCTTGGAAAACCATTCAGAAATCATAAAAAGTTTTTTTGTTTTGATCGATGGTTTCGCACGGCAGATGTACCAAACGGTGGTGCCGCCTAAAGTACTACTAAAATAAACAATGCAGACTAAAATTTAATATTCTTCAAATTGGAATTATAAAAAATACAAACATATCGTTTTTATTATAAAAGTCCACGGTGCGAATGAGTGATAATTTATATAGAGTCTGGGAAATTTCGAATCTTTCAATGAACTTCTTTTTAAACCTAATTTTTATTTTGTAAATATTTAAACAGCTTGTAAAAAATCACTTTTGTTATTGAAACATTTTACTACTGCCTCTACGCGAGCAATGGGGAAAATTGGACTCTCTTTGCGTCATCAAAAAAGGGGTAATAATAATAAGAAAGTCGGATAATCAGACTTATTGGCAGTATAATCACAACGATTTCCAGACGTACGTATATATGCAGACGCGGTTAAGAAATGCAAAAAGAAATATATTTCTTAAGCAGTAATAAACGTTATAAACAAAATATAAAGATAGCTGGCAATAATAACACTTGACAAATAATTTAAGTGCTAATAATAATTTTATCAAAATTTCCCCAAAAAAGTTTTTATATCCGACAGATACACAGATAAGAATTTGTTTGCCTTGCGTTTATAACCAATAAATTGGTTTTTGACTAAAAATATTCTATTTTTAGATTTCCTGATATGCTTACAAGAGTATCGATGTATCCGATGGGATCATCCTCGTCCGAGGAGTCCGAGTCGCGAGCATTTTCCGCTGGCGGCGGACACGGATAGAAGGCGTGCGACTTGATCTTGGGATGCCGCTGCACGTGACGCAGCTCCTCTTCCATGGACATGGCACTATTTCGTCGCTTACGCAATTGGCAAATGAACTTCTCAAAATCCGCCCACTCCGAGTCCACCAGCTCGACGTTCTCCTCGCCAAACTCTTCATCGTGAATAATACGCTCGACTTTCTGATTACTTCGATCGCGATTGCGATCGCGTTGCCGATCGCCGAAATAAACCATATTGGTGTTGTCAGTTCGAATGGGTTTTTAATGGGTTTATTGCACAATTCAACACTATCATAGATGTTACCGATACGATTTCGTCACATCCATGGCACAGATATCGCTCATTTCCCGTATATATTTGAATTCCGTTTGCAAAAATATATATTTTTCTAGATATTTTCCTGCGTTTACGTGTAAGCCGATCTAAGTCTTAAATCCAACTGAATAGTGTCATGAGGATAGACGGCTCCGGTCCCGCTTAAATTCAAGATTCCATTAAATTTAGTACACAGACACCGACGCACTCGTCTGGTCATCCAGCGGGTCTCAAGTTTGCGGACGCCCGTCGCCAGTTATCTTATAGTTCTCATGTATAACCAGTCACTCTCCAGCGGTCAAAGTTTGCGTGTAAACATCAATAGAATTTCATAAATTTAATAATCTGTGGTCTGCTTCAACGGCAAAAAAGTGAAAATGCCAAGCGCTTGGATGACACGAAGTGCGGTGTACAGTGGAATGGTGCAGATTTTGTACTATTTTTGTAAGATCTTTTTGGTAAGGTAAGTAATAGACTCAATAAAATATCGTCCAGGAAAATCATGTTTTATATTCCTTGTACTATTACCTAGGGAAATTCTATAAAAAGGTTTAACAGTTGGAATTTGTATCGATGTACGTAAAACTGCAAACAAATTCCAAGTGAGGGATATTTGTATTTCTCTTAATAGCTTTACATTCTTTAATAATCCGTATCGTTTTAGTTATTTTTCCATAGCCCATCGGTTTATAGCTCTAGTTATTTTATCAGGAAATTCGCATTACTCAGCCCACTGTGCCAGATCACTTAAGCCGCATAAATTGCGATTACTTGCTTTAATAGTCTCAATGTGTAGACTAGGCATTGGGTCACATGTCTTCGGGCATCTGTTGGATTTATCACATTTAAGTGTACCGGTTCTTTTAGTCCGTCTGCACTATTTTCTAGATTTCATTATTGTCTTAGTCAATCTACAAGTCATACCCCTAATTCATGATAATGGTAACCCTAAATGAGTATAGATTGCTAGTCTGGGTGTAAGCAGGGTACTTAGCACGTAATCTTGAACTTTCATAACTTTCAGGAAATTGATATAGGAACTAATATTTAAGAGAGTCACCAATTTAAAGAGAGTGAAAGCTTTATCACGTTCCATCGCTTACTGTTAGATATCAGTGCACTGCTTGACCCATTAAGCAGTGGGGGACATAAATCGGGTATTATGTTCTGTTAAGTTGAAATTAATATATGGAAATATAATCTGTAGGATTTAAATAGGTCTGGACTTGGTTAAATACTAATTTTTTAAGATTTACTTTCATTTATCTTTCTTGTTTTCATTTTACTTTATCAGTAAGTTAAAATATTAAGCCACAGACTGATTCCTAAAGTTTTTTTAATTTTGATATTAAGAAGAAGAAGGCTTAAGAGGAAAAAGGTTTTCCATTACTCACATAATTCCTTTTTGCCTGATATTTTAGTTTTATAGATCAATTAGGCAGCTTCAAAGTTCTATTATTTATCAGGCGTTGTGTAGAGAATAAAAATATGTTTTGGAAAGAATTCTTTAGATATATCCACTAAATTAATGAAAAATCTCTTACGGTATTTCTGAATTAAACTTGACCATGTGTCACCCTCCATAAAAATTAACTAAAGCATAATAATTATTCCAAAGTTTGCGCTCTAGCCCAGCATACGCAGTTACAAAGATACATAGATGATCTGATAATTTACTTACTTTTTTGTGAAACGACATTTTCGAACTCATATGATAGAAATTAGCAGGCTTGCGATAAAACAAAGTGATCTTGGCTAAAACCGTGTGGCGACTGGAGAGCCAGCATCCCAGATCTTGCTAGCAACACCTTCCGAGCCGCAAAAACCGCGATAAGGGTCCAAATAGCAAAACAACACCTGAACCACGATCAAACTGCTTTTAAGGATGGGGCACAAAAGCTACCGAAACTTAATTAAAAATTGAATGAAATCTTTGGGTAAATATCGTTCTTAGCCTTTGGGTATATGTACGAGTATATGGGCCATTTTCTCATAGCCATGAGGGAAAGATAAACATTCAGCGCGTGAGCGCAAATACCAAGCAATAAAGAAATATAATTTTAGCTAAATTACTTTATGACCCTAGTCAGAAAACATATCTCTATGGCCTATTAAAAATATTATTTATAATGCCAAAATCAACATACAAAATGCCAAATTTAATATAGACGCTGTTCTTTGAAAATTCTGAAGCGTTTAACTAAATCGAGGTAATCATTGATAACGATTCGATTTTGATGGATGGTTTAATTTAGCGCCGATAAGAACTTGTCAAATCCAAGTGGATAATACTTAGTTTTGGGCAATCGAGTGGTAGTTAATTTCCCTTTCAAAGGTTATTAAGTTAAAGTTCCCAATTAGCCAGTTAGTATGTTTTCAACCTGTCTCTCATCTGTAATTGTAGGTTTGCGAGAAAAAGGCTGTCAAAAGATAAAATCTCCTATTTGAACGTGATTCAGAACTTCAGTTTAGATAAATATATAGGAGCAGATTGTTAAATCTGTTCGCTACATTCATTGTTGCACTTATCTCAAGGTGCTAATTACAGTGTCTCAACAAATATTAAATCAAATTGGTTTGCGGTGGATTTATCTGGAGTATAGAGAAAACCTCATCAATAAACATGTATCTAGAGAATACCTTTTAAATAAGCTTTTGTCGGAGTCGTGAGAGTTTAAAATCTTCCCAAAATTGAACAAAATTCTTACACATTATCTTAAAGTTTAATAAAATGGCATTCATATGTTGAGCAATATGTGTCACAGCACATGACAAAAATCCCAAAAAAATAAGCAAAAACAAATAAAGTGAGCCCTGGCAAATAGTCACATGTTAATCACATGAGCGGAAAAGTAAAACAAGAGACAAGTCTGTATTCCCTATTCGTTATGGTGAATTTAAATATACACTAACAAAAAAGCTTTGGGATTAATGAAAATTATGTTTCTTAAAGAAATTTATGTAAAAATTGAGATTTTATATAGTTAATAAGATAAAATTCTTTTATTTTATTAAACTCCAGATTAGAGCATCTAGAGATCAGTGACTAAACTAAGAACGATAATCGAGTAATTCCCCTAGCTAATAACCCCAGACTATGACAAGGTTGGAATTGCCAAATCTAAGCGCCATATCGACGTGTTTATGTAAATAAAAGCACAGTAGACGGCAATTTATTATCAAATCGGGATTTCCAGCCAACCAATTACGATAAAAATAAAATTAATAACAAACAAGTTGGCCTGATGTAGGTGTTCTAATACAAACAATTGTGGGCTTTAAACAGATAAATGTATTTTCCTTTT